ATGTTTACCAACCATGTACAAACTTCTTACATCTATTCTGAGACTCAAAATTACTTTACACATTAATAATAATTCGATTATGTCAGTTTCTCAGAATGGATGTAGAAGTGGGAGCCGTGGCACTAAAGACCTCCTTATTATAGACAGGGCCATTAGCCAACAGGTGCGTCGTAATCGTAAGAGTTTGGCGACATGTTGGATAGACTATAAGAAGGCTTATGACTCGGTTCCACATACATGGCTTTTGAGGGTGCTGGAGTTGTATAAAATTGATACAACTCTGTGCACTTTCTTAAAGTCATGTATGGGGCAATGGAGAACAGCGCTTCGTTATCCAGGATGTCGGCAGACGACGGTAATTGATGCACCAATAAAGATTGAGCGGGGTATATTTCAAGGTGATAGTCTGAGTCCCTTGTGGTTTTGCCTGGCTTTGAACCCTCTTAGCACTTTATTAGAGGGTTCAGGGCTAGGCTATAGGTTGCAGAAAGATGATCAAGTTATATCTCACCTTCTTTATATGGATGATTTGAAACTACTAGCCCCCACCAAATTACAATTGTCAGCGTTACTAAAGGTGACGGAAAACTTTAGTAATTCTATCAAAATGGAATTTGGTGTAGACAAGTGTGCAGTCATGTATGTAAAGAAGGGTGAGATAGTAGAATCTGAAGGAATAGAGCTTTCCGATTCAACAAAACTCAGATCTCTGTCTGCCACTGAGACTTACAAGTATTTGGGTATATCACAGTCGTTAGGCATACCAGAATCTGACATGAAACAAACGTTGCAGGAACGCTTTTTTGGCCGCTTGAAAAAAGTACTTAAAAGTCTTTTATCAGGGGGCAACAAGGTGCGAGCCTGCAATGGTTGGGTCATGCCGATTCTGATGTATTCCTTTGGTATACTTAAATGGACTCAGACCGAACTAGATGCCCTTGATAGGAGAGTCCGTACATTGCTGACTGCATTTCGAATGCACCACCCACGTTCATCGGTTATGAGATTGTATATCCCGCGAAAGCTAGGGGGTCGCGGATTATTAAATATCAAGACCCTGCACAATCGGGAGATATGCAATCTCAGAGAATATTTTCTACATACCGATGTGGGAATGCATCGCAATGTAGTTGCAGTGGATATCGGATTCACCCCGCTCGCTCTGGCTAAAGAGAATTGGCGCAAACCTGTAGTATTTAGTACTAATGATCGTAGGGAAGTATGGAAGGGCAAAGAGCTCCATGGTCGGTTTTATCGGGCCCTAAACGGGTCCAATATAGACTTTAAAGCATCTACGACTTGGCTACGGTATGGTGATCTCTTCGGAGAAACTGAAGGTTTTGTTTGTGCGATTATGGACGAAGTTATCATGACGAATAACTATCGGAAATATATCCTGAAAGATGGTACGGTTGACATTTGTCGGGCATGCCACCGTCCTGGGGAATCAATCAGGCATATCATTTCTGGTTGTTCTCGTCTTGCTAACGGTGAATATTTGCATAGGCACAACCAAGTAGCCAGGATTGTACACCAACAGCTTGCCCTTAAATACCATCTTGTGAATCTAGAGGTGCCATACTACAGGTATGTGCCCGACCCAGTTCTCGAGAATGGCCGGGCCACGTTGTATTGGGATCGATCTATTATCACAGACAGGACTATTGTTGCTAATAAGCCTGATATTGTAGTGATAGATCGATTAGAGCGCCGCGCAATGATTGTTGATATCGCCGTTCCTCATGACGAGAATCTCGTGAAAGTTGAAAAAGAAAAACAAATAAAATATTTGGATTTATCTCACGAGATTGTCGATATGTGGAATGTCGATTCAGTGATAATTGTTCCGATAGTCGTATCTGCTCACGGATTGATTGCCAAGAGCCTCGACCAACACCTTAAGAGGCTCACGTTGGACGGCTGGATCAAGGGTCTGATACAGAAGGCAGTCCTCCTTGACACGGCTCGTATAGTGAGGAGGTTCCTATCTTTGCAGTCCTAACCACTGGTGTCTTGGTACCTGTACCCGATGTCGGTGGTCTACTATTTTTTATATTTTTAAATGTATTTTTATTTCTTTTGTAATATATTTAAAAATGTAATTAATATGTATATATAATTTAATAAAGAGAATAATAATATTCTACCACATTCACACAACGCCATCTAGTCCCAAACTAAGCAGAGCTTGTACTATGGCTACTAGACAACTGCTATAAATACATATATTTATAAATTTATTGTAAATACATACTTATTATACATAGAAACACCCAGACCAAATCAAACATTAAATGTTCATGCACACAAATGTTTGACTTGAGCGAGAATCGAACCCGCAACCTTTGTAATAGCAGTCCGTTGCGCAAACCACTACACCATCCGGTCGTCAGTCTGTTGTTGACGCCTTTCTCTTTCTCTGGTTTCTGTAAAACCGTGGTATCCCTCCGGTCGAGCCGGTACATATTTTCCGAAGCATAGCTCTCCCAGGGTTAAAAGATCATCATCAGTAATCTTAAAAGAATAGAGAACTTGTCCAACATGTCCATCCGTATTATATTAATTGTAGTATAATGCAGCTGTGTTCGATTAATCCCAAATGAGACCACACACCAAGTCCCATAACAATGAAGCATCATGTATAATGCATGATAACATACAATAATCTACACAATATCGTACGAGCCTCAAGCCGCAGCTACATTAGGTAATAATAGAGTATGCCTCAGAGTACCTGTGGGCCTACTACTATCCAGACTTCATAAAGTTGCAGACAGTCAAGCTTTATAAAAAATCTCTCGATGAAAAAACTATGTGTACTAGAGATCTATCGTTAGATTAGTGTTACGTGGTTGTGTGTTACTAATTTTATTGCATACGTTAGCTAGAGAACGAATGGTCGTAGGAAGCTAAGAGTTGTTTTCATCTAATTTTGGCTTGGGCAATCATTTTACAGACAACTAAGTCTGGTAACACCCTACTAATGGATTGCTGGTTATCGAGGCATTCAATTACAATTCATGTCAAAGTCAATTATTGTGTCTCTCCTCAGGTCTAATCGTACCTACCACATTGCGATGCTGTGATAGACTAATAACGACATATTGTTGAAGTAGGCGTCATAAAGCCTACTTCAATTAACTTCTTTTTTTTTATTCAACCGTTTTCAATTTAACAGGGATATTTTATAAATCTATTGGATTGTTATGAAAGAATGACTAATACTCCATTAAGCTGTAGTGTAGTATGCAAGATAAATTAGATCTTAAGCCAGTACTTTTCAAACAAAACATTTCAATCATTTCAAACACACACAGCAACAACTGCAACAACAACAACTTACAAGCGAGAATTAACAAGAATGGACGAATTTTATAAACGAAAATAATCTATTTTGTTTAACATTATCATCTTATTACATAATTGGCAAGAAGAAGAAACAAGTAAGAAATTTTGTACAGGTTCTGTTCTATACGATACAATAGTCTATTTTTCAACAGCTAGTAAGTCCGGTTGTCTGCAGGCGGATAACAAGCGTAAAATATCATTTGCTGAGTGTTAAATTCGAATGCTTCATCCTAGCTCCTGTTGGTTGATAACTACGTGATTTTCTTGTTTCAACGCTTATTGCTCTTTTATACCTCCGAGCACGGAATAGATACCAATTATAATGTGTAACACTTTGGTATCTCAATGTTCGTTTGACGATGTTGGCATAGCTCTCGTCTCGCATATTTCAATTATTTAATAAAGATCATTCTTGTAAACAGTAGGTAGTAGTTCAATAATACTGTCTCCTAATATTTTTAGCTGATTTATGTTTGATTATCAAACATTGTACGTTTATTTTTAGTGCTTCATTATAGTAGATCATCGCTTCCGAAATCGTTGCGTCACGGTATTAGTTTTATGATTCAAATACATGGTTTAAGTAAATAATCTTAAGAGAAAATATAAATCCTCAGGCTTTATTTATAACGTACTCATGACATTTATTAATACGTAATTTATGTACACTGTAAACACTGTGAAAATACAAGTACTTACGAATTTGCTCTAAGCTGACTGACCTCCCCATCTTTCTTTATTTTAATGTATTACGAGTATTATTATTATTTCATTCTTTGTTGAATTTGCAGTTGAAGACATAAATCATCACGTAAGCTACCTACACGTCATGTATAAAGCGTGAGATACGGCATCATCGTGGGGTTAAGACCCGTTATGCAGGATTGGCTCGAGAGGCATCACGGAACCCTCTACGGGCTGACGCCGGTGATCACTGGGAAAGGATGCTTCGGGGATCACATGTGTCTGATCCGCAAGGAGCCAACGCCTGAGTGAAATTACTGCGATGGCCGGACAGAATGCGCGGCGTGGGTGGAACAGAGGCGTGACCTCGTGGTGGCTATCGGGTTAGGAGTTCTCTAGCTCGGTAACATGATTGCGGCCATGGTGTGCGAGATTATGTGGAACTCCGAGCAAGTTATAATATATATATATATATATATATATATATATATATATATATATATATATATATATATATATATATATATATATATATATATATAAAAATAAGATATTTCATTATTAGCACCTATCACTGCGAGTTTAAACAGTACGCATAGTCACCAGTCAATGATTTCTGATTAGTGAGAACATGACATGTTTTTCCGACTAGGATTTTGGTGCCATTAGAATAATAGGCTGCAAACCTATTACCATCAATTGGATACTTTAGGATATAGACAGAAAAATTGTGAATATATTGGAAGGAAAAGTAGGTGAAGGAAGACATTACTTGGACAAACTAGTTGTCACTGGAAAGTCCAGGCACTTAATGAGAACTTGAAATTAAATATTAGAAACAGCATCTCTTGCAAATGATATGTCCATTTTTTAAGTTAATTTTTTATTTAAATTGCAAGTAAGTGTAGGATTTAAGATAGTGATGTGTAAGTAATAAGTAAAAACTTTTCTTGAAAGTCATAACTAGTTTAAGAATGTCTTGTTCCTAATATGGCATAGAGGCTGTAAGCAAACTTCAGAATCTGAAAACAGACAAATATTAACACAACGTAAATACTTAAAATAGCGACCTCTGTTTATAAGAAATATAAATTTACGTTCTTCAGGAGATGGGCTGCAAACGACGGTTTTATGAGAATCTTACAGAAAACAGCTGTTAATGTTAGACAACTATATTTCTAATCGACTTTAAAAGAGTGGGGAGTTCTTAAGCTCGTTTTCTTTCTACTTTTTATGCTTATTACCTCAGACCTGCGTCATTTATAAACTGATTAGTTGATTAAAATGAGGGGACATGGATCAAGTATCCCCCAAATTTAAAATTAATTTCATTATACAACAACATTATAATCGAGATGTAATTATAAATAGCACGAGTCCCTCAGTGATGAGATCATAATTACATTGTACGGGTCAGATATCGGTGTTCATTCGATGTTTACTATGTTATCAGATACTCAGAACTAGATTTTTTTTTTTTTTTTTTTTTTATTTGTAAAAAAGACAACGCCCGCATTAGGAATAAATCCTGTGTCGCGGGGGACTTTACAAACATACATGAAACGGACACAAAGAACACCCAGACTCAGAACAACAATTTGTTTTTGCAATTCAATAATTACTTAATTAATCAATCAATTTAAATTATTAAGATGTTCATCCAGTATCAAAAAATGAAATTATATGAATGGTAAAATAAGTAGAATAAAATGTTGATGCGAATGAATAATTAGAATGAAATAATTGTAAAATTAGGGGATTCTGGATCTAGTTGATTAAGGTCTCCCAATTATACTCTACTCCGATTTGGAAAATCATTTTTTATTTGAGAGGTATACTCTCAAATTGAATTTTCGATTGTTGTCATATAAATTTAAAGAAAAAGGAGGAGAGACTTCAAAATTAATTATCTAATTAGTGCCATGATAACTTTTTTTGGCGAATTCTATTAGCAATACGTAATTAATAGCCCTTCGAAAGCCTAGCCTTTAGTTAAATGTTACAGCGGAACATCAGATACCTTTGCTTTTCCTTTTAGTTAAAAAAGATTACCATTTCAAGGTTTTGCTAATCATGACTACGTAACAATAAACATACTTAAGACACAATAAGTTTTTAATTAAAATCATATTTAACACTTGGAAGCCGTAAACTGTACCTATATACCCTTTACTTTAGACATGTATTTTAATCATTTTTAAGTAAGTTAAATCTTAAATAAATAAAATATTACCGTAAAAAAACTTATGAGTGACAGCGGTATTACTCCAGCTACCGTAGGTTCAAGGGTGCGCGACCAGCGCACCATGGCCACAAGGAGCATACGACGAAAGTACGGTGAGACAGATAACCAATCGCTCAGGTATACTGAATATACTACTGATTGACTCTGAAAAGTATTATATTTGTCATTATGTAGTACCCAAAAAAATACGTTGCAACACAATTTGCTTAACATATTCTATAATTTAATAATATTTGTATATTTATGTATTAAGAGCCATAAAAATATTACATAAGAAACTCCAAATGACGTGATTCTGCCTATACAATAATTAATAGTATAATATTATAAATAAAAGATTAAATGTTATATAACATACCTTTACATTTTCTTAAATAAAATACTCACCTCATAATGTATTAAAGAACCAAAATAGCAATAAAGGAATACTTGGTTTGATATAATCAGTAATACCACAAACATGAAAATGAATGGCACCGAAAATATCGGCGTCTGAAAGTTTTTAAATTTATTTATTAGTAACAAAATATTTACAATTTTTACTTGATTACTTTCGCACGATACGAACGTTTTAAACACACAGACTCAGAACAATTTTTTTTTTTGCGTCTGTGTGAGTGTTCGTGAGTAAGTCGGTGTTGTCATATGCTTATGAGTGTGCAGTTTTCAGGCAAGTGTCAACACACACAATAGGATGGGAGTGTCGCTAGTAGCTATAATGATGATGTATGTATACAGTAGCTACCTACAGTCTTTTACTTACACAACTCAATCTATTTACTATCATACATATAGTAAGCGAAGATGTCAAGAATTGAAACGAGACTGCTGGAGCAAATACTTTATTTATCTCTTTAGTATACCTGAAAATATTAAACAAAATGCGTTAGTGGTCACGGCATGTCGGTTAGTGATCATCTTGTTAAAATCTCCTGCACTCGTTGACGTCATGTTTAATTTTAGGGTAGGATATAAACGCTTGATATATCTATAATTAAGGCCACAAGTAGCGGGATCCTTTTTATTTCGTTTTTGTAAATTGCTAATATTCTGTCGCAATCTCCTGTACCTATACCGCGAACAACTTACAATAGTTTCTAACTTAAATCCCGAACTTGTGAAAATTTAAATCATGGTTATTAATTACTTAATGTATGTGACACAAATAAAACCGGTTTAATATATCAATATTGACTTAAACTTGTCATAGCGATTACGGTTCTTAACATGTATGATAGGGTTTTAAGAAACTAGCTGGTGCCTGCGACTTTATCAACTTAGATACTGTCCTATACAAACTTTAATCCCCTACCCAACAGTTCCAAATGTATGACGAAAATATTCCGTGATAAGACAGGATACCCAAACAGAGTTACTTTCACACTTCTGTTATAGAATGTTTCGACACAGTATTCGTCACATTGTTTGATGACGTTTGAATTATTTAACTAAACATTATATCTACAGCGTTAGAAAGGAACTTTAATTCTATTTAAATCTGTTGTTTTTAAGTGCTAATTTAGGTCCTTACATATGAAATTAGCGTTTTCTCGCACTGACCACTTAATCTGAAATATCTCCTCTTTGGTTAAGAATCCCGAAAGAAAAATTTGTTGAAAAATTATAAATTCATTTAGCTGGTACATTTGAGTTTCGAAACAGTTATTCATTTGTTTTTTCCTCATTATTTTGTAATTTGGCGTCGCTTATTACCGCACAATGGAAAACATGAAATATCGGTATATTTACGAGTACGAGTTCTAACGTGGCACCAGTGCTGCAGAAACAGCTCGAAGGATTAATGATGTGTACGGCGCTGGTGTCGCAAAAGAAAGCACGGTACGTTTTTGGTTACAACGTTTTCGTTCTGAAAATTTCGACCTTCAGAACCAACCCTGTGGACGGCCGGAGACCAAAGTGGAAAATGAAGAATTAAAGGTTATTGTTTAAGCGGATCCATCACAAAGCACTTCAGAGATAGCTGCAGGCTTCGGGTTAAGTGATAAAACTGTATTAATCCACTTGAAGCAAATCGGGAAAGTAAAAAAACTTGAACGATGGGTACCTCATGAATTGAGTGAATCGAACTTGCACGCGTTGACTGCTGTGTTACTTTGCTCAACCGACACAATATTGAAGGGATTTTAAATCGAATGTCTGCGACATTAACCGTGCTCCCCGGACCTTGCTCCAACAGATTATCATTTTTTTCCAGAATTTGGACAACTTCTTACAAGGAAAAAAATTCAACTCCAATGCGGCAGTCTAAACCGCCTTCAAAGAGTTTATTGATTCTTGCCCCCATGGTTTTATTTAGTAAAGGGATCAATGAACTACCTATGAGATAGCAAAAGTGCATACATAACAATGGTGCATACTTTGATTAATTAAATATATTTTACAAAAAAAAATGACTTTAAATTCCACCTGTACAAAACGCCAATTTCATATGTAAGGGCCTAATATTTATCAAATAACGATGTGTATTAAAACATACAAACCATGCAAGCTTATCAAATCGTTGGATAAAATATACAAGGCGTCTCTTTAAATCTGGATCACTCATGTCCTTGTATCGAGATCGCATATGTCTTGTATCTACATCCATATCAAATAAACATTGTAAATTGTTCTTGATTATCTTCAATTGTACTACTGTCTGTGCGTAGTAAGCGGAAATGAGACAGTCAAGAGTCAAATGTCCGTAACCGATCCATAGCAATGGGACCACTTCCAATGCTACTGTAATTGAATATCTGTTGGCAATAAGAAATTGTACGCAAAGAATTTTATAAGGTTTATTTTCTAACCCCGCAAAGAATTTTTATAGGAAAATGTGAAACATGTTTCTAGCCTAACTGTAGAACTATTGTTTTTCATTATATAAAAATTTGTATGTATGACGTAAAAGGTAGGTAATTCTGGGCTGATTGTCGGCCTGTGTAGTCACAGACCAGTGCTATCTGGTTGAAATGTCAGACAATTCCATGGTATGTAACACCTTTTTCTTGATCGCGTTAAAAACCGATACGTCTACATAATTATTTTGGTCTACATAATTATTTTGGGCAAAAAACGGAAAAAGGTTTACCTACCTACAATGAACAAGTCATCTTTATTATGTTAGTATATGGATTTCATGGTTCAATATGGAGTCTACTTGCGATTTGAAGGGAACTAAGCAAAGCAAGATATAATTCAACATAAGAGAACATGATTTTTAAATAAACGGAATTTAACTTCAAAAAGTAAGACGAGCCATTCCGTTTATCATAGCTTCGAAAAACAATACCACTAAATATATACCAATGTTAATATTCCTTACCCGCCCCAGGTATCAGTACTAAAAGGTGCATAAACAGGGACTACTGCATTCTGATCCTGATATCTCCTAACAAAGTGGGAAGCTGGCCAAATCAATCCACACATGCAGACACAAATGTTCATAATTTTAGATAGCTGATGCATGTCTGTGTTGTTCTTTATTAAATGCTCTTCGTCTTTTTTATTCTTGGCTTCAAAAATGGGATCTAAAGATAAAATATGAAGTAATTAAATATAGAGATTGTTATATTCCTAAAATGTGGGTGGTTGCATCCACCCACATTTTAGGAATATAACGTTATTTAAAATTAAAATATAAAGTTTAAAATATAAAGTTATTTATATTGTTAAAGACAGTTTAACTTCTTGTAACTTTAAAAAACATCAAAACCAATTAATACCCTTCAAGGGTACAGGTAGCAACCTTCATCAGTCGAGTAACTGTCCTATTGATTTCGAAGACATCTCCCCGAAAGAAGCTTCGTCACCGCAGTCTACGACCCCAGCACTGGTTGAGGTTGCGTCCAATACAGAGGGGGAAGGAAGAGAAGGATTAGTGGAAAAGGAAACACAAGCCAGTAACTCGACAGAAGACGAAGAATTCTATGAGGCTATCGAATCAAAGGATGATAAAGTCTCACTAGAGTCATCTTCAGGTCACCAGCCACCGCAGCCGGATAGGTTAACCAATTGTGGCAAGATATTGCGACCTGTACCTAGGGTGGATTATAAAAGATATTTTTAAATGTTTATTTAATATAAGTTTTATTTTAATGTTATGTATTGTCAAGCTAGAGGGAGGAATGTTATATTCCTAAAATGTGGGTGGTTGCATCCACCCCTAACATATAAATGTCGTGTCGCTTGACAAATAAAGTGTTGTGCGAATCCAGCTATCGGCCTTTTCACTACTCCCTGTGCGCATACTTATCAGAGATTAAAAGTATCTGAAATTTTCTTTAGTTTTGAGTAGCTTAGACTGATGTAACATGACCAAATTTTCAGGAATTCATGCCATTTTTGTCAACAGGGACTTGCTGTTTATGAGCTCTTAAAAGGAACATACTTCAGTTTCATGGGGTTTAGTTCAGTTCTGTAACGAAACTGCTTATATAATAATAATAATAATCTTTATTTATATAACTGTTTTATAACTAAAAAATCTGCTGCGTTCATTCTACGCAGAATCTTAAGTCATATAATCAAATAAGTAATATAATAAAAAAAGTATTTCTGATGTTTACTTGCGTACCCTACCGAGTTTCACAGCAATGTAATCTTTTTCATTTAATTGTTAGTTTTTTTCTTTACAGCTACGAATACGCTATACTAAATTATTGACGACATTCTACATATACTCTTTCCAAAAATAGTCCTTTAGGTAAACCTTATTTCTCATCCTCATCTTCATCAGAGCCTTTACTAGTCCACCGCTGGACATAGGCCTCTCCTTAGAAAGGAAGTTTTGGCCTACTATACCACGCTGGCCAGACGGGTTGGTATAGGGTTTGTTTCAAGCTTTCCTTCTCTTTTCAGTGCTGTTGTCCAGCGTAGTTTGCTAAGTCGGCTCTTACGACACCCACAGAATGAATTAGGGGTGGTCACACTCTGTATCCTGTACTCTTAATCCATCACCACAGTTATTTCTCAGTAGGTTAATATTTATCGTTGTGCAACCCATTCTTACAAATAAAAGTTAATCTTTTAGCACCTGGAAATTAAATATATGGCTACTTACCATTAATCACTTTGTTAATTTCAGCAATCCTCGATGTTTGCAAATTTAAAGTGAGATGTTTCACTATTAAGTTTAGCTGTGGGATCTCTATCATCAGACTATCGAATACGTCATCCAAATTATTGATTTTCTGAAACAGTATAAAATTTGCACATACCTATTTACTAATTTTGTATTTACCTTTCGCTTGACGGCTTGCATATATTTATCTCTATTTTTCAATTTCTATAGACACTCTTGGACTTTGACACTACATAAATTCACCCTCAAATAGCTATTATTTTTTTCATTAAATTTTTGTAATTAAATATTTGATACAATCAAATAGTTTTTGGTCACGGATTTCGATTTATTTGTTATAATAAAATAATATCTAAAGATCTTAACGGAAATAACTTAGAGTCAAAGGAGGAAAGGAGAAAACACAAAGAAAAGGGCATGGAAATTCTAAAATTTGGATTTGATAGTTTTAGTCAAACGAATTTACAATTCTAATTGAGTCATTGTTGTTCATTCTACTGAACTAAACCACTAAATCAACTCGAATGACCGTGTCGTGCTCTGCCGCAGAGCCACCATAGTAAATACCGATCAATTATATCTTAAAATGATGTACGTCAAACGTACATGATGTAGTAGGGTCCCTATTGCTCTACGTACACTAGGTAACAAAATAACGAGCATCTGGCTCTGCTGCGAAGCATACTCCTAGCAGAGCCACCTAAAACACGAACTCAACACAGATAAAAGCTACTTTTTTTAAAATGAAAATCGATGTACGAATACTGCGTACGTGTTCACAATCATTATTAAGATGTGGTTTTGATGATTTTCACTTTACTGTAATTTGTTCGCTTAATAAAATAAAATAGTAATTGTTAAAAATAAACGTTTTGCTAACAAAAAAATAACAATGCGGTTTCTATTAAAATTACAATATTTTGTTACCTAGTACAGCGGTAACGACATAAGTACATTATGTACGTTTGACGTTCATTATTTTAAGATTAATTTGATCGTTATAATATTCTGGTTGCTCTGCGGCAGACTGGTAACTGAATGATATTATAGAATAGATAAAATCATTCTTTCTATAAACTTTAAATGAACCCGGCGTTTTCTTTGATTTTCTCTAGTATCTGATTAACTGTGAAACAAATTATTCTAATTTTATTGTATTTTTATAGGGCACTCAGGTAACAAAGGAAAAAGAAAACATTTCAAAATATCTCCCACCTGTACAATAAACAATAAATGTTCTACATTATAGAAGATTGAAATTAAAAATGACAGCAGACGGTAAATCCCGTGACCAATCCATTTCCATCTGTTTTTAGGCTTTTTCATTAGTTGAAAATATCCAGTCCAAGATAATATTTTGTACAGTGCATTAAATGATTCGAATGGTTGGGTTCTTTCGTCACTCATTTGTTTTAATTTTTTATTTTTCTTGTTAAGTTTTACCAGACAGGCAATAAACAATTTTCAAAAGTCACTACTTGTTCAGAATATGAACACGTCTAGCAACAGTGCTTGTCCAAACGCGAGTGACTGAAGCCTTCAAACTTGAACTTGATTTTGGTTAACTTTATATAGTTGAAAGGACTGAACTGAAAGAAAACGTAAACACTCAGACACGAACACGTTCATTAATACGAGTAAATAGGTTTTTGATTAACCAAAGTAAACTTCATGTCAAATATTATAAAATTCTGTCAAGAATGAAAACTTCATCCTTGATCTTCATTTAATATTTACGTAATGGCAAAACTTTCAAATAAAAGCCAATGGTGTTTACATAGTTATATTCTGAGAGTTTTTAGATCCATCTACACTTCTACGGTTTATTCTACTTTGAAACGACTTGTGTAATAAGGCTGGTTACGCGTTAAGTATTTTAACAATTATCGTGATTTTACCACAAGATACTTAGATATCATACAAACATAATTATAAACACTTAAGAATTATTATTTTATAAGTATAGTTGCTTCCGCCATTATGCTGTTAAAAATAATACATAGCCATACATACGAAGACACTTGTCTATTGTTCCCGCTAACAAATTACACCTCTCTAGTACTAAGAGTCTTTTTTTCATAAGAATCTCAGACCTAAACCGCTGACTTACAGACAGAAATGGCTAAACTATCACGGTTCCTTGTTGACTAACTAACTTGGAACCCTAAAAATAGATAAATGACCTAGACCTACTTGTTAATTATTCTGCAATTTTATAACCTTGTTTTCATTAATTAGTAGAAATTGCCGTTTGGTGGGCCTTTGACCATAATATATAGCATGATTCATGATCTGTCAAACATACTAAAACGATGTAGCTTTTCGTAGTCGGTTGCACATATACTTCAAAATAACGCATACTATTCCAATTAACATATTCTTCGGTGCGCGAAATTTACTTTAAGAGTGGTGCAAAGAATTCTCCTTGTGTATACAGATATTATATAGATGTTATATTGATATTGTTAATTCAGGCTCCTATAAGTGATTGCCGATGACTGCAATGTTCGCAACAACAGCACAGCGGAGTTCACTTCTATCAACGCTATCATTATCCCTCTCCTATTGTATCATAAATACCATGGCAAAGCCTCGGAGGTATAGTTTTAGTTGGTTCCGACGTGCTCAAACTTCACTGACAGTCAGCCTAAAAAAAACTGTGTACCTATACTCAGTATACCTATGTACAATATTAGGATAGATTAATATTGAGAACATGAGTTTATTTGTTAATTTTTCATGCTTTAACCACTCATCGATTGAGTGTATCATGAATTATCGCAAATTGGTCGTCAAAAGAGGTCATAACACCAAATGTATATACATTTTTATTGTTTACATATGTATACAATATTTTTTGTTTTAAAGAATCGCCGTCTTCAGCCGGTCACGATGAATTTTTATAAGCTGCATGTTTTACGCTCTAATTTTCAACTCTTAGGGAACTAAACCCTAATGGTGAGAAAAATAGTAAGGTAAAGCAAGTAGTGAGTGAGAATTTTCAAAATTTTCAAATCATTTCGGAGGGACGAACATTAAAGAGAACATACAAGCGGATTTTTAAAGTCGCTTAAAAAGACATTATTTCAGGCTACTTTCTAACATTGTCAAAATATACATTAATGCAACAGAAGCTAGTATTAGATAAATAAATTGCTTCCGGATTTGCAAATTGGCTGCGGCTTGAATGTAGGTCGAGTGCATTCACAGACTGTGATGGGGAACCGATACATATTTGTATATCATTTAATTAGTGTTCAATTAGACGCGGTTGGAACCAACCATGTTTATTTAGAGCCTAGCTCGTTCAATATTCACTGTATTTTTGTCTTGCCGCTAAACATGGCTTCGGGCGATGATTAAATATCAAACAAAATGATAAAAGAAACTTGTAACTTTCGGGTGACATGATTTTGACTGTTTTTAAACATTGCATTGCGCAAGGAATATTTCCTCGTATTTGGCGGCGCGGTAATATTCGTATAAAACAAAAAAGCGGCGACAAGCCACCGGATGATCCTAAATCCTAAACCAATCACATTGTTACCATCGTTAGGAAAGCTTTTAGAACGTGTTGGCTATTTACTTAGACATAAACATACATATATACATATGGTGGCCCATGCTGTTGCTGAAATTAAAATCACAGGGGTCTTTAAAAATATTTATTACCTTATCTCTTCGTACTTTTCATAAGGTACAACTAAACTAAGACTTGGTTATCATTCTGTGTCGAAGTGTCACTGAACCCTGAGGACATCCCATTGATACTAAGACGGAGCTTGAGAGATTAGCCAATAGATATTTGAACTTGATATCTTATTGCGATGAACGTAATTGCTTAATTTTTGCACCCAACAAAACCTTCTAGCTACTTTTAAAAGGTAACCTCAATTTCAACTTTTGCTTGATGGCTTTGTGGTAGAGTGTAACCACAATAGGCATGATGACAGATTTTGAAATACCTTTCTATAATATAGGTAGACGTCAACTATTTACGAAAATAACATGATTTCAGCAATCAGATGAGTTTTAACGTAAATAATTCCATTTCTTTTCATCTACTTTGAAATTCGCGCACAAACGCTCTGAAGTGTCATTTCGTCTGCGATGACGTCACGCCTAAGTAATTAAAACATCTGTGCTCAACGAAACAAGTCAACAAAGTGTTATCTACGGGTTTTGTGTGTTAAAAATGAATCCCAAAATTTATAAGTGGTGTGCGGTACCTGATTGCAAAAATACATCAATAGCAACACCTAACAAATTGTTTGTTTATGTTCTAAATAAGAAAAAAATTAGAGATACATGGCTAAAAATAGCATTGTACTTCAGTAGAAGATGGTTCTTCGCTCCTGCGATGGACCCACATAAGAAGTGCTATGGCATGCTTGCACCCTCCTTGAGCAGCAACACAATCATGGCATTGAATAGATATCACTTTTTCTTCGTCTTCATCAACTATCAAAGTTACTGTATATAACTTTGCATGAACTTTATGCTCTGGACAAATTTTGCATTTTACAGTGCACATTTTTCCTTCTCTTTGAAGTTGCACGTAACTTATAGCGTCGTCCCCATATGATGGTCGGGAGGATCTAAAATTGATGAAATTGATTAAATTATACACAAATACAGCAGGTAAAGAAAACATGGTGGTTATTAGTGCAGAATAAACAACTGACATTACATAGATGTTTCATTTAAAGGTGTAGAAGTGTTTCATAGTTAAATAAATGCAAATATTCAGTGCTTATTGCACTTGATAACGTAAGGAGTTGCACACCTCCGTAGCCACTATCAATAGTCACAGGTGTTAAAATACAATATCCATATCAAATGTGTTTCGATATCATCGTTTATTGGGTTTTACTTGCACTGATCCCCCACAGTACTAATGCTGTTTTGAAAATGTTAGGGCGTTCTTTACTTGCGAGTAAAACCTGTCAAACTGATGATTACCTCCCTTAAAGAGAATTTTACATATGATATTTAAAACGTTGATAAGGTTAACAATAAATATTAATAAAATGTACTTACAAGGAACTTTTCACATTTCGATATTCAGATGATCAAAAATCCTTATTTGATGAAAGAAAATCTCCCACCATCAACAAGTCCATCCTGGGCAAATTAGAGCTATTTGCCTTAATAAAACCTTGTTCCATCGTCGATGATTCTTGGATCTTTTATCTTTATGACAATAACCACGAATAAATCAGAAATTAACTAATTAAATAATGCAACAACAACTTAAAAGTGTAAACACAAACAAAACTCGAAAGATTCTGTGATGTTTACTTAGGCGTGACGTAAATCGCTCTGATTGGTGTTTCAGCTAAGATGGCCGATGCCTATATTTTATACTTTTATTTTATTAAAATCTAATAAATCTGGGTGTTTTAATTAAAACTATGTAATTTTGTAGAACCCTTTCAATACATTTTTTACTTTTAAACCATTTATTCTATAATTCTTTAACACTGTCATCATGCCTATTTCGCCAATGTCATGTATTTGAAAGACTAACTGTCAAAGGATTTTATGTAGAGCTGTGGTAGAGCTAAAAAAAGGTAACCTCAAATCACTGCCGAGCATTAAATTTGACAATGTCACTGTTAAAAATAAAACCTCAGTGTGTTATTTAGGATTAGTTTTAGAAAGAAACTTTTCATTTATCGAACATATTAAAATAGTTAGTGAAAAGTCTAAAAAGAGTTTCTGTGTATCATTCTGTGTATCAGGGTCTATCATTTAATACACTAAAGATCATATACGGAGCTACTTATTTAGGTTCTATGTGCTATGGTGCAGGTGCACACCTGTATGGGCCGATAGGGCAACCGTAGGCGCTGTCCGTAGCAAACTGTTACAAGGCCAACGACTTGCACTGATATTCTTGTGCAAGACATTTAGGACGGCTAGCACTGAGGCTTTGGCGGTGTTGGCGGGTGTGCTTCCGGTAGATTTTGAAGTGAGACGTGCAGCCATGCACTATTCAAGACAACAAAACATGGAATTCAATTTCTTGGGCGCACAAGCACGCGATAAAATTACAAGATTGCTTCAGCAGCAGTCCGATGTCCATAATGATCTCATAGACGACTGGCAACAACGCTGGGACGAATCATCTAAAGAGCGCCACCTTTACCAGTTCTTTCCGTCTGTTCGCGAACGGTTGTCCAGGACATGCCTTGAGGTGGATCATTGTGTTGCTCAATTTCTTACAGGTCATGGTAACTTGAAGAGCAAGCTGTATGCATTTAAATTAGTCGAGTCACCATTGTGTCAATTCTCAACACCTAACTCTAACTGTGAACAGTCTGCTCATCATATCCTCTGGGAATGTAGTCTTTGGTATAATGAACGTAATATAATGCATAACAGCTTGCAGGTGACATCTGGGGCGGTATACTATGGGGATCTTGTGTCAACTGGGGTTAATTTCCGTACGTTTAGGCGATTCTACCATACATATTATAGAAATCGAATATAGCTCACTTAGGACCCATAATATTTTGTGGCCGTGGTGCTTCCCTGTTTAAAAGGGTGTACGCCTATTTTACTTCATTTTGTCTCCCGCTTTGCTAAGGAGGGATGGAGATTTACGATATTTCCAACTGCTCCAATTTTCTTCTGATTAATATCGTTGCATGTTTTAAGACAGTTAATTTTTTTACTGGGACTTCCCGAGTGTCATAACTCGGTGTGTTCGTGGGTCACTGTTGTTGCTCTGTTGCACAGGAGTTACAGTTGTGGGCGTGTGGGAGGAATTAGTCACGATGGCCATCTTTTCCTATCTTATGATCTCCTCAAAAGCATAGAAATGGTTCTCTAGCTATCTTCAGAACACAGTGTATTTGTGTTTACATTGAGGGCTTGCCGTCGTGTTGGTGCAATCTCCTTACTGGCGTCCCTCAAAAGTGTATGTTATCTCCCTAATAATTTTCAATATTCATTAATCTCGTAACCCAACACTTTCAGTGGACGTATCACCAGTACAATGATGACTTACAAGTGTACACACAGTCAAGGGTTGAGGACATATCATACGCCATCGATAAAGTCAACAACGACTTGTACTATATAAAATGCTGGTCGATGAGGTTTCATTTGTCGATAAATCCAACCAACTGTCAAGTGATTGTCGTGGTGAATTCTGTATGTGCCCACATCTTATTCCTGCTTTTAAATATTCCCTATATTGTGTAATGCATATGTGTGTCTAATAGTGTATGTGTTTTTAGTGTGCTACATAAGTAATTATATGTGCTTGTTAGTCATATCTTCTATCGTACTGTAAATTTGCAACTCCCCATGCCATCCTTAATTTCCTTCTACATCTAGCGGTTGCCTGGAAGAGATCACAAATTCCTTCCCCACCCGCTAATATGGCTGCTGAGCCATCAACCGCCCCAAACCAATGCGGATGGTCTGGGATGAAATAGAGCTTTGCAATGGCTGATATGGCAACCCACAGCTCCATTAGCGACTGGATCAACAGATCCTGCGCTGTGCGGTAGTGGCTGAGGTTTCCCCGGAGGAGATGCGTGTGATGGGAATGTTCGGTCTCCACAAAGATTTACTTACTTTTTTTTTACAATCCGTGTGACAGATTAAGAATACGGAGTGTCACTCTGTTCATCCCATGGATGTCGTCAGAGCCAACTAAGGGAGCAAACTACGCAGGACAACAGCACTGCAAAGAGAAGGAAAACTTGAAATAAACTCTATCACAACCCGTTTAGCCATCGTTTTATAGTGGGCCAGAACCGCCTTTCCTTTCCTCTAAAGAGAGGCCTTTGTCCAGCAGTGGACTATTAAAGGATGTTAACGGTGATGATTGCATTTTCTACTTTGATGTATACATTGGGATAATTAATTATTATTTCATAGGTCTCCGCTAAGCACATGTTACGTTTACAGAGTCGATCGGTGGTACAGTATACAGTACCTACTGTGTCGGGAGTTATGGCTCTGCGCGCTTTCACTTAATACATGTGTTATAGTACGATCTCCATTTTTACTTAAACACCTTTGGTATAATTAAATAGCAAATTGTGGTCCTTTAACACTATACCTAACACCGCACAGTGATGAAATATTGTGAAAGTACTGTAATCGATTAATAGGTTTCAGTTTTAAAAGGTAAATTGACGCGTGATTTTCTAAAAGTTAGCAGAATCAAAACTATAAGCTATAGTTTACATCTAATATCGTTTGGTTAACACTACTGTTTTATAGCCTAATTTTTAGTCTTTGTAGTCTAATCTTGTTCTTAGGGTAGATGCGACATAACCACCGGTGGATGGTATCCGAAGGGGTTCCTCCAGCAAAAGAAAAAAACTGTAGATTTATTCGTAACCTAATCAAATGACTTTGAACAAAAAGGAAATGAAAGTGGAGGTGCAATATTTTGTTCCTTACATGTATCGTAATTATGTAGTTATAATATTTGTTATATAGTTTAAATATACATTACATACGTTAGGTAGACTAGATAGTCACACTAATTTGTGCCTTTACACTAGATTTTTTTATAAATTGGAAGAAATTACTTAAAACCATTGGTTTGTGTTCAGAATTATACTGTATGAATAAATTATCCTCTGGATAATTCAAAGTAGATAATATAAGTAAACGTATAATTTGTACCCACAGCGTTCCATTAATTATGATTTAATCGACCTTGAATTAAATTTAATAAAGTCGTAGGCGGTAATTATGTTAAATGCTTGGTTAAATTATTAACAATCACTAATCTTTGGTTACTGGTAATTATGTACCAAGTATACGGTGCGGATACAACTATATGTGATGTAATTTTATAAAATTAATAAAAAATATCTGTCTTTTCCATGGGACGAATGCTTCTTTTTGTTTAACTAAGCTTAGAATCTTTTAATATTTTGGATCCAGATCCCGAGTACTATGAAAGAAGGAAACGGTCAGAGTGACATGTAGGGGTCGCAGCTCTTGAACATGTAATATGATTAACTTCCTTTTCATAGCTTTTATTCTTTATTGTAAAAGAGTAGGTTTAGAAAAATAAGAGACAGAGGGGTGGCGTTGGCGGTTGGCTTTGATATCGTCAATGCGTTCGGCACCCTTCCCTGGCAGGCGATGAGGGTGGCCCTTGAATTTCACGAGGTGCCGCTATACCTGCGGGCCGTCATTGGACCTATCTGCGCGATAGGACAGTGAAGTTTATCGGTCGGAACAGGGTGGAAAATCGGAGAGAAATGTATTGTGGGGTTCCCCAGGGTTCTGTTTTAGGCCCTTTGTTGTTGAACCTCGCATATGATGTGGTCCTTCGCACCAGTCTGCCCTCTGGCCTCAGTATCGTCTGCTATGCTGACGACACTTTAATACTGGCTAGAGGGTCACATTTCGATGAGGTCCTTTGGCTCGCTGAGCATGGGGTGGCTTGTGTCGTGGGAAAGATTTATGAGCTGGGTCTGAGCCCTTCAGAAAACTGAAGCGATATGGTTACATGGCCTACGTAAGCGCCAGGAACCACCCAGCCCATGCCGCCGGGTGGGTGACGCTGAAGTAAAGTGGGCCCGGTACATGATGTACTTAGGCCTCATCCTGGACAGTCAGCCAGACAGACATAAGTCCCCGAGTGCGCGGGGTAGCGGGTGCAATGCATCGCCTGCTGCCCAATCTCGGGGGACCACGGGAAGAAGTTCGCCGTCTCTTCATGGGCGTCGTGGTATCCGTGGCCCTCTGTGGAGCACCCTTTTGGGGCCATGTGACCGCTGTAAACGAACCGAGACAGATGACACTCCTGTGCGGCCGGGGGGTGTCGTACAAGTCGGGACGCTATTGCGCCTTTTACTGTGAAGAGCAGTGAGAGGTGCGGCAGCGCCCTGCCCCAGGGTGACTATGGTCACCCCGGGATGTGCCTCAAACATAGGGCACGGCAGGGAGGACTCCAGAAGTCGCTGATGCGTTCCTGGACCTCCTCTCTGGTTTAGTAGGTAGACCGGTTCTCCGGGAGTCCCACACATGCCCTGCGTTTCCCCAACGGAGGGTATGGTGCAAAAAGCATTATTTCATTATTATATTTAGTTATAGTGTTGTATTTTTAAATTAACTAAATAAATCAGCGTTTATTATAAAGTAACCGTGAGATGGTTGTCTGACTAAATCTACTAAAAACCGGACTCCGTCTCGGGTACCAGTAGCCAGGGAACCGGGTAACCTAGAAAGAAGATCCCTGGTACCACGTATGACACCGGGTCATCAACGGGTTACAGATGGCCCCGTCGTTTTTGAAAACCACGATGCCACTTTCCTGCCTCTAAAGGGCGGCGCGGGCGCGCTCAGGAGCGCTTCACACCGCCACCCCAGCCTGCTTCTCCTAGGGTGACAGATCGAGCCCTTGACCACCTAGAGAAAACTGAACATAAAATATTCAGGTATCCTTAACGATGGGGATATATCAGTAGGGATGTATGAAGCAGGGTTGAAATACATCGTGTTTAGACACCCACGGCGTGGTTATTACCATTTTCTTCCAAGGTAACGTACATGAAAATTTTAAACTAATAACCCTACTAAACTAATAAACTAAACTAAAATAATAAACTAATAAAGCCTACCTCTATACATCCATTCATACTTATTTTTCAGTAATCGTTATCTTATTTCTTTAATTGTGATAATAATGTTAAGCAAAACATCCATTAAGTAATAAATAACTTGTAACCAGTACCATTGCTACGAATTTCCTCCTTACAAGCCAATGACATCAAGAAGAAGCTCTTGGTGTTCTATGCTTGTAAGATATAATAAATTGTTTGTTATAATGATTTACAGAAATTGTTGTCTATCCTCTTTATAAGTGGAAGGTACTCTCTAATACGCATATCATAGTCGAAGAATCTGAAGTGACCTAACTTATAGCGAAGGTGTAAGACCTATTATTTACTTGGCTTACCATGGATAGTGTATTTGAAGTAAAAATAAAATAAACTTGAAGATAACCATACACTTTCTAGACTCGACTAGAATCATACAGGGTTTCTTCAATTTAATTTTTTACAGTATACAGTAGGCATTTATTCATCTATCTATTACACAGAGCTTAAAACTAGTTGTTGAACACATTAGAAGGGTGGCAACCACACTTGGAAATGTGGTCCAAACTCGATAAGCTTCTTACGAAGTGCGGCCTCGAAAACCGCGTCACGAGACGCATCCCGGGGCGCTGATGTGTCACGGCCGTACTCGCGGGACACTTCACGGGCTGCACGAACGAGTTTTGTAACTTGCGCCACGCTGTCACGTACTTCTTCCACAGGTAACTGATAACATAATGCAATATTAGACACAATTAAGAGTATGTGATTGAAGTTATAAGAATACCTATTACCTATGAAGTATAAGTAGATCCAAAGGCAGTCTGTAAGAGTTTAGAACCTGTAATTGTATCCTCATCTACAGGTAGAGCTCTAAATTTGTCATAACTATTTTTTGTTGCATATTTATATATGCTCGGCAACAAGTAAATGCCTAATGCCTAGAAAATTGCCTAATCTGATCTACGGAATCTATAGGAAAAAGAGAGATATGGCTGCACGCCATATCTCTTTTTTTCCTATCTACACAGCCCAAAATATTAAGAAGGGGTTACATGGAGTGATATAAAAAGGTGTAGTCAAATTTTAGAAGTTTTTATTTGATTTGATATATCAAATCAAATAAAAACGAAAGGACGACTAAATAAAACTTACATCATCACCCGAGGGTAGGCTGTGTGGATATATTCGGACCCAATGTCCCACTCGCCCTATGGCCTTGTTCCACTTGACGCCGTTGCCCCAATGGCAGGCGGTCATAAGACGACGTCGCGTTGCAGCAGTGGCGTAACCACCGCGCCACGATTCATCCACGCATTCCGATGATTGTAAAGATACACTCGATGTTGACTGCAATTTGAAAGGTACTAAATATGAATGACTTTTCAGAACTACACCATTGTCGAGCTTTTTAGTGGTGCCTTAAAATTATTAAAATCATCAGTCTAGCTCGTCTCTCTCTTAAATAAATATACAAAAAATGCCATGTTTTAAATACATTATTGAAATGATCGCAGGTTATTCAAAAAGTAGAAGTACAAGATCAAAGCTACTCTCATGATAACACAATTGATGATTTGTTTTGGTGCCAATTGTGTTGTTTGTGTTATTGCACACACAATTTTGGCCTTGGTTTATTGATTTCATCCCACTAAGTTGCATGATTACGTGCTTTTAACAGCGATCAGTCAAATCGATATAAATTATTTTATTTCGCGAAAATGTAGACTTGCAATGTATGTTGGTCTACGTATGCATACGCAACCATGCGTAAAAAAGAAAATCAAATATGCAGGAAAAATAGGAACCTATAATTTTTCAAAGCCTCTCTGACAACAATTTCTTAAATTTCTGCGAAATTCACTAAGAGATCGTAAATATTTGTCTTATAAGTAATTTTAATTGTACTTTATTTAAATTAATTGTTTACATTACAATTACTTTAATTATAGAAATGTAAAAAAATATTTACGTAAAATATAAATAAAAAGTTTCATTCGCAGTGTTTGTTTATTGTCATATAAGTCAAAATATTTGGTAGTAAGTTACATTCAAAGCAACATGACTGCCGAAAGTCGTGTCGTGTAACCAACAATTCAATGTCAAGTACCTACTAAGCGATCGAGTCACGTAAGGTTGATCCGTTTGATCTATTTTCAACATTCCATTTAAATATTTCTGTCCTTGTATATTATAATCGTCCTAATTACAGTAAATCTTTCAGGTATTGTAAAAATAATAATAACTGACTATTATTTCAAATATTAATAACAAAAACAATAGGTTGACTGTCAGTATTCCTAAATTGATGTACATTTTTTTATCTGCCGAGTTATTTGCACTAGCAATTGCCGTGTACAAATAGATAAATTAGCAGCATTAATAGTAACTAGTAGCATAAAGTCTACTTTATATAGTAAAGATAGTAATACAGTATCGGTGGTGCAGGACTGCACTAGATCAGGGTGCTCTGCCAGTGCCTTGAGAAGTTGAGGCACACCGGGCTGATCTTGGTGGGGAAGTGTGACCAACGGCTTGCATGGCTCAATGTAGAGCACGCCGCTATAGCGACAGTATAACTCGTCCTACGAGAGTAGCTGGCGAGGAAACACGAAGCTCTCAAATTCCTAATGAAACGGGTGCTTTCCGGACATGATTGCTTTGGCAAGTACCTGTGTCGGATTGGCGGGAGCCGACATCACGGTGCCATCATTGTGATGACTGCTCTGACGACGCGGCGCTTCACACGCTGGTGGAATCGTGCGTGATCTTATCGCGGTAGTCAGTTCTGCGGGTAGCGTCTGGCTTCCGACCTTGGTTTTGTCCATGGTCCGGAGAGATATTGCATGAAGCGCCGTCGCTTCCTTCTTCGAATATCTGATGTCAACAAAGGAAGCAGAACATAGCACCGCTGTCTCTACCGGCCGGAGGGCATTCGTCGACCTCCGTCCACCTTAGGAGGTGGCCTGCGGGCGACGATTTTGGGGAATTCGTCGTCCGAACAGATACAAGCCCAAGAGGCAGCGCACGGTGTGCCGTGTGCGCTTCTAGAGGACTGCGACCGGAGGGTAACGGTCGCAACGGGTGACGAGACCCGTCTAGGGTAAGACGGGTCAATGTCTGTCGGTGGAAGAATGCAATTGCGATTCTCGCTCCCCCGGCCATTGGCACGGAGAGGAACACCGGGGTGTTTATTAGTCGGTAAGAGTCCGACAGACCCCTTAACCACCCCAAAATGGGCGAAAGACATCCATGAGGATATTCCACCCCGTTAACAAAAATCACCGTTTCTTTTTATAGATATAGCCATTGTTACAATGCGTTAGGATCCCATTATATAGTAACTAATGATCGATTGTGCTAGTGCAAAATAAATAGATATATAGGATATATATAGAAGGACATCACAGTTTAAGGCTAATTGACTATCAAATTAATAATTGTACTATATCATGCAAAAACATACTTCTAATTGTATCCATTTTTAAATGCAAAACATTTAAATCAGGAGAAGCTTTAGAATCATGATTACCTGTAAATCAGCGTTATCGCCACTGTCATTACTTTTATGTCGTCCGCTCTGAGGCTCCTTGGTTTTTTCTGAAGTCTCCTGTTTTTGGGTTTAGTAGTACGATTAAGTAGAAATACTTGGATAAATTTGGAAAAAAGTTCGCATAAATGGTAAGTAACAATAAAGCTGATTTTATCATGTCGTTTAAAAAGTAGGACCTTTCACGAATCACTTCGTTTTTTTTTCATTTTTTCTTTTGTTATTCTACTGATATTCCTAGCAACATTTTGATTTGAAATATGTCTGAAAAATACAGTAATATGTATTTCGATCTATGTTTATGCGGACAAAGATTAATGAAATTTAAATACATTTTATTTCTTGCATTGACCAAAACTTTTAAGGCTTTATCTATACTAAATAGTATAGATAAAGCCTTAAAAGTTTTGGTAAATATTGGAGAAATGTTAATATTAAATATTTATGATAGTAAAAAATTACAATCCTGTGTCTAACTGGTCAAACTAACCGCCGATTTAAAAAAATAAATAGTAATCATTAATAAAAAATATAATAGTAAAATGTGTTGGGTTCTGTGTGCATGTTGAGATGTGATTATACAACTTGTACAGCGGTACTTTTTCGATAATCTAAACAATAGTGAAAATTTGACTACCGTCCTTATCATATTTAGCTTAAACTTAACTTCGAAAGAGTTTATGATCTAAAGATCGCGCTTAGAGACCATCTAATCTAAGAGGTACCGTCTGAAAGTTCCAATAGATTGAAGAATAAATAAGGGGTCAGAGAAATCGATTGTAGAATTGAAAAAATAGGTCTTTGCTGTTACTGTTTTTTGTTATCTGCATGTGTTGACATATTAAGGCAAAAATAAAGGGAGAAAATTTCAATTCGACTGTACAATTTCTGCCGTAGACCGAATCTGCCGTAAAGCGATCTGTCTAGAAGTAAATCTGTCCTAAAGCGAACACGGGCATAAAAATTATTATTTTAATAGAAATTAACTAAATAGTTAATACATCACACAAACAGTAAATAAAATCTATTTTTATGCTCAGTGCGTTTGTATGCGAGTGTACCTGCGCAACATTCGGTTTACAGCTAACTTCATTGGCGCAGACTTGTATAGCGCGTATTGTAAATACTAAAAGACGTCTGGATTGAAAGTGGCAGGTTATTAATAAGATTGAAGAGTCTGAATACTACGGTACAGGGCCTAACTACGTGACTTTGAAATGAAGTCTAAAAAAAGTTGTATCTATCTTAAATACTGGTTATTTTGCTTTGTTTAAAAGATTTACCTTTAAATTTTTTCATTAAGAATTGGACATCTTGTTATGAAATAGCTTCATAATTCCAGGCGTTTATGGAAAAGTCTATTATAATTGTTTGACTTACGCCAACACAAAGTTGTTTCGGCTTGAAAAGTATGAACAGCCAAAAGGTACCTCTTAGATTAGATGGATTACAGTAGACAAATTTATTTCATCAAGCCAAAGCGCTTGTTATCAACCATACAGATCGAAAAAAAAGTGTCATACACGATATATACACATTGATCGCTGTGGTTATGTGTGTCGGTCTAAGTCAAAACTCCGTGATAAGTTTTCTAAGACGATAATGTTTATACCTTCAACCAAAAAAAAATACACATTTAATACATACATTGGTCTTCTCTGTTTCAGTTTGAATGAGCTGAGTTATAGGTTGGGTACCAGGTCCCTGAAGCGTAATACAGTTCATGGGTAGTGCACGTCGTCGGCGCAGGCGCTGTCCACGTCGCGGGGCATTACGCGCGCGCGTTGATCGTGTCGTACCACTTTCCTCATCGGAACTGCAACTAATTGAAAAACGCGTTCCAACAATGGATAACATATTTGTGCATTTGCATAGCACATTTTTTTAATGTGACTTGATTGTAATTTTAAGGAATATGTGGACTGTTTTTAACGATTTTACTTGTGCTTTAGTAAAATCTAAATATCCATGAACGTAAAACTCTAAACCCAAAGAAAACATTGAGGACGCAGTTCTGAATCTTACACGAACACTACTGTAAATGGGTGTTCTAAGACCTATTTACAGTATTTATTTTATTTGTTTGTATTTATTTTGTGTGTGTAAGTGTTGAAGTTGGAACACCCAAGACGGTTTCTGTAATAAATGACTTAAATTTGAATAGAAGTTAATAGTTCTGTTTAAGAATGGATTTCAGTAAAAAGTTCCTAATTTAACTTTACATTGATTTTTAGACAAATCAAATAGATTAATCGGTCGTCGTTCATTTATATTTAGTATGTATTCAGTTGATAGCTATAATATCCTTTAAAGTTACAGTAACTAGACCAGTATTTATTGTATGAACTTAAGCGAGCCTAGCAGTCTTTTAATTACCTACCTATTATTAATTGGCAATGGAGGTGCTTTTAACTTGGCAAGTCCAGTATGCTTCATGGGCAGACCCAGCAGATCGAACAGCTCATGAAGCATAGGCTGTTTTACTACAATGTCAGCTTCACAGTCTGATGCCAATGCGGGAGAGAGATTCACCTGAAACATTGTACCAAAGTCATTTTGTCTTAGATACTTTAATTGTTAGTTATTGCATTCGAATAATAATTATTCTAAATCACATTACACATACATGTGTATGTTGTATTCTACTCATTGGTATCGCATTATAACCCAAACATGTCTTGTCATGTTTTCATCTATCTTTTGTACGGTAGTACCTGCTCTAAAACATTATCAATTCAAGATCTTACAATGAAAGTGTCATGTTTGTCGCCATAGGAACGACAACAAAACATTCAACATGTCAATTCATTTCATTCAAATCAAAACTTTTAATTGTAGACTATTTTACAATAATACTTTTCAGTTAAAATCTGTCCGATTATGTGTTAAGCTGTATCATGCATAATAAATACTTACGGAACAGAATATAATTTCATTACCTCCAACAACCAAGGTTTCAATGAATCATCTAACAATACATCGAAGCCGTAAAACTCGAAGCAGTTCCTTGCTGGGGGGGTACCAGTTGCTTGAGCCAACAACGTCAGTGTCACCAAGGCACGAACCCGTTGCCACATCACCCACTCTGCCGCTCCCCAACGACCAACGAGGGCTTTTCGAACTTGAGTCAACGTCCACTTACACCCTGTAAGTTTGAGAAAAGATGCATGTTATTATATCTATCTAATACCTTTAAACAAGCAATTATTGTATAAATGGATATATGGATATATATATAATTATATATATATTTATATATAATCTGAATCTCGGAAACGGCCCCAGCGATTTTCATGAAATTTAGTATGCAGGGGGTTTCGGGGTATTAATCGATGCAACTAGGTTTCATTTTTAGAAAAATTACAAAATAAAAAAAAACCAGCATAAAAATCCAATTTGTTGTTAAAAGTTTATGTGTACTTAAATGTCCAGTATAGTAGTAAGTAACTTAAGTTTATTTAGACCTTATATTATTTTAAAATGATGAAAGTTCGAAACATCTTTAAACTTCAATAGTGTTTTAAAAGCTTCAGACATCTGTACATATATTTACTGCAAGCAGGAGGAACTTGTTTGAAGAAATTAAGGGCCCGATTTAAACAGCCGATACTATGAAGTAATAGAAACCTACATATATACATTATATAGGTTGTTACAGGAAGGTGAAGTCATATTTAAGGAGCACACAATATATACATATATATATGTATATATATCACAATAGTCCGTTGTCTTTTAAAACAAAAGCTATAACAATTTCAAAATCAATGGATGTTATAATAATCTATTATTTATTAGCTACACATATTCCTAAGATTTGATCCTTTCAGTGTAACGTACTCCGAATAAATCTGATCAATCTACATATATCAACTAAAGGACGTCTCAGTAAGAGTGCACTTGTTCATTTTAAAATAAAAACACGTATTTTATGAAAGAGTTGTGATATTTTTATTGGATTGTAAAGAAATGTTCCGATTAAGTATGGAATCAGAATTTCGTGAGATAATGTGTTCTGGCAATCGCTGCTGCAATAAGTCAATTGTTTCATGCGCGGTGTGGCAGGTGACGAATTCCGTTCACAGTCACTGCAATTTCGGCCTCATCTACAAAAAAAGTAAAACCAAAAGCCACACCAGACAGTTGCTCGTTATGGGTGCATTTGTTTCCAAATTCCACAATTTTGTACGTAGCCAATCAGATCGAAATGCGCTTCATCGGAGAAGAAGACTTTTTTTCGAAAAATTGGCATCGACTTCACTGTGCTCCATTACCCATTGAACGAATTGCCTGCGCATTCCATTGTCTGCTGGTTTGAGCTCTTGAGTTAGATGAATCTTGTACGCATGAAGGTGATTTGTAAAATTTGAAGTGGTTGCGAACGATGCCGAATTAATGTTTTCGGGTTTTCGGCGACACTCTCGTTTACAACAGCAATGTTTTCAAGAGACCGACCGGTACGTTGACGCAAAGGATTCTTCATATCCATAATCTACCCAGTTTATTAAAATTTCGAATGGTTGACACATTCGGTGCACTTTCTCGACTAAAAATTTAGCGAAGTTTGCGAGCGGTCTCAGCGTAACCTTACCCATTTCTGTAATGAGTTTTCAAAATTATAACGCGTTGTTCTTTCGATAAGCGCTCCTTTTTTAATAATCGGTACAAACATAGGTGACAGCTGTCAAATTTCAGTTGCCACTTGCACGAAAAAAACGTTTAAACGTGCAGTCTTATTGAGACACTCTTTAGAAATTCTTAGCTTCATAATTCAATTCAAGCCAAGCAGCATCGAACTATTTTGTTACAGACTCTCATGCATCTCTCTTGAGTAAAACCTTACACTTACACGTTTACTTTACTGGTTATTACTAGCATGCGAGCCTAAGATAAATTTCGACTTTAAAACTACTCTAGAATTATACTTAATATGTTCCTTTCATTAAAAAGATTTGCCAGAAATATATACATTTATTAAGAAAAGCCACTACTAAATATCTTCATTAAACGACATAATATATCGTTTAAAGAAGAATATTATTCTTCTTTAGGTAGCTGACTACAGATGTCGATGCTGCCGGTTAACAATGTTCTATACTAAAAATCGTATAGAACTTCAAACGTATAGAACTTCTATAGAGTAGAAACACAGTTTTGACAAATTTTACAAGTATTCCATACCCTAAGCTGATTCCTATTCTAGGTCAAAGCTATGTTCACACTTGTTCTTAAACTTGTACATACGATATTACGGTGGTGCTGCCATTCCTTTAGCCAGTTTACTAAATCTAACGCCTTCTTCTACACTCTTCACTCGTGCGCACAAGACGCCTGATATGTTCTAGCGCCAGGCATCTGGAAGAACATATTAACACTCACCACTACCAATACGGTCCTTACATTCAGCGTATCGAGGGCCTGATTTGTTGAGCGATGAGTTGGTCAGGTGCCTGTAGCGGTTGTGGATATCCGATAGTGTGTACTTGTCCGTACCTGGAAAGTAACAAGGTACTCGTGTAAGTACAAAGCATTAAAGGACAGTTCCAACTACGCAATAGTGGAATAGGATGTGCCAAGATTTTCTACAGAAGTGAACAAACCTTCAATTCTCAATTCAAAACTTCTTTCAAACAGTTGCCTTAAATTGTGTAAGGGTATGAGTATAAAATACTTTCAAGTCAAACAGAGAAACACTTTCCCGTAGCCCGAAAACAGTGGTTTGCTAATTCAAAATTACCTTTTTAGTTTATCATATTGCTTCGAGTAGGTAATTGGTCGAATTGATTCAAATTTTATATTGATAATTGTGAGTTTCGGAGACAGACAATGAAACTCTTCAAAATATGACAGCAAATAAACTGCGATTGCTGCTAGGTTTTTAGTGATCTTCGTTAGTATAGTTTGAAGTCGGTTCAACTTTTTTTAAGAAGAATTTCTTGTTGTAAGCTAGGCAGAACCGACACCTGTTGGATTTATGTTTAAATCAAAGTGTGCATCATGTACTAGAGTGCACTGAATACCTATACTTGTAGTTACGTTAATATTACATGGTTTAGCTATAGCGATAGACAGCGAGGATAAAATGACTCACTAATAAAAGACGAAAATTGACAAATGTAGCTTATAAGAACCTACAGAAATAAATAAATATATTTCTATATATGTAGTGGATCACTAATTTACCCGTATGTATTCAAAATACACACTACATGTCTATAATAAATATGTCTGGGTGTTAGTATTGTGATTAAAAATCAAAAGGATAGCTGTTTGGCATTCTAAACATGAATGCGTTATAAAAAAATTATAAATATGTGTGTATATTTTTAATTAATTGATAATATAATGTCAAAACCTAAAATATACGATCAGGTAAACAGTCTTGATGTATGTACCGAATCTAGCAAGTCCCTCGGCGTACATGTACGCTGTAAGCGGCCTGTACCCAGGCACACACACGTACAGCCGCAGGTCGAATTTGTAGCCTGCAATCAGCAGGGGTCGCTCGATATACCTCTGTACCACTGCTGAAGTACCACAGCTCATGTCGCAAACGCTCTGAAACCAGAATTAATAAGTACCTTGTTTATCCAGGTATTTATTCAGGGTCGGTTATGGAAATGTCACTCTATGAGCTAAGAAGCCAGGGGTGCTAAAAGTCCTAAAGTAAAAATTATAAGTAGTAAAAAACATAAATTAAGTGTAGTAAGTAAAAAATTTAATCACCATTGTCTACATTCAGATCACCATGTTGACAATGGTGATCAAACCAGTGTTTTTTTTAAATCTTTAGTAATCTAAAATGGGTAAGCTAAAGTGATTGACGTTGTTCTCAATTAATAGTTAAATAAGTAAAGTTTATTATAAGAGCAAAGCCAGCCAACAAAGTTGATTAGTGGTTTTGGTTTTATATCAATTCTCGCTTAAGTGATCCCCATTACCCCGAAAACCGCACGCCGTCTCGGGTACCAGTAGCCGGGAAACCAGGTGTACCCTAGAAAGGAAATCCCTGATACCCCGACATACCCCGGGCCATCCACAGCCCCTCCTGTGTGGGAACCCCCATGTTCCCTTTGTGCTCCCAAAAGGGCGCGCGCGCTCGGCAGCGCGTCTCGCCGCCACTCCGTCCTGCTTCTGCTTCTGCTAGGTGGACAGATAGCCTCACCTGTCACCCCCAGGCCTGACCTTATGGAGGACGGGAACGTTCTGCGACCTCCGGCGCCTGAGTCGTCTGCGGTACCTGACCCGTTCCCGGGCCTGGCGGGCCGGGAGAGTTCTAAACCTCTCCCGGTCCCGCTCCGCCATCTCCTTCGCAAGTATAACTTGCTCGCAGAAAAAGACCTAGATCTTCCCTATAATAAAGTTAAATTACAAAACCGAAGATGAAGGTAAGTTAATATGTACTTGAGCGTTTTACTACCATATTAGTAGTAGTTAAATATTTTAAACAAATACAATTTCAAGCGGTAAATAATAAACATCCATGGTATTTATAATGAAATGTTAATATTAATACATATCGTATATTAAATCTTGAAAAAGTGTTGTGTCGTAACTTACAATAATTTCAATTAATATTGCAAATGATAAATAATTTACTCTTACATAGATGTTTTTCTGGGTTCTAATATTGTATTAATTATTCAGTCAGACAGTATTATTTACTTATTGATTTTATTCTGCACAGATGACAATAAAGTTTAAACCACGAAAACAGTGCATTACAATAGATTAATATTACAAAAAGAAGAATCAATATGTACGCGTAGATGCGAATGAGTAAATATACGTATATAATTGAACAATGTATAAAAGTAAATATATAAATAGTAAATTGTTTCATTAGTGTAGATGTTTCTTACTGTTTTTTTTACCTTTAAGTAAAAAACAAAGTCTCTAAATAAAGGAGAATGTCCATTCATGGTTTCATTTTTAGACCGTCGCGTCATTATTTCAAATGTTAAAAGTAAGATTGATTGTAATGTTACTTTTTGACCCTGAATCTCTTCTATAGAACTTAAGGTTTGAAATTTAGTCTTACAAGGACTAAAACTTGAATCAATGACCGTTTCCATTTTAGGTTAAATGTTGCCATTGTATAAAATAAACATAATAATAATTTAATATAATAATTTTATTAATAATAATAATTAATATAATTTTATTTATGGTTGAATGCAAATAAACACCGTTTTAAAATAAAATGGTTAAACCAATTATATACGTCATAATTAAATATATTGCAATTTTGTAATCTTATTATTTCGCGTATTTAGAATTGTATTCGTAGTTTATTTAGCGAATGTATGCTTCATTGTTAGTTTTGCCTTACTTTATACGCGGTCTCCCTGTCAAAAACACGATGCCATAAACTAAAATGTATATGACATTTACAAGAAACATCTCAATAACCACAAATTCTGTTACAATTGTAACAGTCATTAATTTTATCGCTTACCATATTTATACTCATCACTAATTAATAATATTATTCACTTTAAACACTAATTTAATCTAATAGTAATATTCCTAAAAACCCAAGTTATTCATAATCATAATTTTAAGTCGACTCATGAATCGATTGTTTTCCGAATGTTGCAACACTGTCTCGGCCCGCCATTTTTTTGAATTGTGAACCCGCCATTTTTTTTTCGAATTGTGAACCCGTCGGGTACAGCTGTGCAGCGAGAGTGTTTTGAAAAGTCAAATAAAATACTGTTACAAAGTTTGTGTTTACATCAAGAACCCCATCCTTCTGAGCGTTTCAGCTCAGAAGTGGGATAACAGCAAAAATATATTGTCTTTGCTACGCCCACAGGTCAACACATAAGGTACGTGATTTTTTTTTCTCGTCCTGTTAGGTAAGGTAGATTATAATTATACTGTCTTTTTAAAAGCTATATTTGTTTGAGGCTAAATATGACGAATACAAATTGAAATTGAGTAATTGAGTAACAAAGCCATCCATATTTAAAAAAAAACTATAACATTTTTTTTTAAATTACGTATTTTAATTTATTTAATTATTAGTATTCCGTTTCATTAATGTTGGTAATATCAATACAAACGCTTAAGTTTTCTACTTCTACTAAAACTGTACTAATAGTACTATTACGGTGTACTAGTACGGTGCGAACCTGCAGATGTCCGATCAAGCACAAGACTAAAAATTTTGTATTCTTGTCTACTGTTTATTATTGTGCAATGCATATGCGTTTTGATTAAATCATACTTACATAGGTTGGTATTTTAAATTTTTAAATTTTTTATATCGGTAATAAATTGAGATACGGTTACTAAATAGCCCCAAACCTATTTATATTCCATTTCGATTATAACTGAACTGAAAATAGAGGCTAAGACCTGAGATGCGATTGGATTGAATTAATTTTAATATTCCTAATTTCAACACTTAGTCTTGGAAAAATATACCCGTATTTGATATTAGAACGGGCAGTAAAATACGTTACCTACGCACAACAACAGGAATCTTAAGACATTGGTGTGATGAAAATCGATTGAAAATAATTTAACCTCAGAAAATCTCTTGCTCCATTTTTAATTTTGAATAAGTCTCAAAACACAAGAAATACAAGAAGTTCGTTCGAGTTTCAGATAATGGAACGCGGTAGCCCTGATGATAAACGGTGTCGAAGTCGTAGACTTCGAACACCCGTACCATCTGGAAGCCTCATACTACCAACAATGGAAGTCGAACGTGATGCAGGGAACAGCGGTGGTATGCGACGAAGTCGGAGCCGCGTGAGACACGAACGTCGGAGCCAGGATCAAAGCCGAAGCCGGAGCCGTCACCGCATCCGGAGCATCCAACGCAGCCACCACAGTAACCGTGAGCTATTATATCAGAACCTGAATTTACTTGAGAATAGACCGAGTCGTAGACGGGAAATATGTGGTGGATATCAACAACGCAGTCGCAGTCGCAGTAGATCTAGGAGTAGCCGCCATAGCCGTAGTCGTAGTCGTAAAAGGAACGACGAGAATGATGAGTTGCGCGAGGCTACGTCTGTTAGAGCAAGAGCTAATGAGACAACGTAGCCGCAACGTGATTTCACACGATGTCACTGATAACCATCGACGGCGTGACTCCCCGTCTAGAAAGAATCGCAGCCCTCTCGGAAACGACATTTGTAACCAAGAATCCCAACGGCCAAGGGTCATGGAACCAGCTAATTTCTTTGAAGAATTTGTCAACATTTTTAAGGGTAGGGATCGTGAATCGTTTCCTGTACTACATAATGTTCTTTCGAATTTTGACCCGCTTTCTCGGGAACAGACTATTGACATGTGGATAAGTAGAGTAGACGAATGCGCGGAAATTTATAATTGGAATGACCGGCAAACGGTTCACTATGCCCTGCCCAAACTAGTAGGATATGCTAAGACCTGGTACCAGGGCTTGCCATCTATTAGGCATTCGTATGAAGAGTGGAAGACTTTATTAAGAGAATCCTTTCCGTCTACCGAGAACTATGCTGAATATTACACCCTGCACAGAGCTTCGGTTAGTTAAATCAAACCGAGCATGAGTGCATTTTGAAAAGGATAACTAGTTACCCTATTTGAGAGCTTTGGCAGATTTGGCAGATTCGATGAATGATTATGTGCTCAGTGAGGGTGTTTCATAGCACAGAGCTTGGTTGGATGCGAGCTGGACATGAGTGATATGTCCTTGAGGGTCATAGCACAGAGTTCAAGCGGAATCTAACCACGCATGAGTGATATGATATAACACGCAGCCAAGGCAAATTGATGGTGAAAGACGTGAAGTAACCCCCTTTTGTCTAGCTATATCTAAGCATAACAGTAGAGTTGTAGTAAGATTATACTTATTTTTATCTTAAATTAAAAATCAGATAAAAAAATAATAAACAAGGTTAAAAGTTAGATGATCAGTTTTAATGTTGTTGATTGTTTGTTTGTTGTTGAACTCTAAACGAAGGGACTCGTTTATGTGACGGATGGCCGACTGTAACAGTCATTAATTTTATCGCTTACCATATTTATACTCATCACTAATTAATAATATTATTCACTTTAAACACTAATTTAATCTAATAGTAATATTCCTAAAAACCCAAGTTATTCATAATCATAATTTTAAGTCGACTCATGAATCGATTGTTTTCCGAATGTTGCAACACTGTCTCGGCCCGCCATTTTTTTGAATTGTGAACCCGCCATTTTTTTTTCGAATTGTGAACCCGTCGGGTACAGCTGTGCAGCGAGAGTGTTTTGAAAAGTCAAATAAAATACTGTTACAAAGTTTGTGTTTACATCAAGAACCCCATCCTTCTGAGCGTTTCACAATATACGCTAATATTTCAGATAATCAGAAAGTAGTAAAGAAATCAGATAGGAAAATTGGTAGTAAGTACATCACATTATCAACAGCCTTTAATACTTCCTACGAGTCACATAAGCAGATAAAATCTCCTATTTTTTGCTTTTCCATAAAAAAATACTTTTTTTAAATTAACCTTTCTTTCTTTCTAATTGTTTTAAGAAACTAATACGTTTTACCGAATTATCTAGATGAAAAACCAGACAGTTTTTTTTTTCGTATTGAACGTAAAAACCTAAAAGTAGCCTATGTCCTTTCCAAGAATTAAGGTCCATCTCCATGTCAAATGTCATTCAAATCTGTTTAGCGGTTTAGTCGTGAAAGCGTAACAACAAACAGGATTACTTTTACGCACCTATAATATTAATTGGGAGTTTACTAATAACACTAGTTCATCGGTGTTAAACAATCTCTAAAACTGATAGCCTGTAATCATGGACACATACGATACCTATCAGTAAATTGCAAGGCCAGGGTATTTTAAATTCATAATCAAACTGCAATAAATCAGTATAACATGATTGAGTGTTGTTCAGGTTTAAAATAAAAATATACTTTATTACTCATTTACTCGTTTACCAATGTTGACAAAGAAAGGCAAATAGCAGTTGCGTTGCATTGATCAATAAAATTCAATTACCCGACCCCACGCAAAGAAATAAACAATTGTACTTGATTTTTTTTTGTGTTCACAATAGCAAATTTCCTCGAGAATATTTAAAATTATTCAAGTCTGTAAAATATTAATAAGTAAAATGTTTCAAGTATTGAAACATGATAACCTCCAAGGCCTTCCGATCTGCATTTTCAAAGTTACCAGCTACTAATATTCTATTGATATGTTAATATAAATATTTACTTCATAGTTATTTTACTAAAAAGGGCTCGTGGCTAAGTGGTAAACGAGTAGGTTAACACATTGCACAGTTAAACAATGATAGCCAGGTTAGCCTATGGGCCCCCGTGCCTTCCTAGGCAAGTTAAGCCGTCGATCCCGGTTGCCATACGAACATCTGCGGCAATCGTTACGGGCAGTTGGAGAACTAAAAAGTGCAATAACAGCCTTTCTACAGAACTTCGATATCGCTTAGTACTTGGGTTGCGGAGGAATGATGGCAGTCGCTCCGCGTAAAAAAATCGACGTTCAGCCGTATCGACTCAACTCAAAGTCGAACCCAACCTAGTTCAGGAAAAGGCTCGGAGGAGGACGAAGTGGTTTCACTAAAAAAATGGAATTTTTGTTACTTTAAAACCAAGAACCGGCTTTTGACAATTTTGACAAATGGAATAGATTGAGTTACTTTCATTGGCATGAAATCACGTGTAATGATTATATTATTATTATTTATTTTCTGTCACCGCAAATTGTTATACGACAATTTTTTCCATCACCCAAATCAAACTCAAAATACCTTTATTTCATAAAAATTTCCAGAACTGTTTGTAATCGTCTCTCGTGTAGACTCTAAAGTCATAGATCATAAGACAATAGCAACAATCTTTGTTTTGTCAAATATGAAGCAAAATAAATATATACGTATATAAAATCCGGCAAATTGCCAGCGTGAGCCTGAGCTCACGCTGGCAATGGACTCGGCTGACCGAGTCCTCACTGCAATCTCAGTGGTGACAGGTGGGACTTAATTCCCTTCTAGCGATTAAGTGCAGGTACTTTCGGAAGCAGCCGTGCCCAGAAAGGACCTGCGATAGTCGAGGTAAGGAAAGGGTCCTGTGCTGCCGCTCTGCCCACTCGACGATGACCGGCTGGAGTGCCTCCACGGTGGCAAAACGGTGGAGCCTCCAGCCGGGACGAACAACGAACTATCGTAGCTCGACGAGCGGCCTCACTCGCGTACTTCTTGGGGTGGGAGCCGACTGCCGCTAACCGCCCGGAACTCGGTCGTCCGCCGATATGCTTCGCGAGAGCACTGCCGCCTCTAAATCCCACGGGGTAATTCCAGCCAACGCGTACGCCACCTCCGTCGACACGGTGCGGTAACCGGGTTTGGCTCTAACCGCCAATACCCTTTGAGGACGCCAAAGGCGTGCCCTATTCTGGGGAGTCAGAGCCGCCACCCACACTGGTGCACCATACAGTGCCATTGACCGGACAACCCCCGTGTACAGCCGTCTCGTCGCGATGCTGGTCCACCCATATTAGGCAAAAGTCGCCTAAGGGCAGATGCAGCGCCGACCAGCTTTGGGGCAAGCTTTCGGAAGTGCTCGTCGAAGAGCCACCTCCCGTCGAGCATCAGGCCCAGATACTTCATCTGGACCTAAACCAGTACGAGGACTGAGTTGACAACGATTGAGGCGCCAGGGGGAAGACCACGACGAGCCCATGAAAAAAGAGGGCCTTCGTCTTATCCAGGGCCACCCGGAAGCCCAGCGCCTCAATGCGCCCGACCACCAGAGAGACTCCCCAGGCGACTCATCGGCGTAACAAATTACACACAGCCCTTGGGGAAAATCAGCTCGAAGTGCCCAGTCGTGGCCTATGTTCCACAGGAGGGGTCCAAGAACAGACCCCTGTGGAACACCGCACGGAATGGGCCGACCTCAGATTACTATCTCGGTCCTCTTACACCACGGTACGCTCCTCTAAGTAACCTGCCACCAGCCGCCTCAGGTACTCGAATACTGAATTGGGCGTCCGACAGATCGGGGCCCACCTCGTAGAGGTGGCGAACGACGCGGGCAGAGAGTACCCTCTCAAACAATTTACGTGCCTCGTCCAGCAACACAATGGGCCTGTAGCAGCTTCCCGCTCTGCCAGCACTCAGGGAAACGTTTGGACGAAAAGTTATCGTCAACCATGAGGTCGAGAGCTCTGGCCAGCACTTGGGCAGTTATCCCGTCTGGCCCGTGGGTAGTGTTCTTGGAGTGGATCCTAGAACAGCCGCCCTTACCTCCAAATCTATGAAGGGCGGAACATCTTAATAGTTATCTTCGTAGCCGTTGTTGCGCCACGCGATAGGGACGACCCCAGGGGTCACGGTCGAGACCCACCAGCATCTCCTTTCTCTTTGTTTCCTTGGCGAAAATATGTATGTCTGTACCGATCTACAACCGCCCGTTTCTACTATACAAACAACTACTATTATTTTTACAAGCTGCTATCAGTATTCTACTATACAAACTAGAAGACACCGACGATATTGAGAAGTTAAACAAATTCTTGTTCCTTGTTCTAAAAGTTGCTTCTAAAAACAATTCAAGTGAACATAAGCAATACATACACGGAATAGGAAGATGCCTCTGCCCTGGCTCTGAGCAACTGGCTTATGGATCCATACAACATTGGCTTCATCATCTCGCCTCAGTCTCGTACATTCTGACACCAACTTCGCGTATTCCAAAGGCAAATGAAAACATGGTGGACTGAAAAGTGAAATATACATCGTTATTAAAACATTGGAGTGTAACACGAAAATAGTAATGACCTCAAGAAAGAGTGAATAGACCCCTGGGAAATTAGTAAAGGAATTTAAAGAAAAGGATAACTTGAAACAAACCCTATACCAACCCATCTGGCCAACCTGGTATAGTAGGCCAAACCCTCCTTTGTAAGAAGAGGCCTATGTCCATCAGTGGACTATTAAAAACTTAAAAATAGAACTGTACTCGTATATCTACTTATGAACAAAAGACCTTGCTCCTGCACAGTTCTCTACCGCTTTGCGTTCAAAATGCGTTGCCATATTTTTACGACTGAACGTACTGGCATAAAACCTAACGTAACTGGTGACGTAGAATCGTGTGTATAAAAGCCTTGTACGAATCATCGTTGTACCAGACCATAAAAATTTCGCCAACCATCATTACTGATAAGGATTTACATAGAAAATATGGATGTTCACAAGTGGATAAGTACCTGACGCATCATAAAAATACTGTCATCATATTTTCACGTGTTATGCAATATTTGTCTGTTTACGCATGCAAAACTATGATAATATTAAGAATTCGCATGTTGAGTAGAAAACTACTACAGAACGTTTTGAAAATCCGAGATTAATGTCTCCCTTAACAGATTAGGTAGCAAGAGCACATCAAAAGATAAGGTGCAGATTCGTGCTTTAAGAAAATAACAGTTTTACCATGGCTATGTAGATTGCTTAAATTTATTATTAAATACAGTTAGGATAACTTTATGGTATGAGGCAGAGGATTGCCAATGTCGGAGTTGAAACATTAGCAAAATAAGATCGGTGGTTGGCGAAAGATGAACAAATAACATACTTGGTAAAGTCTACCAAAACCGTGACAAAATCTTCATTCGTAGTTTACATTCGTAGCATATTTTTGCAAACCAAATTATTACACTCACGCGAACACCTGAACATTCATTGAATGAGAGAATCATACAATCGCTACAATTCCATTCAGCACGATTTATTTTATAGACCACAGAATCCTTTTTAATAAAAACTAGTTTAATGAATATTTTTTCGCTATCTCTTTCGAACCAATAGACGCCGTGTAACGTAAACGACACTACTGCCGATTAATAACGTATAACGTTAAATAATTCGATGTGTTCATTTTTAATAATAATGTTGAAATTGGTCGAGTTCACAGGGATTCGTAAAACATAACAATTACAACAAAAAACAATTAAATTAATTCATAATATATAACTTGAGCTGATAATTATACAATAACTATTCATTTTTTTTACCGTATGTTTGTCATCATCTGGAAAAAGCTTTTTTAAATGCCATGGCCGTGATCTTACGAATGAAAAATAATTGATATCGATAAATGCATAAGTTTTTAGTTAGTACTTTATGACGGTGGTGTCATTACCAAAAAAAATCTACGACACCCAGTGATGTGGTTCAGTGGTGTCGTTTACAATACACGATAGACGCTACCTTCTATAAATGAAAGCATAAAAGCAAGGGGGTGATCGAATAAGTTTTGTGACTCCTGCAATGAATACGAGTACTTAGATACAAAACAAAACTATGACATTGATTCCTTTTTCTTTGTGGAATCGTCACGCAACCTTAGCGGTACCACTTGGGGTAATTGTTGAAACACTCCTCATTAATATTCAAAACAATAATTTGATATTACCGTGAACTTTCACCTTCCGTAACGATGCAGGAATTTTTAATACGACCTTTAGAAAGTTGGCAATGTTTAGGTGGCTGACGTCTACTTAACCAATGAAATCGTGAAGGTCTTCTTTAATATTCATCAGAAACAACTATTTTAAAACAACGTTATTTAAATTTAATTTCGTTGCCGTGATGTTAACTATGGCAACGATAAACCTTCGCATACCTTTAAATTTCACTTGGAAATGAACAACTCGTTTCAAGTGATTTATCCTTAGACTGAGTAATTTCTTTGTTAAAGAAAAACATTTTGCAAAAACTTATTGTTTAACACAACATGGTTATTTTGACTCAAGAAACTAAAATCACAATGTTTCATTTTACATTAAGTCGAGATAATATGATACGATTTTTAATTTAAAAAACATCATAAGATCTTTCTTTTGATTTTTGTCTGTGCTCCTAACACAAACAAATTGAACAAGCTCAAACATTTTTTTCTTGTACCTTAACGTAATAGTTTTAAATGTATGTAAAAAAATAATTGAAAGTTGGTATAGCCTGTTTGTTAATCTCAGAGACCAAATGAGCGTAGGTACCGTACCAGCTCTTTTGCGCTGGTACGGTACAATTGTACCGTGACGGTACCTACAGTACCCGTTTGTTAATTCGTAACTTATCTTTATTAGACGATTAACTTTAATAAATGTTTCAAAGTTATCATCTCATTTTTTTAGTAAATTAAGAAGAAAAAGAAAGCAATAATAAATAATAATATAAAAACGTCGTAAACTGACAAGTTGCCTAATAACTGCTAAAGATTGGTTAACAATATAAAAAGAATAAGCATTTCGAACGGACTGGAAAGATATTCCCTCCCTGAATTTTCACAATTAAGTATTACACAAACAAGGCAGACTGAATGCTATTCCCGAAGAAAAATATTGTGAAAAACCATTAGAAGATGATAATGACTTACTAATTACCTGTTGGATTTAGTTCCAATAGACACCGTTTTGACTGTTTGGAGTAGTTTGACATCTATCTTCCTATTGAAATAACTTCTTTGTCAAAAGGTTAAAAATGTTCAAATCAGTGTGTAATACAAATAAATAAAATTGAAGTGTCTGTTTGTCTGTTTGTTCAGGGTTTATTCATAACGACTGGACCTATTTTGATAATATTTTACTACCAAGTAGCTGTCTACTTTTCCTCTCAGAAAACCCCTAAAAAAAACCGTTCCGGGAATCGAATCCGAGGCCTCATGGACTGCAGTCGCTTACTGTATTACACCACTAAGGCAGTGTTTTTAAAATTCCACGTGAACGAAATCGCGGTTACCAGCTAGTGTTCTGAATAAAGTCTATTAGGATTATTATGATTTAATTATTTACTATAATAGTGAAACCAAACATTAGACTAATAATCGTACCAGAATAAATAAGTAATTTAAGTGCGTGTTTTATTGATATGGCCTCCAAAAGTAGTAAGTGACATAACCGACATAAACCTACTATGAGTTGCAGAATTATGAACCTAATTTTATTTATTTACTATGATAATTTTATTTATTTACTATGGTCATTTTATTTATTTACTATGGTAAGACGAGTCAAATATGTGTACCATATCTTAAAAATAAAAAATTGTTCCGTGCACATAGCAACACGTCAAGACAGACTTGTTCTCATAAATACTTTTTCTGCAGTCATTGAAAATGGGATATTATTCGGTATCCCACAAATGAGTTTAATACTAGTTATAATTTTACTATCAGCATCGTTAATTCGACATTCTGAGGACATGAAGTTGTATTGTTTTTTTTTATTAGCAAATAAATAGTCATCGGCTAATAAAAATAATAATTGCAAATGAATTCGAAAATTCCTTAGTTGCTAAAGTCATGATTCGGTGTATTATTTATTGGTGGCACTACTCAGCTAAGGTTCTAAAGTTTAAAATCAAACTTCTTTAGTCTGCTGTTCTTTAGTCTTAATTTTTTGTTAGAATTTAGGAATAGATGACAATTAGATTTTTTAAGAGTTTAATAAGCGATATCCTAGCTTTATGCATTTATTTTTTACCCTTTATGTTCTTATTAATTCAATCAAGAGAGATTTAAAACCAACACGACGCCAACGCGGCGACTGCAAAATTCTTGGTTGGACTCAAGTCCTGATTGGTGCCTCAGATATTATACTACGGCCGCATTGACTTCACACAATGAATGTTTCGGTCTCAAATACTTTTTTCATCGGCGTATTGCAATAAAAATAACGAATGCAAAGTAATGCCGTGCCACACGCGAGGGCGCGCGTGGTTTCATTCAAATAACCGATGACGCGAAGATATTGACTCACGACCCGGACCGAGGTGCATGACAACACAATCAACAAAACATTTATAAATAGCAGTCATGAGGGACAGGTTTAATGAAATACATGTGGGACTACGAGTACTTATCTTTATGTGTGAATGTGGTACAATGTTAATGTTAATGTTATCTTTATAGTACACAAACTAACCCCCGTGTTAATCAAGGTCAATGAACTGTTACCGATGACGGTATTAATTTCTCTCAATTATAAATTATTAATAAGTATTTCTAATTGAGAAAAATTAACTAACAGATAAAACACTATTATCTGTCTTCATAATAATTTAATTTTCCACTTATTATTTTTTGGTTTGTAGAGTTTAATTCAATACAGACAATAAAGAGTCATACACTAGTTGTTTAATAAAATCTTTTTCTATACCAAAACACTTCCGCGGAGTACAAACTATCATGTCAAAAACTATTACCGCCTGTATTCTTATTTATCGTATTCCTATAAGAAATAGGCCTTTTTAAAACTCCATACACAAGTTTCACATACCATTTGCTAGTATTAAATTTATGATTTGGGGGAACTTTTATGATTGATGCATAGACTTCGATCATTTATTTCTACGTTCTTGGTATATCGAGTTCCTGAGTCTCTTTGAATTGAATTACTTTTGGGACGTCATTTTTGTGTGGACTATAAATGAAAATTGCATTTGCGTTTATGTAGAAAATGTATATTTACATTTTTATGACAGTCACACGCACAACAATTCTATCGGGGGCACGGGCAAACAATGTTGGATATTTAATGGTTTCTACATTTATAAATTAAGCATTTTGACAAAAAATATATTGAGGTAAGATTGGAACCCATCTAAAGATATTCATTTTAATATGTTGAACCTATACGGTTTCATGATAGTGGAAATATTTGCACACAAGAACCATAATATCAATGTAAACAAAATATTCATTGCAAAAACAACCCGGAACACCTTAATTCCTATCACTATAAAATAACGGTAAGTACTGCCCCAGACTGGCATGAATTCGCGTGTACAAAAATAAAATATTTTTACCCTTTTATCGCTTTAAACTAAAAACGATCCTATATTAAACCGTTTTCATTATTATCGTGTACGACAAAATGGGCTTTCTCTGTTCTCGGTATAATTATTATGAAAACATTCGATGTTTTTTTTATCAGTTTTTATTGCTAAACAACGCAAAAGGTAAACTAAGTATTTTTAGATTATTGCGCAATCAATAAAGTAGATGCTTTGTTTTGGGAATAGTCGTTGTTTAAAGAGGTGGCGCCCCATAGCGAAGAAAACTAGCATTATCCTGTCCTGCAGATAGCACGTTGGTTGCACGATCCCGACGCTTGTTAGGGCCGATAGTTGTGAATGATTGAAGCTACACCTACTGAGAACGCGAGTAGGACAAAACAGGTATTTAACCGACTTCAAAAAAGGAGGAGGTTCTCAATTCGACTTTTTTTTATGTTTGTTACCTCAGAACTTTTGACTGGGTAAACCGATTTTGATGATTCTTTTTTTTATTTGAAAACTGGTGCTTCCCGTGTGGTCCCATTTCAATTTAGTTCAGTTCTAATAATGGCATCCATAAGAAAACCATATAAGTTTTAAATTGTATTTGTCTTTATCCATAAGTATGTTCGCGACAAACAGACGAATAACTCAATATCACGCCAACCGATTTCGATTATTCTTTTTTTATTGGAATGGATGTACTTTAAGGGTACTTTGATGAGAGTTTGATTAGATTCTGATCATGGGAACCATAACAAAGTAACAGAACTCTTCAATTCTTAGGAGCAAATTAACGATACTCGGCTGAATCTTTTATAGGCTAGCCGGATATTTGAGTCACGTACAGTAACGTCGTTATGGTCAAGTAATTGTCGTCATCAACAGCCTTTACTAGTCCACTGCTGGACATAGGCCTCTCCTTAGAAAGGAGGGTTTTGGCCTAATATACCACGCTGGCCAGACGCGTTGGTATAGCGTTTGTTTCAAGTTTTCCTTCTCTTTGCAGTGCTGTTGTCCTGCGTTTCCCTGTTCAAAACATTTTTCATGTAAAGCCGCATTTTCGAAATGCTATTTTTGCACTTGCGCAAGATCTTTTTTGAAATTGTTTTCGAGGTAGATTGCCTCTGTTGAGATAGGCGTTTCCCCCTGACTTCCTTGTTTTTCATTCAAACGGCGCTGTCTGATATGAGCAGCACGTTTATTAGGTCTACCCATATTCAGACAAATTAGTTAGTGTACTTCAGATTCACTAAAAAAAAAAAAAAAAAAAAAAAAATGACTTCAAAAAACACTATTCCAAAACAAATTAATATGCACTAAAAAGTAAAAAAAACACCGACACCGACTCCAAAAATAACAATAATTGGAACTACATTATATTATCGTAATAATTTGATTTAAGTAGTCTAATATTTCAGTCTAATATGTAATTTCATTGGAGAACTTAGGAGAACTCTAAAAAATATTTTGATCGTTGTTTGTTATTCATAGGTATTATGTTGAGTTAGATTTGAAGTGGGTAGGTTCCTACCTACCTTCTTGAGTGGTAAACACATAGATCATACCTACATATTGATGAGTAGAAAAAGTAAGTTGATTATTACTTTTTAGTGCATATTAATTTGTTTTGGAATAGTGTTTTTTGAAGTCGTTTTTTTTTTTAATTTTTTTTTATTCAAAAGTCGCTTTAACCACGGTAACCGTAACACGACTATCTATGATGAATTGCGTGTATTTTATCTTCGATCAACAACGTTCATAAATTGTATTGCGCTATATGAAAATTGCATTGTCTACTTTTTTTAATGATGATGGCGTGACAGTGTTCTAGGAGTCTTCGCAGTTAGGTATAATTAAAAAAATAAAAGAGAATATTACACAAATCATACGAACATATAAAAATTAAAATATTATAAATCTAAAAATGTGCAAGGGTGTATTACGGTAGTATACCTACCAATTACCCAAAACTAACACTGCGTTAGTGAAACTAGACATGGAGCATTTCACGCATACATAATCTTATATCATCATACATAATTTGGCCTACAAAGTGATCAAGGAGAATGGAAGAAAACTCATTGCACCGAGCCCAAATGAATTTGGGAAAAGAGTAGGAACTTGCATCTCCTACGTGTGTCGCTCTAATAAGGGCCACGCCTCGCAGTCATGTAAAGGGTCAGGCCTAATGATGGTTTTATAGACCTGTCCCTTCAACCGGCATTTCGGGGTCACAAAGAGCACCAGTCATCATTTGTATATATTTTAAAACTATAATTGTTCTGATGGAATATAGTGAAAATCGATTGTTTTCTTTTCTTATAAACATAGAATAATCTGTAAACTTTCTTTATATTACCATCAGCCCCCTGACTATTAGCCAATTAAATTTATCGTTTAACATTGTCTGAAAATTGCTGTCTGTTCTAAACGTGCTACTTCTATCTCTAGGAAGCACTGCTGAAGGATTCAGAAATCTGCTGTACCCCACCTCCAGCAAGTTATTAGCCTATGAGGATAATTCAGTACTCTTAATAATAAAGAACTGCCAACTAGGCGTCTACATATATGTACGCGAAATTTACCTAATGCTAAAAGTTAAATACCTAGGCTCTACCTAATGTTAAATGTTTAAAAACCTTCGCCATTGCATAATACTTCGTAAGTACGTGTAGCATTTAATCCGCAGCCTCCTAAAGAGCGTTGACGCTCTACTCATATTACTTCTGGACAACAATTAACCTGCCAGCCATACAAAGGTCAATGTCGTAATGTTCTAAGTAAATAATGATACCAGAGTTGTGTTGTATACGTCTTTACAAGTACATCAACGTCAAACGCATGGATAATTATTCCAACTGACATGCAACGATGTCTCACCGCATCTTGGCAGAGGTTAACTTACTAAATTAATATTTTAAATCTAGTAGTAATGACTACATGACCACCAACTGTATAGATTAGACCTATTTCGTTGTGACACGGGCTTACATGAGACACACAAAGACAAAAGCACAACAGGACATATAAGGCACAACGGAAAAGAAGATAAAGACAATAAATAGTTATCTATAAAAGCGTATACTAAGCGTATACGACGAAAAGAGATAAAAAGGAGAGTTTTGAATTTATAAATAAGGTCCGAAAAAAAACCATATTAATGACATCCAAAACAATAATTTATTAAGCAAACTAGCTTTACCCGCGGCTCCGCCCGCGTGTATGTCGGTTATAGCGGGACGGGTAAAAAGTAGCTTATGTTCTTTATCAAGATTCAAACTATCCTCATACCAAATTTTATTTGAATCGGTTCAGCGCTTCCCCATTCAAACTTTCACCCCCTTAAAGGATTATTTCTGGGATAAAAAACTATCCTATGACCTTTACTTTGAGTCCGCAAACTATCTCTACACCAAATTTCATCTAAATTGGTTTAACGGTTTAAGCGTGAAGAGGTAACAGACAAACAGACATACTGTCGCCATTATAATATTATTATTAGTATGGATCAATGACGTATAAGTTAGTGACTTTTTTATACTTTCTTTAATTTGTTTTTATTATAACAGGATCATTTTCTGTTTTTTTTATTCAACGTATGTTGTACGCATATAGACAATATATATTTATATTATATATAGTTTATCAATGTATTTCAACCCAAACTCGACTCTCGTGTAAACGACCAATATATGTAGATACATGTAGATACATATACAGAGGTGTCGGTAACGGTAACGGTGAAGCAAGTTCAATGGTTTTTTCTCATCTCAAAAAATACATTATTTTGTTTATTGTTCAAAAATACCTAACGCGCCTAAAGAAGTTTTCACCTCAAAAATATCTGAAATAAAAACTAAAAACACAAAATCAAATGTTTTTTCAGAATTCAGAATATAACATGTAGTAAATACATAATTTTTTATTTCAATTTTCAATTAAAGGAACATTCTCTTTATTTTTTTACATAAAAATAAATAACTAATACGTTTACAAACCTGATCGAAATTCATTGCGACGATGTAGTTTGTTCAGTATGTACCAGCGTTCAAACTATTCATAATTTAGGACATGAACTTTACCTGAAGTCGTATATGGCTCCGTAAACCCTCTTCATGCATCGAAGAAGTCGTGAAAGATTGTCTTTCCTACACATTGATCCGCCTTTTGGTATATGATTCATGAACTGAAATAAAATATTAAATTAAGTTATCAAAATAAAAACTTAATCATTGAAAGTGTACAATATTTATTGGTAGGTAGACGTGTATAAACTGTTATCAATCCACATACATTGTACAATGTAGGTTGCTTTTAGAATATATTCATTGTAAGAAATAACTAAAGTATAACATAATATCTTCGCTGTCATTAAAGTATAGATATAACTCTCTGAATTCTTCAATAACGCATTATTGAAACTACATTTCAAAACATTGATAAAGGTGCTAATTTAAAACAATCAGAACAACATTACAAATAACTCAGAACTGCTTGTCTACTCCACTGTACAATTACATACAAAATAATGTTTAGCAATTATAATAGACTAAGAATTAAACTGTTATAAAAGCCCAATTCCAGTTGTCAAAAAAAGAACTGCAAATCTAAATCCAATCAACTTTTAAATGAGCTCGGGCAAGTAAAAATAAAAAGAACAAATTTTAATTAGCAGTCCATCACATAGACCTAAGCAGTATTTTTAGGAACAAATCGAGTTACACGAACAAAGTCTGAATCGATACGCAAAGTGAGTTATTACATTTACTAAGGAAAATTACCTACTAAGTATACGTAACAAAACTTTGTGTAAGTTTATTACTTACACAAAGTTTTGTTTCGTATACTTTGCTAATTTTAATTCGTAATTATTGCAATAATTAATTTAATTTAAAGTAAAGTAATAAGGTGAACTAATAAGTTCCCAATTATTTTTATCAACAAAATGGCTTGTAAGTCACCGTGACGCGGGTCTATTCCCGTAAGCATACTTCCCGTAAGTATCGAAATAAATTTAAATGATTTACATTTATCTTAGGTAAAAATTGTTGTATTGATGTAATCATAAACCCTGGCTCGTGACACTTGTATAAAAACGTTTAGTAAACCTTGAACTTTTATTCTACTTGTTTTTATTGGATATCCTGAAAAAATACATTGTTTCTACACTATAATTTCCAGTCGCTGACATCCGTCACAGAACACTAAGCTATATGAATTTATTTTAATTAAAATAGTGTGCACAACGCTTAAAAATCAAATGTGAAATCGTTAAACTACAAGTGATATTAATACTTCAAAACTAATAACCTGCCAGTCTCCTAATGTTTTGTAGCTAGCTGAACGAAAAGCGCTCGACCTCCACCAGAGATTCCATCGTTCCTCCAATCCGGTATTGTAGCCCTGGTAAAGACGCCATCCGCGTTCAGCACACACCTTAGGAAAAGGTAAATTAAAATATTTGGGTATTTACTCGTAATATACTTACGTAGGTTCATAACATTCTGTAAAAAACCATTTGCAATAGTATTAAACCAATGCTACGTTTACTCCCAAAACGTATTAATAAACTCAAATGTAAAACATTAAGAACACAAAAACTGCTTTCGTAAACTTAAAATATTACTGGGGTGTTTCAGCTTCGAAATTTCTAATTTTTTTTTTTGATTTGGCTATTTTTAACCATGTTTTACTTTTACAAAACTTACACATGCATATGCAAAAGTATAGCATGTGCCACATTAATAAACAGTAATTAATTCAGGCCAGAGTAACAATCAAGGAACTAAAACCATCAACGCATTAGCTTATGATTAAATGAATCACCTAAGTTAGTCTATTTTTTATATTTATTTATTTTCATCGACTTCATTTCTTTACTTCTCTTCTTTCACCTCTCTGTCATACGCAGTTGCTATCAGAAGGCGAGTTCCATCTTATATTAACGTTAGCCTGGGAGTAGGGTAATCCTTTCGCGTCAACAGAAACATATTAGATACGGTGGAGATAATGTCATTTACTTAGCGAAAAATGCCTAACCGAAGTATGTGCAACTAATCTGCCGCGATACCAATTAACAAACACTTACTCAAATGTTCATTATTAGGTTAATATTCTTCTTCTCTTGATTCAACTGGTCCATCGGTTATCGACGATTCTGCCAACGTCAAGTTTGTAGGTAGGTTGACTAGTTAATAGGTTAATGTTACATACCCATGTTGTAGAGCTTTTGACAAGTCGTTGAGTTTTCCATACGAAAAAAAACTGTTTGTAAAGTTAGCTCAAGTATTTATAATACGCAACGTAAGTTAATAATAATACCAAAGGTTATCTCGGAGTATACATACGTTAGTCATGTTTATTATACGGTGCATGTACAGAGACAGTTTTAAAATGAGTTAGAATTGTTTCCTTATTATTTTTTTCCTTATAGTATATAATGTTTATGAGACATATGATAAACACACTCTACTGCTATCTAGAAACACCCCGCTCACTATTAAATTATTTCAATCATAATAAATAGTAAAAGTACTGCTAGATATAAGTGAACAGCTGCGATCAATCACGAAATTTCAATTCTTTTTTTACTTATGAATTTTCATTCAATTATTTCTCTTTTTTTATTGACTAACACAAAACAACGTCCTTGCATTTCCACGCGGACGAAGTCGCGGGTTACTAGGGAATACTAGCTAGTATTAAATAAAAAGATAAAAATATTCACACTGTGAAAATATTAAATTAAAAATAATCTATAATGTATTCTATCTCATTCTCTCAAAAAATTACATTTAAAATGTTGCAAAAACTTATAATTATGTATGAAACATTGTTTTTTTTTCATTTTTAAAAGATAACTCTCGCATTAGGCATATATCCTGCATCGGCATATTTCCGGACTTTACAAACATACATGTAACGGACACAAGGAACATCCAAACTTAGAACAACAATTTGAAGATCACACAATGTTATACCCATGTGGGGATCGAACCCACAACGCTCCGCGCAGTAGCAACCGATTAAACCACTAAGCCGCCACCCGTGCAGTCCCCGTCGAAAATGATCCATTGCAACATTAGAGACCTTTATCATCATCATCATCATCTTAGCGTCCACCGACGTCCACCGCTGGACATAGGCCTCCCCCAAGGCTCTCCACAGCAACCGTTATAATTTAGTGATTATGGTGAAATATACCTTGACCAACAAACTGGGTCCTGTTCCGTTATCATTAAGCCTGAATATGAAAGGCTCATCGTCGTCAAAGCTGGGGTCCATCACTCCAAAGTTACTCTACAATCATGCTCCGTGTATCGCTCAACTTAAATAAATGCTCATCTGACAGAACTACATTACTCTTCGAAAATCATCTTCAGTTCTTTGAATGGAACGTATTCGTGTATGCGAACGCGTGAATCGCATGTCAGGTTATCATTGCAATCGAAATATTCCTTCCGCAACTTGCGTTATCGTTTTGGAAAACACGTTAGTTCGGTCGACGACTTGGCGCGGGTCGACTGACACCCTCGGCCGCCCGCCCTGTACTGTCTACGTTTTGTCTGAACTTACGCTGCAAACTGATTCCCAACCCCCAGTGATTTATAACTCCCTTCGTGACACGAGCCTTCTGTAAAAAGCAACGTAACAACGATAATGCATTTTGTTAGTCTAATGACGCAACGGCTTTTTATTTATAGGACAACGAGTTCGATAAAGTTGAATAGCATTGTAAAGTTCAAAATACATTTGATATTTTTTTATACGATTTGCTCTTCGCACAGTTTAATAAATCGGAGGAGGAATACTTTTTATATCTGATCTTGTAATACCGTGGTGCCGGGGTAGATGATTTTCCCATTGGGTAGTCTAGTTGATATTCTGAACAATGGAATGCTTCTCCGACTAATATTTCTTCGTGGGTATCTCTCTTTAGAAGAGTATACAGCCTATGTACATACTTATGTTCACGTGTATATGTCTGTAACAAGTTGAAGGTTTTTTTAATCTTTATTCTTGATTTAAAGTACAATTGTGAGATCAATTATTTACATCCTGAATTAAGGACACAGATATAAAAATTTACATCCGCGAATCTAGCGAAACTCTGGTAAACATTATTGATCTGTAAATACGGATACGGAGGTCAAGTTTTGTCTTAGTTAATGCTTATACAACTGACTTTAAAACGACTGTATGTCCAGTACTAAATAATATTACATGAAACATGCCTTACACTGTTTGTGATTTTTTCGAAAGAATATTATTTTAATATACATATATGTAGTCCCTTATAGGTATCCATAATATTAATAACTCACAACATTCTACATAGGTATACTTCAGTCAATATTTCATAAAATAAATATAATAAATGAAATAAAAATAATGAAATACAATTTCAATGTAAAAAAATCCGTTTAAGATCCGCATAAAAGTAACGGAAACAATTATTTTTTTTACCTTAAGATATCCCTAAAATCTATACGTTCAACCGACATAACCAACCAATTGCAAATCAGTAAGCAATACTGTACGCAGTCCAGTTCCTCAACTTTAATACGTATCATAATATCGTATTCAAAAAATACTGTTTTAACCTAATATTAAGTAATGTTTGTGGAAGAGAAAATAAACTTTTGCTTATCTTATTATTATTTTTATCTTATCTTTCTTATTACTTATAAAAATTTCTGAGACCCGCACCACGAGCTCTGTCATAGATGTCACACCACCACCGTACAGGTTATTTATACGATGCCACCCCGTCATACTTATCCGTTTAAATCCATAGTTTACCCTCGACGTTAACCCTTTAACCTCCATTCGCTTTAAACTAATTCATTTGCTTCTCCTACACCTATCAAGCAACAATCCTTAATACCCCCCTTAATCTATTTTGTAGTAACACCTGTATAATTAAATTTATGGGCATAAAACTTTAAATTGAAACTCCTCCCGCACTTCCTGTAACCTAGATTCGTAAACATTGCGTGTTACGCTATGTAACAATATACAAAGGCCTCTTTAAAAACATTTAAAACGACGTCAGTCGTTATTCAATATTGAATCTGTATAAAAAGAACAAAATATTTTATAGTAAATTAACAAAGGGAGGTTGCGTGCTCTAAATGTTTGTCATTAAAATGAATAATCATTAAAGTGAAAACAGCGTCTGGTAAGGTTTTAAATCGTGATTAATTTCAAGATAGCTATGAATTGAACGAGATCTCCATGAAGTACCACATAAGCATCAGAATCGACAACGACGATAGGATTCTTTGACATCAAGCAAACCAACCTCTATGGAAGGACACATAGAAAGATTACGTCCTATCCCTGTCTATTGTAAACGACACCACTGAACCACAACAATGGGGTTTTGTTTACAATGTTTTTTTTTTGGGAACGTAACAACTGCTGACAAGTGATGTATAACGTGAAATAACGCAATTCGTTATGTGTTAATTTTTAATGATAATGTTGAATGCTATGCTATCCTCTGCCTACCAGTGGTGAAAGCCCTCTTAAATACTGATGTACCTTGACCTTACTCAGCTTTACTCTTCTTAAGGAAAATGTAACTAATAATGTAATTAATGGGTTAATCATGGGCTAATTTTATTATTACATAACGTATATAGTTTACGTATACATCAGATATACGTTATAAATATAAATCGCTATAAAAATCGAATTTTGTATCAATTAAAACAATTTAGCGCATATTTGATGTTAAATCAATCAATATAGTATTCTTAAATCTTCCAAAATGGTATAGATATATCTGGATATTTTTTATAAGAACTTGGGTAACCTTTACTCCTCTTCCTGCACTGCACTGCATGACTGCACGGATGGCGTAGTGGTTTAGGCGGTCACCTCGCCGCTTCCTACTTCTTTAAGTGTTGTGGGTTCATCCCCACATGATCCATGTGTGATGCAGGAATTGTTTTGAGTATTTGTGTCCGTTTTACATATGTTTGTAAAGGCCCCCGCGATACACGAAATAGTCCTAGTGCGGGAGTTGTCTTTTTTTTAAGAAAGAACTTCTAACACTTATTTTACAGTTAAAATAGTGGTGTAATAGACGATATAAACTCACGATCATTGGTAAAGTGCAAGGTCGTTGAACAGCCTAGTTAGACAATTATTGACGTCACTGTACTAATAATATCGCAACTGAGCCTTATTAACTTACCTTTCTCATGTAATCTGTTGCTCATTACTTTCAATGTTAATTTAAAATACCAAGTTGATACTTTTGCAGATATATTTTTACATTTTTTGCTAAATTTGACATTAATCTAAAGAGAACTAAACGTTTTATGAAATAATCAAAAAGGTTTTGACCTTAGTTGTGACCATAGGCTCCATAAAGTCATATCCAAAGATAAATCTTTAGCAGGCAGGTTTGAGGTATTCTACCAACTCATGTTGCAGGTTTTGACCTACACAAACTCAAGAGTCATTAGTGCAATAATAATATATAATTATCACGCGCAATAATAATATATAATATATAATTATGTAACCAAGTGTTATTACTTTTTTTTGGTGTCTTTGCCTGTGTCACTCTACTTTGTCCAGAAATTTAAAAAAAATGTATTCTCCTCAGTTGCAAGAAAAACAAGCTTGAACAAGACATACTATAGATCGCCGAGAAAGACAATTTTGAACGTCTTGTCTTATTTTATTGACTAGAATAACTTGATTTGTCATTGTGAAGATTTACATCATCAACAGCCTTAAATAGTCCACTGCTGGACATACGCCTCTCCTTATAATGGAGGTTCTGGCTTACTCGGTCTACTGGCCTACTCGGTCTACTGGCCTAGTCGGCTCTTACAACACCCACGGTATGAATAGGAATGGTGAAACTCCGTGTTTTTAATCCAGCACCACACGGACACAAGATTTGCAATATGACAGGTAAATACATGTACTAATAAAAAACAGGGAGAGCCATACTACGGCATAAATAAATTGACGGCAGTGATACAACGGAATCACAGAAAACCAGTGTTAAGATCTTTTTCGTGGCTTTTCACCGACTGAGATAAACATAGGCCAACCCTACCTCTCCAAGATATCTGCGTGCGTTTATTATTAAATGCATACAAAGAGGAAAGATTACAGCTATAAACAATGCAATAATAGCAGAATACATCATCCAATGTACACGTTAATAATGTTCATACGACAGTTTCAGTGTTCGGGTGTTTTCCATGTATAGTATGAATATACATATTTACGAAAAAAAGTATTAATTGTTCTATCAGTCAATCTACCTTTCATAGTACAAGCTCTGCTTAGTTTGAAACTAGATGGCGTTGCATGTCAGATGTCCAAATTTTTCATTATTATTACAGTTATGACACGCAAGCTGGTAAGCGTTTACTTTTGTATTCTTTTTTCAAGAAAGAGGTATAATTTCATTTCCCTTTATGAAAATAGTCAATATGCTTTGCCAACCTTGCCCCTCAACTTGAACAGCTTTTTAAAATATGGAATAAAAACATTTCGAAACTGAATGACTTGGTTATTTGGTTAAAATATGAAATAAATAAGAGTATATATAAATATTTTTATTGCATTATAATTATTTAATTTATTTTTTATCTTTCAGAATTAAACTGATTTGTCACCACTGTTAACTTGACAACTGCTGTCTGTTGAACAACAGTTCAGATCAGCCTTTCAGATACATAGATATATATAGATTTATTATAGATTTTTATTTATCTGTACAGTTTATTGTGTTATCCGTGTAGTTTGTTTCAAGCTTTTTTTTTTTGTTTTTAATAAATAAATAAAATTTTCATACATCTGACACACAACGCCATCTAGTTTCAAACTAAACAGAGCGTGTACTATGAAAGCTAAACTGACTGATAGAATACTTATTTACTTTTTTTGTATATACACACATATTATACATAAGTAACACCCTAACTCCGAAACAAATATTTGCAGATCATACAAACATTGGGCCGAACCGGGAATCGAACCCGAGACATCAGTACAGCAGTCGCATACGCTACCACTACACCACTTGAACTGAAATTTGCAAATGAGGTGAGATTTCATATGTTACACATCGTATGCGAGTACTGTTAGGTTCGCTTATTGTCATTAAATTGTTGTGTAATTTGAAAACTTTAAATAATCAAAAATATTTAATATTTTAATAAATATAAAAAATATTTGAATAAAAATATAATATGGTTGACAGATAATGTAGCAATCATGATATAGTTAATATTGATTTACATGGAACGTTAAGGTGTCTGTTGATTTATTATACTATAAATATAATATAATACATGCTCTTTTAATTCATACTTTTGTAGTTACATACCATTAAAACTATCTAAGACAAGCCGTGGGAGAGCTGATTTGACTCTATTGAGTTAGTGGTGTTCATGAGCTAGGGATGTTAGACGTACTTACCAACTTTTTGGTACACGTACCATTTCTCATGGTCTTGTACCATGTACCAACTAAATGTTGTGTTGGTACGCAATAATACCAACTTTCTATATTGATCTATCTTTTTTTTTTCTTGTATCTAACATATTTAAGTTCTTGCTGTACGTCATAGTAACAACATTGATTATTGTAAAAATCTACTGTTCATAACGATATTTATTTTTGACCCATTAAGTAACTTACTTCAGATTAACTTTATCAATCGAGCAAATTATCCAAGGATGGGATGTTATGGAAAAAACATTACGATAATGAATGACTTGGTTATTTGGTAAAAATATAAAATAAAAAAGAGTTAAAAATATTTTTATTGCATTATAATTATTTTATTTATCTTTCTGAACTGTTAAAAGTATAAAAAATAATATTATTAATGTTCAATTTCTTATACAGGACCATAGCAAATAGCTTATTTTGTCTTTCTATAAAATTGTTCTAATATCAAATTCTTCCACCTACTCGAAAGATAAAATACATAAAAAACTTCAGTACAGTTTCCATTATTGTCGTTTTCGTGGCGGAACTTTTTCTCTCTTTTCCAAAGCGACCCTATACCCATCGACTGCCTTCATCATGATATCAAGTTTAACTCTCATCTTAGGTACTCGTCCGTTTTCTTTATCTTCAACAATTTTATATTCTCGTAGAATCGTTGATAATACTGTTTTAATTGACATCAAGGCATACTGGTATCCTAAAACAAAGGAATAATAATAACGTATAATACCTTCGCACATCTCACATATGGCTGTCTGAACCCAAACTATGCAGAGCTTGTTCTATGGCAACCAGAGAGCTGATAAACATACTCATTTATTTCTAAACATATTTTATAGATAAGTTTCACCCAGATACAGAACAGATCAGATCTTGATCATCACACAATTATTTGTCCTAGGTGGGAATCGAACCCATGACATCCGGCTTAGCAGTCAGGGTCACTAACCACTAGACCAACAGGCGTGTCATGAATTTCAGAAGAAATATACATAGTAGAATGCCATGACACGGCACTCAGCCACAGGGACCAATGTTAACGTGGTGATAACCGAAACTACGAAGCCATACTTTTAAAGTTATTGACAATTTAAATATGGCAACTATGGTGTATAAAATAAACATTTATTACTAGAAATAAATAAAATACATGTTTCTGCTGTTTTACCATAAGGTAATAAAACATGGAAAGGTATTTTCATTAAATGTGGTCACTGAAATGTACTAAACCAAAACAACATATAATACCAATTAGCGCAGGAAATCAATAAAATCATTTTTAAACATGATTTAACCTTATGCCACGTCATTGTAGGGGAGAGGGGAGGGCCTTGTCAACGTCATGTAATGTCATATAACCCCCTAACGAACCATAATGGTGAAATTTACTCCCGGTTTCTAAACGGTTCATCAACTCACAAATTAATTAATCTTATGTGTCAAATTAACTTGAACTGATTTGTCACCACGGTTAACTTGACAACTGTCTGTTCAACAATATTTCAGATCAGTCTTTCAGATACTATTTAATAAAAAAAAACTTTTTAATATTAATAAAAATGTTTTTAGACATTGAAACTATTGGACTTTGAAACTAAGCAGAGCTTGTACTATGAAAGCTAAATTGACTGATAGAATACTTTTTATATATATACATACATATTATACATAGGAAACACCCAAACTCCGAAAAAAATGTTTGCAGATCATACAAACATTTGGTCCGACCCGGGAATCGAACCCGAGACCTCACCACAGCAGTCGTAGACGCTACCACTGCACTACCCAGGCAATCTTTTTTTTTTATAAATGACAGTTTTCCTTGCTTTGCTTCGCTTTTCTGCAATCTGTGGTAGAGCTTTTGGGAAAAAGGAGAAAAACGTGGAACAGGAAGCGCTATTTGATTTGACTAGGGGACAAATAACTTTGGAGGCGAGAGCCCTTGCGGCTCTGTATCAGTGGCGCAAGGAGGCGCGGGAGTTGGGTCGAAGTCCTGAGACTCGAGAAATCGATGACCAGAAATCCCAACTCCGCCGGGTCCTCGTAGGGGAGTGGAGGGAACGACTTGGGCAACCGAGAGCCGGGCATGCCGTCATCGCGGCGGTAAGACCCGTTATGGAGGATTGGCTCGAGAGGCATCACGAGACCCTCTCATACCGACTGACGCAGGTGATCACTGGGAAAGGATGTTTCGAGGATCACCTGTATCTGATCCGCTAGGAGCCAACGCCTGAGTGCCACCACTGCGATGGTCGGACCGTGGACATGGCGCTCCACACGCTGGCAGAATGCCCGGCGTGGGTGGAGCAGAGGCGAGACCTCGTGGCGGCCATCGGAGTGGGAGTTCTCTCGCTCGATAACCTTATTACGGCTATCGTACGGAGCGAGAGTGCGTCGAACTCTGCCGTTTCCTTCTGCTAGCAAGTTATGCTTGCGAAGAAGATGGCGGAGCGGGACCGGGAGAGGTTTAGAACTCTCCCGGCCCGCCAGGCTCGGGAACGGGCCAGGTACCGCAGACGACTCAGGCGCCGGAGATCGCAGAACGACATCCGTCCTCCATAAGCGCAGGCCTGGGGTGACTGGTGAGGCCATCTGTCACCCGAGCAGAACGTGTGAACGCGTGAACTGTGACGGCGAGCGCGTATCTTGGTACTTACAAGTTCTCGCGAAAATCTAAATTTGCCTATGGCCAAATTTAGATTTTCAAGATATGTCTTTTATCGTGTTGACTCAGGACCTTGAATTTTAAACACTTAATAGGGACTATAGACCTCAGAATCTGGTATAAATTTCAACTTGCTGGGTCCACTCGTTCCTGTGAAAATCGGTGGTGACACATGGACAGACAGATGGACAGACGGAAAAGAGAGTGATCTTATAAGGGTTCCTTTTTTACAAACAAACAACTTTTTTGAAACAAAAGTCATGTTAACGTATAATAAAGAAACTCAATAAAGGATTTGAAAGTAGTTGTACTGAAAGATAGTACTTGATAGAGGGTAGGATGTGAAATTACAATTAAATAGTTTGGGAAAATTAACTCCTATTTTGTAAATTTTTAACACGTTTATTATAATATAATTTTTATTATGAAAACGAATCATATACGAGTAATAACATGTCTTATATTTTCTTTATTATATAGATAAACTAAAAACAGTAAATAAAACATTTAACTAGTAGACGGCATTATATACTTATACTAATATATTTTAGTTATCATCACATTATGGTTTATTTCCAAGGATTCTAAAGACGATTTTGTAGGGTTGCGTACCTCAAAAAAAGAACCCTTGTAATAGGATTACCTACGTCGTAGACCGTCTGTTTGTCTGTCTGATAAGAGCTTTGTCAAGACCACGTACAGGTGTCAAGCGGGAATTAACAGCAAATAATTAAATCTACGGTCCCTAAAACTGCAAAATCATAAAACTTCTGAAAAGATACCTATAGGCATTTAAGTCTAAATCAGAATTACAGCTAACTGGTTAGTACTAGTAGACAGACTTTTAGTACAGATTCTAACATTTCTAGTACTAATAATCTCTTTCATTTCATTGGGATAAAATTCTTTGACGACAAAGTTTAGTTGTTCTTTCAGATAAAGTGGACAAAGTAATCTTCGAGAATGGACTTACGAGTACCTCGGTGTGCGAGACAGACTCGCACTAACTAGTCCAGTTTAGTTTTTAAATGAACAAGGATTTCGAATCTAATTTCAATGCAACATAGTTCCGACATATGATTAAATTGTTTAGAAGTAACTTATTTCAACATCGCGGATTTATTCCGAGAATGATCTTTTTCAGAAAATAATATCGCAGACACGTGTTAAGTGCTAGTTGTAAGTTGCAATGTGAAAGTATGAGCAGTACAAAGTAATAAAAAGCATATAGCATTTAATTCCATTTTCATATTTACATGAACAATGTGGAAACGATCAGCGGACAACACCAGATAGGCAAAATTAGAGAAATGGGAAAGTAGTATATGAAAAGAGATAATATATTGTAAATTAGAGCAAAACTACTAGAAAGTACAAAGGTAACTTTCATTCCAAGAATTCTACACCCTTTTTCCAAGGTGCTCTAATCTTTTATTTACTCTGGATCCTCAGGGTTTGTATTTGGAATGGGTAGGAATACAGTTTTGAGAGTCCGTAAAATATTTATACAAATTTAGGAATTGTTTTAACTTTATTGAATTTGGGAGGAAACGTTGGATATTTGTAAAAAAGCCAATAGACTTAAATTAAACTTAATAATATAATAATCTAATACGTACCAACACAATTTCTGGGTCCATTGCTAAATGGCATAAAACTGCATGTATGTTTTAAATTTAATCTTTCTGGCAGGAACCTGTCGGGATCAAATTCCTCCGCGTTGGGGCCCCAATATTTCGGGTCACGATGCACCCCCCATATTGAACACACCACACCTGATCCAGCAGGTAATACCCGGCCAGATGCTAGAAAACATTTGAATACTGATATAACATTTAAAATTTTAGAAATTTTTATTTTTCGTAACAATTTGTAAACTATCATATAGCCCGCCCAACCCACAGGTTTCATTATTCAACAGTTGTACGTCTAAAAAATGTAGGGCATACCAAATTTGCCACCAACTGTCGTATGTTAAGCATAATTACTTAGATTAATATACGATTAATGAAACCCTTGAATAACACAAATTTCTTGAATATAATTGTGTAATTATGATTTTGTAATACGAGTATATCACAAAAATAATGTTAAGTAATAGAATATATAAAGCGTTGCTGCTACATACAAGATCTACTTATAATATGTACCGTATTATTTGTGTGTTTTTTATACCTCAATGTAAATAACATTGAGGTATAAAATTAAAAATAATGGTAACTTACGTAATTTTGTATCTTCCAAGACTTTTCTTATGATAAGAGGCACCGGAGGGAACAATCTTAGTGACTCTTTGACCACTCTCCCCAAATATTTTAATTTCATGAGGTCTTCTTTCACCAAAGGGCGTTCCGAATCACCGAATACATCGTATAACCTGTAAAAATAGTTTTTTGACGATTTTTCAACGATTTCTGAGTGGGTTCAAATTCAGACCGTGGCACCCTGAACAGATACCGTCCTACTGAGAATTATTTGTCAAATCATGGAACAAAGCCTGTAAGATTTCATCCAAGGGTGCCTTGGATGCAATCTTATGACAACATTAATCTGAAGGCTACACATAATTGGTGTGCAACCTTTTATATTACTCGTAAATTATCTAAAGAAGTCTTTATGTCATATAAAAGTGTAAGATTACAAACATAAATAGACCTAGAATAAAAATTATTATGAATTGTACCCAAATTTTATTAGATACACGGTTTCACACTGGAGTGTTACGTCTGTCACTCACAGACAAGACGTTCCACTCTTTGAAAATGTGCTTCCATAGTTTGAAATTAGCATGCCGTAAAATATACACGTTATTAAATAAATAAATAAAGATAGGCTAAATTTTTATAGAGTTTTAACATTAACAAGATAATAGTTGAGATCAGTTGACCTTAAGATTAATCGTGGTATTCTATTGTGAAAACCAGTTTTAACTCAATATCTCGTACGTTCTTTAGCAAAAATGTTCGTAGTAAAAAAAAACATCCAGATCATATACAACGTAAACATTAATAAAACTTCAGTTTGTCAAAAAACAATATTGATCTATATCTATAAAAGAAGAAACAGACAGACTGATTCACAGCTGAAACCGCTGGGTCTAGAATCATGAAATTTTGCACTAATGTTCCTAGGAAAGGAGTTTTGAAAATACCACCCCTAAGATGAACGAAGAACGAAGCCGTGGGCAAGAGCTATTATTGTAATAAACACTACTAAGAAAACCCGGTAACAAAGAGAAGAAAAGTTAAGTTGTATTGTTTGGTCTTTTCTTATTCATATTTGATTCTAAATGCAAGGTATTTCACCAACTTACTCCTGATACAACTTTTCCTGTACCTCAGGATACTTGGCTAGAAGCTGGATGGTGTACCCCACCGCGACAGCAGAAGTGTCTGTGCCAGCTATTATCAAGGTCAACGTTTCTTCTCTGAGCTCAACGTTGGTATACCCTTTTTCTCCGCCAGATAATTTTATCAATAGATCCAAAAAAGTCGCCTTTTTATACCATCCCAAATCTAGAAAAATATACAAATATTAATTATAAGCACCTACATCAATTTCTGAAAACTGCGAGTAATATAAAATCTCTCAAAATTCTGTGAACTTTAAAACATTACGCGTTATTGTAGATTATGGTGGTTAAAAATAAATAAATAAAATTAAATAAAAACTAACCGAATTCGTGGTCTACCTCTGTTTTAAAGGATTCCTCATTTTTTAGTTCTTCTCTCTTTTTTCTTATGACCTATTAGAAGAAATAAACGAACATTTAGGTACTTTTATGCTAAAATTCTTGCTTTTAAAAACGACGTCTATATAAAGAATTCAAATATGATACTCAGAAAACCCATTATGTGTTAAAGAGTACCTCAATGAAATCTTATTAGCATACATTCAGACGATATATACGAGGGCAGCTATTTATGTATACGGATTTAGCCAGGTGCAGAACAATATTAAAAAAGTAATTATAATCTTTAAAAATGGAACTCTTTAGCTGAAGAACTTGTAAGTTGTTTCATGTAGCTGTCATTTGTTTATCACTATGGATTTAATGCGTGACAATTTTCGTGCTAAAATTTATTACGATTTTCGGCGATGGCTTACTCAAAAACAGTGCATAGATCAACTCACTTCGACTTTTGGGGGCGGAGCACCATCAAATACAACTGTCTATTATTATAATCGAGGGCGGTCTGCGTTCACAGAAGAATTTAAAGAGGTCGCCCTAAATCGGTTGTTGTACCTCAAAATATTGATGCTTTGCGGGAACTAATAATGCAAGATCGTCATGTTACGAGATAGAGGTGTCTCTGGGAATAAGTATAACGAGTATATATACAATATTTATCATTCGTTCAAAAAGCACTTTGAAGTAAATGGTCGCTTGTTTTTTTGGTATAAATGGACGTGTGGTAGAGGATCGTAAAACGATTAATTCTGAATGGTACACGACCAATTGAAGAAATAAGAAAGAATAACTGACAACGCAGAATCCTTCTTCATCATGACAATGGTAGCTGCCACATATCGGCTCAAACAACTCAGTATTTGGAATATCAAGATCGAATTAACCGGTCATTCGCCGTACAGCCCCGACTTGGCCCCCAACGACTTCTATTTATTCCCAACCGTGAAGAATAAATAACGTGGTCAACGTTTTTCGAGCCGTGAAGAGGCTGTTGATGCGTTCAAAATGCACGTTATGGAGATACCACAATCAGAATGGAAAAGTGTTACGCAAGTTGGTTCCAATGTATGCAAAAGTGCATCGATCATCAAGGCGAATATTTTGAAAAGCCAAAAATCCATAATAAATGCTATATGTTTGTTTCACTTTGTTATTCCGGATACATAAATAGCAGCCCTCGTATACTATAAAAGTTAGACCTCTCAATACTTCTATTACATATATTTATGTACCTTAAAAGATAAAATTTGAGTTTAATCAAAATATATTAAAAACAAATTACCTCATCAGTGAAATCGTGCAGTAGGCCTATACATTTCTGATGTGTCTTGTATTGGGGAAATAAACTGTACAGCCAATCGGGATGAAGCCATAGATGGAATATTCTCTGACAGATTAATTGCAAAGTGTTGCTCATAGCGTTCAGAAATAGACAATCGGGATTATCTTGGGCATTTATTTTCACTCCTATTGTTGTTTCTGTGCAAGAAGTCATATTACTTAAAACCGTTACCAAAATACAATACCTACTACTGTGACTACAAAATTCACCAGAAATGTTAGTGGCGTCTAGTTTAAAAAGTTTAAAATATCATCCCTTTTATGTTCATACCATACTACAATATTATTATCATCACTATCAACTGCCTGCACTTTTTCTACTTTTGCGCTACCAATTATACCAATACCAATACCAATACCAAAGTATTGATGTAAAATTTTAAAAAGAATTTTGACAGTTTTCTTTTATGGCCGACTGTTTGCCTGATATTATAATAATAATAATAAGAATTTCACACATCACACACGGCAGTCTGGTCCCAAACTAGGCAGAGCCTGTACAATAGTAACAGATCTGCTAATAAACATAGTTATATATTTCTAAATGCATACATGTTATAGATAAATTGTACTGAGACACAGAATAAATGATCGTGCTAATCACACAATATTTTCATTATATGCCTATGTTGTATAGAAGATATGTTGTTTTAATAATGTGAATGAATATGTGTTGTGTGTAAACTGTGTAAAGGTTAGAGATCTCTATGCTTGGCAATAGACAGTTTTTTTTCTGTTTTTTTAAAGACAACTCCTGCATTAGGAATATACCCAGACTCAGAACAACAACAAACAATAGAATAGTGAGGTATTCTTATTTATACGAAATTGTACAGAACCTACCGCATGCCATTGAATATGACTTGACAGTCAACTAATACCTTGCCGTTTCGTGCGTAGATTATCCCTAACCTTCTACAAAAGTCTATAAATAGATTGATATATCTAGTAACTTTGTGCAAATTGAGCCTAAATTGTGTATGGAAATAATAAATTACAATGACAAATGAAAATACCCAGACGTCGTACGGCAAACTGTTGCTAGAAATATTTTAACTGTAATTAGTGTTCCACAAAACTTAGGCATATTTGCGGTACACTTCTTCGTAGGTATATAAGTATATAGTGAGGAGTTAATAAACTAAGTTAACGTATACAAGTGGTGATATCTATACTTACGATTTCACGAGAAATTCATATTTGGGAAAGCAAAATGGGTGTTATTCTTGCAAAACGTGTACTGGCATGCAGTATACATTTATCTTGATCTGTCATGGTACTGAAATTCTGCACAATGACAGTCTAAATGACTCTGGTCAATAACTCAAAACAAACAATTTAACATAATAAATTATGATCGAAACTACGAAGATTGATGCATATATATATCTGTGGAACGGGTTATCGTCTGCGGTATTTCCGGACCGATACGACCTTCAAACCTTCAAGAAAAGAGCGTACTCCTTTCTAAAAGGCCGCGTTTATGACTCCTAAGTTACAGATGTTCATGGGCGGCGATGGTCACTAGCCGTCAGGTGACACGTCTGGTCGTCTGCCCAGTCTAGCAAAAAAAAAATTATGAAGAGGAAACAACAGGCTGTTGATGTGATGAAAAAATCAACATGTAATTTGTTTGTCTATTTGCGTTGTTTTACCGTTCTGAAGTCTTGTATGCATGTTGCGAGGGATATGTAGAATAGGTTAGCTTTTATCCAGTAAAAGAAACTGTTCTCTATTAATTGAAAAATAAGTTTTGAAATGATGCTATTTTAAAAAATAATATTAAATAATAGTATTGTTAGCCGGATAGTAAAAAGGTGGAAGCACCCTCTTCCACCATATAAGTGCCATATTTAACATCCATCTTTTTATTTTTTTATTTCCCCCTGGGACCTCAGTAATGTGTTCATTGGATAAACTTATTTTTTTTATTTTCAAACACTTCGTTTTTTGATGGAACACACTAACCACCGACGAGAAAGGAGAAGGTTCTGGCATTTTCTTAATAAACTAGACGTCTAAGATTTATGAAAGTTAATGAATAAAACGCTGCTACAGATTGATCAACTCTCCTAGTACGTCGACTACGTAGGTATGATGTAGAGGACAGTATGCATTTGTACATTATGTGTATGTGTAAATACCAGTATATTTTGTTCATCTATGTCTCTTACACCTTTGGTTGATATACTATTTGTTAGTCCAACTTACCACAGACCGAATCCAATGTGTAACTACTTAAGAAAGGCCACATATTAATTTTTCCCTTATCAGTGTAACTTGACAGTTTTTTAACAAGCTTTCGACTCTGTTCTGCAAATACTTTCACAAAATTCTCTACTATTTTTGGGCTGAAAACTGGTACCAGGATCTTTCTTCGACGCCTCCAAATTGAAACTGTATAGGAAAAACTTTTCTCGGTCATGTGTTAAAATATAAATATGTTGTAATTAAAAAAGGAGAAAATTTGATTGATTAACTTAAGATTCACTTCTTAGGTCCTGTTTAGACTTTATTCTATTATATTTATAAATAATAGAGACTGTGAATATTATGAAACGTTTATGAATATTATGGAACTTTAATTAAGTAATACTGTACATCATCATCATCATCATCAACAGCCTTTAATAGTCCACTGCTGGACATAAGCCTCTCCTTAGAAAGGAGGTTTAATACTGTACATTTAAAATTAATTCTATATGTACTTTACTCCTACGCGGAATGGACGACAACAGTGACAACTTACTAAAGAACAACGCATACAAAAGACTTGGCTACTTATCAAAATTTAATTTTATAGAATGTTATAGGATTTCATAATACTTCATTTCATAATAAATAACTATTTATTCGTGCACTACACAAGTTCAATTTGTTTATTTTATTTCAGCATTATTCTTCTGTTATGTATGTGAAGCGCATAAAGAAATTGCGATTGTAATAAATAAGATTCTTGCTTGCGATGGACTTTACCTCACTTTGTTTTTTACATCATGTAGCTCGAATGTGTTACGAAATATTCCACTGTTACATATAGTATGCGTGACACATTTACCTTTTCCTTATTGCTGAACCTCCAAATTACTCACAATTCGCTCACATTTGTTCTTAAACACACTCTTATATGGACGTGACATGCATCTACATTGATACATTTACATTGAACATATTCTTATTTCGCACTTATTTTGTAGAAATATCTAGAACCAGCTTTCGCATAGCCAAGATTCGCATATGTATGTTAGAAATTTTAATATGATTGGTAACTTTCTCTGGATTAGTAAACTAATATGTCGGCCCAAAGATTTTTTTATCGCGATTTGTTTCGACTGCGGTAAGATCTAAAATTACCTGGTGCAAATATGCCTCCGTTACCCACAACTTTTCGAACAAATCTGTGGAGGTCATCCTTCTCTAGGCAAGACTTTAGAACATGCTCCATGTCCACGGGATTGACGACAACTATAATAGACATACAAACATTAGATACGGACAACAAAGTAATATTTCTATTTTATTAAAACCTCGATGCAAAAAGAAGTATGTTTGAAAGGTGACCGGAAGGAATTCTTCGAGGACCCAGGCAGTCTTGACCGCCACAAGTAGACATACCATAAAAATAGAACAGTACCAAGCCGGGGAGGCCACCTAAACGCTCAAAGTAATGCATGTTTGTTTTCATTTTAAGCACTTACCATTAATAAAAAAAATGGTAAATGTACAAAATGGTAAGTGATAAATGACTTCCGAATTAGATTTAGATATAATAATTTACTGCTGGTATTCTTCTTCTTCTTATCGTATCGATGGCTACACTTTAAACAGTTTTAGCCCAGTACTCGGATGGCGTTTGGCCCTGATTGATAGAGGTCGTCAAGCGTACATGATTCTGGGCTCGCAGGGCATGTTAACAAATGGCCCATTGTCTGTGGAGATGCGCATGTCGCATTTATTTGCGCTTGAGTCGATAAATCCCAAATTATCCTTGGATCTGCGAACCTGGGTACATAGCCTATTGAAAGCCTTCCAGGTTGGTAAGGGGAGTTTATCTCCTGGAGGTAGTGTTACTGGCAAGGGGATGAAAATTAAGAGAAGGAACATATAACGCCATATGCTTTCTCTGGCCTTTTGAATGTTGTTATCGTCGGCATAAATTATGTTGAGGAAACTGTTTCGACTGTCCAGTCTTTTCTTGATTTGATTTTGGCTATACAATAGTGCCTAGACTGGACAATGCGGCTGATATGCCTCTGCCTGTTCAAAAGTCTTGGTTGAAGTTGCGAGCACCGAATCGTCTGCGTAAACGAATCAGGTTGTGTCCGGAAATATTAGTTGGTCGTCATCATCATCAACGACCTTTAATAGTTCACATGGGCTTCTTCTTAGAAAGGAGGTTTTGGCCCAGTATACCACGCTAGCCTGATGGGTTGGTACTCGTATAAGGTTTGTTTCAAGTTTTCCTTCATTTTGCAGCGCGAATGAATTTCGGACCTATGATTTCACTCAGGCGGTCAAGAAGCATTCCCTCCAGTAGTTTAAATGTGTGACACAGGAGTGAAATGTATGATGAATTAATAATTTTACAAGATTTTTTTAACAGATCTTAATTAACAGCGGCTGTTATAATTACTAAACATGGTGTCCCTCGCTTTTGTAGAGCTCTGTGAGCAAAAACTTTGTAAAACTTAATTAGTAACCTGAATAGCTTGAGACTGACAAACGGTTTGTTTTTTATCGCTCTTTGGAATTTATTGGCTTCGCAATTAAATCAGATAAAACAGGTTAAATGCGGAGACTGAAGCATAAAACTTATGTTAATATTGAGTAAGCATGTTTTATATGGTCCGTGTGGTGATGGATTAAGAATGCAGTGTCACCACCCCTATTCATCCCGTTGGTGTCGTAAGAGCCGACTAAGGGAAAAAACTACACAGAACAACAGCACTGCAGAGAGAAGGAAAACTTGACACACACCCTTTTTTTTTTTTTTTTTTTTTTTAACGTGTGGAAATCCCCTCGGACCGTCACCCCTCCGGGGTTTGCGGCGGGGGTGGTGTGTCGGACTCGGACCGACTAAAACCACACGGTGTGCCACTCTGCGCCTGTAACAGGAGGGATCCGGGAACAGCTGTTGTTAAGACATCCGGACCCCTCCTAGCGCCAGCCCGCTCCTGGTGCGGGCTCCGTCTCAATGTGGATGTTCCTCTCTTTAGGCGACGTCCGGCACACGCGGACGCCGCCCCCTCGCGGCTGGCCAACTAATGCGGGTGGAGGGGAAACCCACCCCGTCCACCCGCGGCCACACTCAGGGCGGCATGAGGCTGGCACACCCTATACCAACCCGTTTGGCAAGCGTGGTATAGTAGGCCAAAACCTCCTTTCTTAGGAGAGGCTTATGTCCAGCAGTGGATTGTTAAAGGGTGTTGATGATGATGATGATATACTGCAAATGACGGGCAATCAAACAAGCTAATAACATGGAATTAAATATGCATAATAATTATTTACTCAGATATTGTACAAAAAATAAGTCAAAATCCCTTTAAGATCAGCTCTGCAGAAGATCTGTATACATACCAGGCAATCGAAGTAATGGTGTCAAAGTAATAAAAGTGTTGTAGTAAGTACAATATATTTGTATTCCCCTATCAATCAAATTCATTGCATAGTTAATTTCATATGAGACAAGTAATGTCTTACTTTGAATTTATCTACAAACAACTATTTTTTTTATCCATTTTTACATTATCGGCTATTAGGTAGTAGTAGGTATAGAATGCAGCGAAAAAAATTTTTAGTTTAGGTTATTTTCGTTAGTTGTTGGACTTGTGTACCTATCTGTAATATTAAAATGGCGTTAATAATATTATGTACTTAAATTTCGTATATTAATCCGATTTTAGCCTAAAATTCCAGTAATAGATGCGTTCATCCTGTTTATCTATGATTAATAACTTAATGATTACTTACCGAAGTAAAGTATGTGTCCCAACCATCCTGTTACAACGCCATCATGTTTCATACTTGAATAACTAAATTGTTGAAGTGATGTCATGATAGCTGCAAATTACACAAAGCATATTAGAAACATATCAATTCAGTAGCAAACTAGTTTTTTTCTTGTTTATAAACAATTTTGTTCTTGTTTATTGTATATATATAAAACTAGTAAGGTAAAAAAAGTCTATTATTAGAATAATAGTTTTTTTTATTTTAGAGCGAGGAAAGCAAATAAAATGAGGAATTTCCATTTTAGATTTGGTTGACTTAGTTTTATCTCTTTGTATGTATGTCTGAGTTTCATTGGCAGTTTTATTTACTGCTTGGTTATCAAATATAGGACCATATTTAATACGAACTGAAATCTAATTAGTATTTGTTGCAATATGCCGTGGCATACTTCGGTACAAAGGGGGCGGTTTGACCTGAGCGATCCCACGGCCTCACAGAAAACCGGTGTTAATAATAATAATAAAAAATATTTATTAGAGTAACTAAGACTATAATTATATATGACTATATCTGCTAAGCAATTTTATTGTTCGTTCTCATCGAGTGATTGAGGTTACCGGAGCCCAAACCCACTGACTTTGAGGAGAACTAAAAGAGCGGCAAGGCAGTGACGTACCATCAGAGGTCCAAGTAACTCACACTTGGACCTCTGATGGTACGTGACTGCGTTATTTCACTTCTACTCGATCGTCACGGTGACCGCGTTCGGCGATACGATTGGCCCGCACTGAATACTTCACCCATCGCATCGCTAAACCTGCATTCAACCTTCTGGTGACCCTGGTCTACTCGTTTGCCTCCCTTACCTACCATGAATCTCAATCTTCACAAAGCTGTCGGTAAGTCTCGAAGTTTGTGAACCAAACATCGGGTGAAGGCTTCAAGTTCTTTAACACAGATGTAGAAAATTTTATATCTACAACAGTGCTCATTAAACCTGGTAAAAGTAAAGTTTTTATATTATTAAATTTTTTGAAAAGCACCCCACGCTTTTTTCAATAAAATTATTTATATTTTCTACTTTTAAGTTCGGTTTTATAGTTTTTTTAGACTAATTTGTTTTTGCTTTTTTAAGTCATATATGATGATTATTTTCTCATTACGACTAAAAAAGTAACAAGTAAGTAAGTCACAAATACTTCAGCATACACCTCATAGTACGTCGCAAAAGACACTAACGTATTTTTAGGTATTGAAAAATGGAAAAACTGTCAATCCTGATCATAATAATCGGCCAAATTTATCAAATTATTGTATTGCCATCGGTCCTTGATAACTGTGCGAAATTTCAATTTAATTCAAAGTTTTGAGGTGTTTTAATATCGCTTTCGTAGATACATACAGACGCTTACATACTAAGCCATAAAAGCATGTTAAAAAGCGACTAAATCTGAGGCTTTGTAATTGATATTGAAATTCCGAAGATGGACAAAAAAAAAAGTTGTTTATACAAAAAAAAGGGTTTGAAAACAGAAAGATCTAGGGACATTTAATATTATTTTCTTAAAGATCTACTCTAAAGCACTTGAGAGATAACTTTCGTTCTTTCTTTGACTCATTGTTTTATTTTATTTTCGAAACTAAAATCGATTTGAAACAGAAAATAATTGTTTAAATATTTTTTAAGCAAAGACGCATTAAAAAATATTTATAGATTTTAAGAACAAGAAAAAAAGTAATTTTTCTCTTCAGACACATAATAGATTGACTTTAATTAATGTCAGACTTCATAGTATAAAAACAGTTTTATAAAAAAAACGCGTATTTTGTAAAAAAAACAGTCTATTTTGGTCAGTAAAATAAAATAAATATGTTTGTTATTACGCATAGAAAAGGCAGCATTTTTATGAAATTATTTAGTTCATTATTAAATAAATAATAAACTTTATCATCTTTAGCTTAGTAGTATCGTATAGTAGGCCTCAAAATTTCTTTACTTTCTTTCTTTTACGTTTACATACTACATTTTACATTTATTTCTTTTACATTATCTAGTATAAATAAACTTACTCTCATTATCTCCAACTAGCCGGTGTGTTATGCCAATGATGGACGAGGATCCATCAATCGAAGGAATTTTCGCCGCCAACCGGTACAAATTTCTTCTCTTGTACCAGAAATACAGGGTCCACACAATAGGTGTGATAAGTATCAACGACAGAATCATTTTGACACTGCACTAAAGGAACATTTTTATTAAATAAATTTGTAATTCAATAGGTAAGTTGGTGTGGACTTACAAAACAAGGAGCATGTTAAGTGCGCGCGACAATATGCGTGTCAGCTCAAAGAAGATATGCTGCAATTTATATGGTCATTTTCCTCAGGTCGACCGTCAAGCACCGCACTAATTTCACTCTAGTAAATAGCAGGTCGCAGAGTTCATGGTGTAGTTATCACACGTCGTTTTTACTACGAGGAAGCGGTAATTACAGTATGAATTTTTCTAGCATAAATAATAATTACGTGTATTGAATAACTTATCAGTATAAACACAAATGCCTTATGGTACGAGTTTCTTACACATCACATTTCTTATCCCTGAAGAAACAGAGGGCGAAATGAAGAGTACAAGGATTTTTGGGAAACATAAACCTGAGAAAGATGAGTTTTTAGTAATAGTTTTGCTAAAAATACGCAACATTGGGAATCTATACTTCCATACTTAATATTATAAATGTGTGAGTTTGTTTGTTACGCTTTCACGCGTAAACGACTAAACCGATTTTAAGAAATTATTTTAAAAATGGAAAGTTAGAAATCAGCGAGTAGCATAGGCTACTTTTTATCGCGATAACCGACAATCACGCGAGCAGAGCCGCATGCAAAAGCTTGTGTTCACATCTTCAGTTTGACTCTTCCCTCTAATCTTGGACTTAGAACGGTGAGTGACGAACAATGTAGTTTTTCACCAAGATTACATGCATAGAAGAAGATAATTAATGGTAGTAGATTACTGTTGGTTTTGTTTTTCAAAAGGAATATAAAGTTTACCAATAAAACACTTCATTTATGTTACTACAAGAGTACCTATACACTCTAAATACAGTTTAGTAAACATGTTGTAAGTATTTCATTTGAAACTGGCATTTAGTTGGTTATGAAACTAAAATTATGATAGTTTATAAAGGACCCGTGTTACAAAAAACATTATAAAAATAATAAATAAATTCGTGTTCAGCAAGGCCAAATTGTCAATAGCCAGCTATTTAAATTAAAGTTGTAAGAAAAAAATTGTCACACATATACACATACACACATATTGTGTTATTGTTTTAATATTTAAAACTAATGCGTTCACAGCGTGCCTAGAATGTTTGTTGGTTATTATATTATTAGATAAAGGACTTGACCTCGGTAATCCGTGACAAAGAATTAAAATTGGCCTTTTAGCTACTCGTTGTCTACGAAATACTTCCTTAAGTCCCTTCCAAAACTATATCCTATTGTCAGTAATTCACGCTGTGGACAAGATGCGAAGTTACTATAACAAATTTTTGAAAACTAAATGGTATCTCAGTTGGAGTGCACTTTTTCATTTTTAAATAAAAACACGTATTTTATGAAAGAGTTGTGATATTTTTATTGGATTGTAAAGAAGTCATGTTGCGATTAAGTATGGAATATAATATCCGGCAAATGGCCCCACGGCTCTGATGACAGGTATAGGTATGTATTTAAAAATATATAAATATGTTTATCAGCAGTCTGGTTACCATGGCACAGGCTCTGCCTAGTTTGGAATCAGGCGGCCGTGTGTGAGATGTGTGAGGTATATATTAAACAGAGATTTCACAAAACCCCAAAGAAAAAAATCACACAACGTTAAATCGATTTCGGTGGCCAGTTGACATCAGAATTTTGTAAGATAATGTGTTCTGGAAATCGTTGCTGCAATAAGTCGATTGTTTCATGCGCGGTGTGGCAGGTGGCGCAGTCCTGCTGAAACCACATGTTGTCCAGATCCATGCCGTCCAGTTGAGGCCACAACAACTCCGTTATCAGATTCCTGTAACAAATGCCGTTCACAGTCAACGCAATTTCGGCCTCATCTTCAAAAAAGTAAGGCCCAATCACGACGCCTGGTCAGGCAGTCCGCACCAGGCAGTTGCTCGTTGTGGGTGCATTTGTTTCTCATGGATTGCATGAGGATTTTCTGAGCCCCAAATTCATCAATTTTGTGTATTCACCTAGCCATTCCGATGGAAATGCGCTTGGTCGCGCTTTTTCACTTTTTTCCAAAAATTGCCATCGACTTCACTTGCTCCATCACCCATTCAACGAATTGCTGATGTTTTCGGGTTTTCGGCGACACTCTCGTTTACAGCAGCAATGTTTTCAAGAGACCGACCGGTACGCTGACGCAAAGGATTCTTAATATCCATAATCGACGCAGTTTCTTCAAATTTTTTGACCACTCTTCGAATGGTTGACACATTAGGTGCACTTTCTCAACTGAAAATTTGCCGAAGTTTGCGAACGATTTCAGCATTCTTTCTTTCTTTCTGCCAAATTTCAAATTTCGTTGATCAAAGATTTCTGTCGTGATTAGAAGACGAGCGCAACGGACATAGGGCTCGAGGTAGATGGGTGAAAATGGGGAGTTGAGAAATGAAAAGAGCAGTCAGCACTCGCTGGTTGCGGCGCAAGCGAATTAGTAACCATTTTAATTGGAACCGTAAAGCAAACACCTGGTCATACTTGCGTACACTAAATATGTATCGAATGCAGTTATTAAGAAGACGGTCTAGCTTATTAAGAATGTCTGCATTCAGGTCCAAGTAACACACAGACCATAGTTAATTATAGGATTAATTAATATTAGACTGCATGAGAGAGGTTTTCGTTTTAGTAGGCAGGAAATTCTTATGACGGTATTTGTGTTCGAAGGTTTCCCGTTACTTTCTAGCTCACATGAGTAACTTGAGCACGCCAATCAAGGGTTGAGTCGATGAACAGGCCTAGGTTTTTGACTACCGGGCTCCAAGGTTGTTAGTTTGCTGTAGTAGTTAGTTAGGCTCTCCAGCCGGTCATCGCCGAGTGGGCAGGGCGGCAGCACGGGACCCTTACCTTCCGGCTGACGCAGGTGCTTTCCGGGCACGGTTGCTTCGGAAAGTACCTGCACTCGGTCGCTAGGAGGGAACTAAGTCCCGCCTGCCACCACTGCGACTGCAGTGAGGACTCGGCCCAGCACACGCTGGCGCTCTGCCCCGCATGGGCGACGCAGCGCCGGGCCCTCACTGCAGTCATCGGAATGGATCTCTCGCTACCGGCCGTAGTACGCTCCATGGCCGGTACCGACAGTTGTTTTACCGCGGTCGCGGTCGAGATTACTTCCTCGCAGAAGGAGGCGGCGGAGAAAGCCCGGGAGGACGACCTCCACTCGGACCCGATCCGCCGCCGGCGAACCAGGCGACGGAGGCGCGCTTATCACCGCCTCATACCGCCCTGAGTGTGGCCGCGGGTGGACGGGGTGGGTTTCCCCTCCACCCGCATTAGTTTGGCCAGCCGCGAGGGGGCGCCAATCCGCGTGTGCCGGACGTCGCCTAAAGAGAGGTAAACATTTTGAGACGGAGCCCGCACCAGGAGCGGGCCGGCGCTGGGAGGGGTCCGGATGGTTTAACAACAGCTGTTCCCGGATCCCTCCTATTACAGGCGCAGAGTGGCACACCGTGTGGTTTTAGTCGGTCCGAGTCCGACACACCACCCCGCCGGAAACCCCGGTGGGGTGACGGTCCGAGGGGATTTCCACACGTTAAAAAAAAAAAAAAAAAGCATGGACCAACAAAAGTGCAATAACAATTTACAAAAAATAATGTGAACTTAAAAGTTATTATAAGACTTACAAAAACTTACAAAACAAAGAGAAGCAAAATCAAATTGAAAAATAAGCAAATAAACCCCTATAAGCTTACATTCCTTGTATCTAATACAATTCTCTTGATTCGAGGCACGGATGTAAAGTTAATATCTATTATATTGGCAAAAGGTTGAAATGCAGCAAATAATCGGGCTATTGAGTAATGCAATTTAAGGTTCGTGTGGCATTTAGGTCTACAGAAATATTCTCGCCTAGTACAAGACCTTGCGTTTAATCTAGGAACATTGAGGCCAATCCTGCTGAGCAACTCGGGGCAGTTCATGGTTCCAGTCAGCAACTTGTGCAGAAAAATTATATCCAACATCCTCCTGCGACTCGAGAGAGAAGATATCTCGTGAAACAGACGTACGGTATGTTAGGGTTACGTTATATGGGTGCAGGACAGAATATCTTGATCGCGTTCAGACTCTGAATTTCAGAAACACCGAATTTAACAATCTACCGACATCCAGACCGATGTGATCTTTCCATCTCAATCATAAAAAAAAGGCATTGCATTTTAATATTTTATATTTATTGGGAAAACATAAGTTAAGTACATAATACTTAGGTGCATTTTATATATGTCATAGTCGTGTATAATTGGATGAATTAGGTACGAATGCATACAATTCTTCTTCCTTCAGGTTGATTTACATGTTTGCATCTGTTACAAATTGCAGAAGTATAACTAAGTACGTAGACACCGAACGGGCAGCCTTTAACAAAAAAAATACTTGTATTTTTCTTAATAGATCGATAAGAATAATCATTTAATAATTAAAAATTATGTAAAAAAAAATGTATTTGTACATTTATACATTGTTGTGTGTTTATCGTAGTAGCTGCTCGTTAACTAGCAAAAAACAATTGGGAAAGAAAAAAGGTTCTGAATTGTTTTTTCTTCACCTCTTTGAGTAAGCAGCTGCGTGGATTCTTGTTGGGTTGAATTCCCTATACGCAAAGTTCTTTGAAGTTAAACATATATCATTTTATTTTTTACCCTTACCTGTTCAAACAATGCGTAATTAAATTTATAGAGACCGTGCGCTGTGAACGTAGGCCTCTGATGCAAAAGTTGCAGAGATAACTGCATCGCCTACAAACAAATTATAAATTAAAAAACATAAAATACTCTTTAACTTAAAGCAAAAGAACATTCGTACTGGAACGAGGTTTGGGTAGTTGCCATCTTTTATTTCGATATAACTACTAAAATACTTAAGTAGTTATTTTTATTGCACTTAAAGTAAGGCAAAATTTACATAGATTAAAACTTCTGTACCTCAAAAGTCATAGTTGAAACCTTCAAGTGAACAATTTGAAAGGACCTCGGAAGGATACAAGTGTTTGAACGCAAAAAAGGCAGAAAATCTTAAAAGGACGTAAACAATTGCGTCATAATGAAGATTTAGTCTAGATCACGACCAACTTAGTGAGATCACAATTAAAAACTATTTGTCTTTTGGGGCACCTTTAGAAACGTTTGGATAGCAAATCATTGCTGGGCGCATTGTCTGCTGTTCACACCTTTCGAACACTCGACAGTAAGAAGTCACACGAATACATCACATCATTACATTGAGCTAATGTATAGTATGCCACATGCCACCCTGAGTGTGGCCGCGGGTTAAGGGGACGGGTTTACTCCTCCACCCGCCCTAACGGCCAGCCGCGAGGTGACGACGTCCGCGTGTACCGGACGTTGCCTAAATAGAGTATGAAGTTATGAACCCGAGGGTGGTGTCCGCGCCGTTGTGGGCAGGCGCTAGGAAAGGGCCGGATGTCTTAATAACAGCAGTTCCCGGATTCCTCCTATTACAGGCGCAGAGTATCGTTTTAGTCGGTCCGATTCCGACACACCACCCCGACGCAAACCCCGGTGGGTTGACGGCCCGTTCCACACGTAAGAAATATGAATAGTAGGTTTATCTTTTATCTTTAGAAGACACCTAAGAAGCCAGGTTATCATATTCCTGACGAATTTAGTTTTGCTTTCTCCTTTTTTTTTCCTGTGCGGAACTCCCCTCGGATACCACCTACCAGTGGGTGATTATGTCGAACTCGAAACGCCCAAAAACCGCACGCCGTCTCCAGGTACCAGCAGCTGGGGAACCAGTTATACCCTAAAAGGGCCTAGGCCTAGAGAGCCCTGGTACCCTGACGTACCTTGGGCCATCTAAGGCTTATAGATGACCCCCTCCTGTGTGGGAACCCCCATGTTCCCTTCCTGCACCCGAAGCGTAGCTCGTCTTGCCGCCACCCACCCCGGACTGCTTCTGCTAGTGTGACAGATGGCCTCACCTGTTACCCCCAGACCTGCGCTTATGGAGGACAGAGGTCGTTCTTCGACCTCCGGCGCCTGAGTCGGCTGCGGTACCTTGCCCGTTCTTGGGCCTCAGTTTTGCTTTTCCCCTGTCTATCGCAATTACACTTTTCATTATCATCACCTTGGATCTGACAAACTAATTTATTTCTTCCCCTCGTTAAATATTCATACCACACAGTTCTAACATAACACATGGGCTGAAAAGTCCCGGGCCTAACAAAGAAAACACAGTTTTTTTGGTTCAAAATTAGCTTTAATCATCAACGTAATCTCCATCAAGAGCAACGCAATCATTCCAGCGCCGCTCAAACATTTCAATATCACTTTTGTAGAACGATTTATCTTTTGCCTCAAAATAGGCCTCAGTTTCAGCGATAACCTCTTCATTCGTGCAAAATTTCTTACCGGCGAGATTTTTTTTCAGGTCTGCGAACAGCCAATAGTCGCTAGGAGTCAAATCTGGCGAATACGGTGGATGTGGGAGCAATTCGAAGTTCAATTCATGTAGTTTTGCCATTGTTTTGATTGACTTGTGACACGGTGCGTTGTCTTGATGAAACAATTTTTTTTCTTTGCCATATGCGGTCGTTTCTTTGCAATTTCGGCCTTCAAACGCTCCAATAACGCTATATAATATTCACTGTTAATGGTATTTCCTTTCTCAAGATAGTCAATGAATTTTACACTACGCACATCCCACAATACCGAGGCCATAACCTTTCCAGCCGATTGTTGTGCTTTCGGGCACTTTGGACGAGGTTCACCAGTTGCTGTCCACTCAGATGACGATCGTTTTGATTCCGGTGTGAAGTAATGGATCCATGTTTCATCCATTGTCACATATCGACGCAAAAATTTCGGTTTGTTACGTTTAAACATGGCCAAACACTGCTCAGAATCATCAACACGTTCTCGTTTTCTGTCAACAGTGAGTAAACGCGGCACCCACTTTGAACAGAGCTTTCTCATAGTCAAATGATCATGCAATATAAAGCCAACACGTTCTTTTGATATCTTTGCGATGTCAGCTAACTCACGCAACTTCACTTTTCGATCATTTAAAACGATTTTGTGGATTTTTTTTATGTTTTCTGGTGTTACCGCCTCATTTGGACGTCCACTGCGTTCTGCATCATCGGTGTCTCTACGACCACGTTTGAAGTCAGCAAACCAACGTTTTATTCTTGTTTCTGATGGAGCTGAGTTCCCAGAACACTTTTCAAGCCATTGCTTCGCTTGAACGGTATTTTTTCCCATCAAGAAGCAGTGTAAAATTAAAACACGAAATTGTTTTTGATCCATTGTTTTGAAAATAACAAAAGTAGCGACACTCTTAGCACAATAACTCACAAACTAATGAATAGAATATCATGAAATTCTAACACCTGTCTTTTGAAGGTTAGTATTAACTGAAAAAAAGGTGACTGCTATAAAACTAGCGCAATCTATGTGTTAGGCCCGGGACTTTTCAGCCCATGTAATACGGTTATTAAGTATGATTACATACGTTAGTGTAAAGCATTTTATAGTTTAAAAAAGACTTGATTTGTTAATAATTGATTATAAACTGACCTCCGACGTTACGGTAGGACTGAAATCGCTGCTCATAATCTCATGCAGAATATATGACGTTTGTCTTGCCTGTGAAAAAAAGGAACAACATAATTCATTACCAAACAGTTAAAATGATTGACTAAACTATCAACTCAAAAGTGTATATTCTTACCTCACGCATCACACCTTCGCAAAATAAAACGATTAAAAACACTATGGCAATACCATAAGCGGCTTGCCAGAAAACGTAAATACAAAAGTCGATGTATTTCGGTAGGTCGTGAAACAAGCCCGCTGAAGTCGCTTCGAGGAAGTAAAATAGGTACAAGATTACATATATGAGAGACACCAACGTCGTCATCAGCAAAATAAAACCGAAGACATCGTTAACACCAACGACCACTTTGTAGAACATGCCGTATATTTTAGCACATGACTTTATTTTCTCGCTTATTAACCTATCTTGTAGATTTTCTGCCTTATGCATATTTGTGGGCATCCTGCCCCTAACAAAAATTTTGTATTCCCAAGCTTTTTGTGAATTTATTTCAGCCAGCACTTTATTTGCATATCGATATCTATTTCTCAGGACACTCAAGAAATAGCAGTAAAACGATGTAACAATAAGTGCCAGCGTATCAGAGAATACTGCTTGGTATACTCTTGCAGCTGGTATGTTTATATTCAAGTTTTTGAGTATTAACCAAATGGAAAATAATCGGAGTAATTGGACGATGACCAGTCCGACAAATATGCTAGACGCAGAAAGAGCGTCTCTGTTGTAATCGACCTTTTCGCCCAAGTTTTCTAACGCTTTGTCCGCGTCCATTATTATCTTCACAATACTACTGTTGCCAAACAAACCGAATGGTAACTTCCACATAGCAAGAACAACATAAACCAGTGAGGTGATTTTTTCAGAGTCGTCGCCGTAACGTTGCATTTTCGTATCAAACATGTTGCGGAGAATTGTCTGATCATCAATATGAGCTTTGTATGCGCAATAAAAATATAGGGAATTCCATATCAGAAAACAAGAAAAGCCAAGTGGACTAAATCTGGATACAATGCCACTGTCAGTATTCACTATCTCAACGACTGCTATTCCTGTCAATTTCCTTAAAGTCTTCGAGACGTACAAAGCTTCGACTAAATTATTATATTTTCTTATTGTCAAAGATTTTTTCAAGCGTTTTTGCAATTTTTTGACATGTTGCTTGGCCGATAATGGTTTATTGAAGTAGTTCATCATTACCCGCGTCGTAGTCTTTTGCCTAAGGGCTACTAGGAAACAATGGCACAATTCCCAAAAATCCTCAACTCATTTTTCAGGTATTGTGAGTGGTTCATAATGGGTAATTTTCTTAAACACGGAAATTAAGTAAATGAAACAAAATGATGGTATTCGCAGTATATCCACCGGATATTTAGAAATGTATTTCTCCTGAACGTTCACATTTACAGTGATAATCTACAGTATGAACATCATAGGCTTTATATTGTCATAAACAATAAAGAAAATAGGCATATTATGTACAAATGGACATTAAGGTATCATTTCAAAGTATCATTTGGAACTATTTATAAGCACTATACAATTTTACATGATGAAAAGTTACAAGCACAATGGTATTCTACTTTTATAGTATTGTAGCTTCGCTGCATCGCAATAATAGGTCTATGTAAATATTATACTTTGATAAATAACTAACTAATAATATACAAAATAAATGTGATTGTGCTCTTTCATAACTCTTAGAACAAATATCATATATTATTCGAAAATCTATTGCGAACTTATCTTTTCCTTTTAATCTATGTCTATGTATCGTCATCTTACAAACCAGAAGCCTTCAAAAACAAACGTTTGTAGCTAGCAACTAAAACTATGATACAAGATTGTGTAAATCGTTAACTTATTATGTAGTACAACAAGTTTCAAAGTATTAGCAACTGTTATGGTAAGGTACATAACTATGGTAATATTTATGGCACAAATATAGGATACGGTAACAATGCTATACAAATATATATTTTTTTTATTTGCGTCCCGTATGTTTGAAAGCATGTACAAAAACATTAACAGGTGTAGATACAATATTAAAGATCTTTAATAGAACGTCTTGTACCCATTTCAACAGTTCACAGATGACATTTGGTAACCATTTACACTTTTTGTCCTATTTCTTATTTCTATTATCATTGAGATTTTGGTTCGTTTAAATATGAGATTTGTTGTTTGATACAATACAATTTTGAGATCATGATAAAACGCACTATATTTATGTTATTTCAGGCTTAGTGGAAACACACAGAACAACGTTGCGATCATTAAATTGTTTTTTAAATAGGCAAAATATCCTTAAAAAATGTAACAAAATATAAAGCTGCCCCTTACACTTAGATCTATGCACGAATTAATTTAAGGCAGCCGCTCATAATCTATTTATTTTAAAAATTGCCAGACGAGACATATTGTTTTTGTAATAAGGTTATTATCTAAAATGGCAAACTGTATTATAACAATACCAGGTAAGTGTAATAGTAAAAACTAACAACGTAGCTGTGTACATATTTAGAGGACTATACTAATTGTGATGGCTATAAATTATTATTATGAATAAAAATAAAATATATATTTTAACTGTCATTTTCTTATTAAATTGATTTATTGCAACATCGTGGAAATGCATAGAATTAGTAGTTTATATAAAATAAGCATTTGCTTGGTATAATAATAGCCCAAGAGCCCACGACGGCCAACCTTCGTTATTTTGTAAAAGCTGAAAGTTTTTCTGTGCATGCCCCCTATGCAGGTAAGAACGACCAGCGACTATAGTTTGGGTTGTGATTACTTGGGCAGGTAACAGGTAGTAAAAGTGTATAAAATAGTACCTTAAATTCGTTAAAGTATTAAGATCAATTTTTTTATATTTTCTTCGGGATAACTTTAGAAATCTAGTCATCCATTGCCAGACGCTTATGACAGTTGCTACCCCTTGCCAGACACCCCTAAACTTTAACAAATTAAAATTATACTTTCGTTATAGTATAAAAGCTGAATTTTATATATGTTACTTGGGGATCTATAAATGTCATTCTTTCACTGTTGATAATCCCAACAAAGTTGTCTCAAAGGTTAATGAAGAGTTGTCATGCCCAGCACACGAGGAAGCAGATACGAAGATAGTATACCATGCATGTAACATCAACTATCCAGCAGAAAATAGTAATAAGAAGTGCTGATACCGATATTGCGGCTAAAACGTTTGGTAACATGCATCACCTTAAAAGTGATTCGGTTGCTCGGATGCTTACGGGTACTGGCAATAATTTAAGATATGTGGACCTAACCAAAATACATGCAGAGCTTACCTGGATTTCATGCCATCACAGGTTGTGATTTTAATCTTCAGAAAAGCGTGCGTTCTTCAGAAAAGGAAAATTAAAATCATACAAGACATTAAAAAAATATCCAGCGTACCAGGAAGCTTTCAAGGATTTCGGCAACAGAGAATTAATTGAAAATTTAGATCATCAACAAAACATCTTTAATATTATTCAGAGATTTATATGCAATGTTTACAATGTCCCTAATGTACTTGATGTTGATGCCGCCAGATTTCAAATATTCAACGATTCGTATACAATCGAAAGTTGCGAAATTTTGACGCTCGCAATCTACCTCCTTGCAAGCAATTTCTGCAAATTGTATATGTAATATTTAGAATAATGCTCATCTGAAAAATCCAACCACATATCAACCAGACAATATGTAACGACTGGGTATTGAAAGATGACAAATACCAGTTCAAATGGTTTGAAGGGGATCAACTACCAAGTTATGATAGTGATTCACTCAAAACTCAATCAGGTACACGACATGACACGTGACATTATGACAATTTATTTTATATAATTTTTTAATTATTCATAATTGTATATTCTTGCTTTTTTTCAGAAACTGACGAAGAAGGCAATATTGACGACGATCATGCCATCGACTGGAGTAGTGACAAAGAAAATGAAAATATCGACGACAATGATGAAATTTATAAAAACGTTAAATATTTTTTTTACATGTAATAATACTTTTTTTGTATTTTATATTATTAAAAATTACATTTGTTCTTTATATAACATTACACGTATTTTTTTTTTATTGGATATCCTTAAAGATCGCAATTGACTAAGCACTCTCGCTCGCACCTACAGCGGACTTTCTGGCAAGATGTAAGAACTATTTAAAACTGTCCGGCAATTAAGGTAAAAAAAATATAGGTCCCCAAGTATAAATATAATTTATTAATGTTTAGGGGTGTCTGGCAGGGGGTAGCAACTGTCATAAGTGTCCGGAAATGGATGACTAGATTTCTAAAGTCATCCAGGTGAAAATACAAAAAAATGGAGCTTTATACTTTAACAAATTTAAGGTATTATTTTATACACCTTTACTACCTGTCCAAGTAACCACAACCACAACCCAAACTCTATAGTCGTTGGTCGTTTTTACCTGTATAGGGGACATGCACGGAAAAACTCTAAGCTTTTATAAAATAACGAAGGTCTGGCCGTCTTAGGGTCTTGCTCTATGAGGTATCCTAGACAAAAATATTGCAACAAGCTATTTCAATTAACATTCTACAAAATTTGGATTTAGGACTAACTATTCTTGCATAGCTATATCAAACTTTAGGGAGGTTTACAAGATTTATAAATTTAAGTATTTTAAACTACAGACTTTCTATTACAAACAAATCTCTATGCATACTTATATTAGTGTAAAATATCAACAGGTATTATATATTGGTAATAAACATAGTGGTGCTAAAATTGATTACATTTTGAATCAAGTTTCAAATTAGAATGTATTTTATACAATCAATATTTGACCAAAATGTTATAAAACCGACATAAATCAGAAGACATTTGTGAATATGAAAATGCAAAATACGGAAGGAGAGTAGCTTATTTACTTTAACTTTTTTTTAAAGAAGTATGTTTCAACAAAAGTTATTAAACTCAGAGACTTAGTGTACAAATCCGCAAACCACAAATCGTGTCAGTATTCTTTTTTCATTATATCCCGTTTAAGCTTGTCTAATTTAAAGCTACCTTTTAAATTCATCTATTTTATAATAGTAACTTTAAAACTGACAATTGTGATTCGTTCGATTAGTAAAGGAACTCTGACCACTTCAGCGTAGATAGGTTAAAGTTTACGAACACACACTTATCGCTCGATCTACAAAATAACGATATTATACAGCTAAGCACCGAAATACTAATTTATAAGGCTTATTGTGTTGTATGATTGTGTAATATAATAAGTATGGGTTCAGGTAGACAGCAATATTAATAATAAAAATGTAGTTATCACAAAAAGGAGCAGATCTCCGAAGGCGAAGTAACCATAATTCAACCACAAGTCAATTAAATTTACTACCATATTAAAGTATTATCAATAAACATATTTCTTTTATTTCTTAGTGCATTAGTATAAAAAAGAAGATTTCATTTCTATTTTTACTTAATTAAAAATATTGGTAGTAATAGTAGTAGTAATGTTATTTCAGAAACAAATACATTCCGGCCAAGTTTGCATGCATTTTCTTTTAATTGTTAAATACATTTTCATTTTATTTTAATACTTTCATATTTACGGTTACTTGTAATATTACACCCATCGTACAATCCTCACACAGCCTATTTTTAATACTCAACGCACTTGTTAAAACGAAATCTTATACACATTCATAGAAATGATATGCATAAATGTTTATATTGGAGTTTTCGTACACAAACAAGAATCAAAAATGAGTTTTAACTTTTTAAATGTTGTTATTTCGCCAGTTTATGCATGTCTTCACCTACAAGTATGCTTAACACTCGTTACAATAGTACCTTTCTCCCGAGGTGTACTACAGCTTTTTTTAATCATAGCACACTTTTTACTTTCACACATTCAGGCAATAGTATTGTCGTGACTCGGAATAAACTTACACTTCTATAAATTATAAGTAAAAATAAATGCGTAATGTGGCCTTAATTTGTTGTAATAATTCCTCAGTATTTTATTAATAAATGATACTTGTGACATTATGTACTATTTATTCGCTTAGTAATACCACCAAAACATGATTGATAATAAAATATTAATATTGATGTACAGTAATTCAACTGGTACTTACACTAGCCGCCTGATGAAATGTTCAATAAATAATATGAGAAGCCTTTATGGGAGGATTAATTTTTGATAATTTCTGAGGGTATTCTCCCAAGTATTGACATATAACGCCACGCCTCGGCCTACGCCGCGCACTACGCGTGTGGGTATTTTATAATATGATGAGGAGTTAAATAGCATAATCCATGTGCCCACTATACGACTTAACATTTCGATCTAATATATTTCATTTATCATTTCATTATATCTATATTATACCTAATTTATTATTGCAAAAACGTATATTAATATTTTTTAATCCATCGAATAAGCGTTTAACTGGCACTGTCAAGTCAGTATGCAGTGTGATAATAATTAATAATTTGACGTGCAGTGGCCACACAGTTTATGACTGCTAGTGCTTTCTTTAATGTATAGAGCACCAACTTTTGTCAAAATTCTGTACAAAAGACAGAAACATTAGATACGTTTAAACAAAATCATTCACACGCTGTCCAAGTAAAACAATATTCGTACACAATCACGCAGACCTTCCAACAACAAAATTATTTAAAAACATTTGCAAATACATTTTCGTAAAGCTCGTGTCTAATATAATTAAAATCACATCTCATTAAATATCTTTGGGTACAACCAAATAAAATGATTAAATTCATAGCATACAAAAATATAAAAAAATATACAAGAATGTCAAATAGACGTAATTAAAGGAAGTTTCGGAGTTTGTAGGTACATCGTACAACCCATTGTGTCCATCGATAATGAGACACACGGACTAGAGCCATCAAGTGATCGAAGAAGTACGATACACACATACAAGTTCCTCTTATAATATTCATCTGACGGTCGGGTCTCACCACTCTGTCAGCTGCTTGGAAAATATATCCTTTGAGTAGTGAACGTTCCTCAGAAGTCAGTCAATGATTCCGAAGCAACATTATTATTGCAGTGGTTGAGATTCATCGGTCACAGCAGATCTTGGACGTGAGATGTATCGAGGTTAGTGATGAGAGTTTTAAGGAAGGTCATTTCTTTTCGTGCGTTCTCGAGTATGACGCGAGGGTCCTGTGACGTGCAACGGAGACAGTTGGGAGCGAACACCATGGCGAGGTTTGCAGAGTCCATTTTTGTTTGACTTACAACTTCGGGTGCCGTGAATTGTTGTAAGAAACTTATGAGATAAGTGAGTACCTAAAATAAGAAAATGAGAGTATAGTCCTTTGAGACAATAAATAGCCACAGTATCGTTAATAAATAACATTCTTATGTTAATGACTATTAATGTGTGCGTCATTATAATTATCATCATTGACCTTTAATAGTCCACTGCTGGACATAGGCCTTTCCTTAGAAAGCAGATTTAGGCCTACCGTACCACGCAGGCCAGATCCAGTATAGGGTTTGTTTTAAATTTTCCTTCTCTTTGGGATGCTATTATCCAGCACAGTTTGCTCCCTAACTCGGCTCTTACGACGCCCACGGGTTAAATAGGGGTGGTGACTTCATATTCTTATTCCATCACCACACAGACACGTAGTGTGTGTAGTGTGAATCTTTCATTCTGGGCATAATTTTAAATCTAATTTTCTTTTTTTAATATAGAAGTGCCAGTCCTTTCAAGGACAACCTGACTGTACGCAGGGACTGTACACACCTGTTTTTATTTCATAAAAAAAACATTACAGCAATCGATACCGAGGCTACCGGAGTAGAAAACCATTCACGTGTATAAAACGGCATGGACGCAAGGTAAAATGTCCGTATTAGCATCAGTATGATGAAGGGCCATATAGCACTCACGAGCCTGTTGATGGGCGGCAGGCGCAGCAGCGCGCGCTCGCAGTGCGCGAAGTCGGTGCCGGCCGCCACGCACGCGCCGTACAGCGCGTCGGGGATGAGCGGCTCGTACAGCTCGCGGTACCACAGCTTCAGCAGGCTCGCCGGCGCGTGCGCGTCTGGGGACGCCGAAGCGGGACTCTTTTACTTACGACTTCACTTTTGCTCGTTCAATGTATATGACAATGTTTATACGATATTACGGAGGGTTCGTGGCTAAGTGGTAACCGAGTAGGGCTAATACGTTGCTAAATTAAACGATCCTAGCCAGGTCGGTCTATGGATGGGTGACCATTCTTAACACGTTGAGACCTCTCCGTGCCTCGGAGAGAACGTTAACCCATCGTCCCGGTTGCCATGCGAGCATCTGTATAGCGAGCGATAGTTACGGGTAGTTACAACCCTACGAAGTCAGACAATAGAACTTCGATATCGCCTAGTACTTGAGATCTGGAACTCTGATAGTAGTAGTAGATAGTAAAAAATCGAAGTTCAACCGTATCATTTTAGACTGAAAGCTTACTGAGTTTAACGATAGTGCCTAGATAGGAAAAAAGACTAGTAGAAGAAGAAAGAGGAAGATTAATGCAATATCTACTTTAGAATTGGTTGGTTTGTTTGATTTCATTTAAAATTTCATGAGGATACTATCTCCAGGATAACGTATGTAATGTTGGTCGTTATTTTCTTCAGTGATTAAATAAAGGTACCTACGTTTTAAAAATCCATACATAATGTTATAGTCCCTTTCAAAAACCGTCTTAAACATAGGATTTTCAACTAATAATTTATTTAATATTTTATTAAAACACAATAGTAATTTAAAAACTCGCAAAATAGGCTGAAGTTTTTTACTGATGCAGCCTTGCACTGGGGCATTAACAATATTAGACCCAATTGTCTATGACACTATCGAAGCCCTGTCATTACCTAAATTTTGGTTAAAATAGCATGAGTTTTCATTGAAACCTTTAGAAATACAGTAAATATTTTGTTACATATTTATTAGAGATACATGTATGTCAAATCATGACATATATTGGGATTATAATGTTGGTATAAAAACTTATATTGATTAATAATGTTAAAAATAATAAGACTACTACTACTACTCACCAGTCAACGTAGAAACATCAGGAAGCTCCCAGTTATCAATCTTCGATTTCAAAGCATTGACCTCGTCTACATCAGCTGACACCCTAAATATACCCTCCGTCTCTCTACCGTTGAGTGCCAATACTTGCTGCGATAAGGCCACTTGTACCCAGGGAAGCTGACGATTAGGAAACCGTTCCTTTTGTAAAGTCATTACCTCAGAAAGTGTATTCCCAAACATTGATTGGCGGAAGATTTGTATCTGTGGATGGGAAATTTTATGCTTATGTTTTTAACAGTTTTTGAATATAAAACCATTCAAATTATAGAAGCTACTATATCAGGCTATTATTTTTAACAACCAGTTTTAATGTTTTTTTTTAAATAAATATTCGTCGATAATTTACTAAAGCGTATAACATAACATTTACAAAAACACTGTCTTGTATGAAGAAAAGTATGTTGAGTTACAACTGTTAATCGCTTATTTCGAAATAACCAAAAATCTTAAAAGTACTTACTCTAGCTTGATCTATATCATCTGTCGTAGGTTTTCTAGGCTGCCTTTTCCCTCCAAAACCGATCCTTTCTAACCTTTTACACGCCACGCCAGCATAATGTGAAACTTGAACATGGATAGGCCATTTACCAACCTGGAAATGTAAAGATGTTGTTTTTTTTCCAGAATTTGAACAACCATGATGTTTCTTCCGTATTAATATGAGTTGTAGCGTTATATTTTATCATAATAAGTAGGCTGCCTTAAGAGAAAAACATTCTTTAGTTGGAAAGAAGGCCAATTCTCTTCAATTCAGTTCGGATCAACTTTCAATCTCACAACTGTCATAAAAGGTATTTTCGTAGTGAAGTATTAACCCTTTGACCGCCACGTCAATAACGACAAACTGTGCTCTCCATGCGAAGCAACAAATTCCTTGTTTCATACCTAAAAAATAAAAGTGACAAGCAAAAGTACATCGATAAATTATCGATACATTTTACTTGTGCATCTTTATGAATAAAAAATGCTAATACCATTAAGTTTTATTAAATTTTATCTCACTTCTCAGCTAAGTAATCATTACACCGCAGTAACAGCTACAGATAAGAGATTTTATGAAAAAAAAAAAATAATAATTATAGCGTAATCTTTTTTGTGACCATATCCACTTTTGTCATTATTAATTATATATGCCTCTATAAATTTTGATTTTGTAACAATAAACAATTAACTCATTACCCAATTTTCCCGTAACTAGTCGACGCTTTAAGGCGTACATGGCGTAGGAGAGGGGCAATTTTGTGACAAAACGTGAAAGAGACAGTGTTGTTGATAGATTTTGTGGCGACTCCCACATAAACATACTACAGCGCCATCTAATGAAGACACACCGAACTACGGAGTAACTACTAAAATAAGAATTGCTAAACCTGTATCGCGATATAAAGAATTCCCTCGCCGATTAGCATATATACAACTTCCCAACATCAACCGTTGGGCCGCGGCCCGCCAGGCATGATCACCTCGCCTGGTCAGAGGATCCTCCCTTTGTGTTGGAGGGCCATGACACCCGTTCCTCCACAATTTTATTAATAGTTTTCGATATTTTTAATTCAACAAAATTGTTACAAGTGTTATTTAACAGTTTTTTCCTGATAATCACTATCAGATGCAGATTCAAATGTGATTCTAACATCATCTTGTCATGATCCACATTTATTCTTTTAAAATTGAATAAATACGTGTAACGCAAAATTGTCTTCTGACAAACACTTATTGCAGATATAATAATGTATGTCTCGAGGATATATTCATAAATTTTTTTTCTACCGTTAAATCCCAACACTACAACTAACAATATACTCGCCTATGACGTCACAGGCGCTTTAACTAGTCAACGGCGTTCGCGACCAAGAAAAGTATGTCACGAGTAGTGATGTTTGAATAAGCTGTCGATGTTTATTTTTTGCAAAAATTTGAATGTACGACGAAATTACGACATACTTTACAAATACCTAGATCAGAATAAATTGGTTTCTATTTTTAAAATGATTTATGAATGCATATTTACATCACTTCAATAGCAAAAGTTACCTCAGGAAACGCATCGGCAAAGGCAGGGTCTCTGTGTCTATTTACATAGTTGGTGAGCGCAGGTTGAAATGTAGGCGAAGGGGGTACGAACGCTAGGCAAACCGCCAGGAGCTCCCAACCGCGCAGTAACGAATCCCGGAGGGGGTTCTCAGTGGTCTGTCTGCATAGTTGCACGTACAACTCGTCACGAAGTCTGCAATCGATCAAAACAGGTTAAACCTTACCAGTACAATGTTGATCAATCAGACTGTTGAATTTATATGAACATTGCATGCGATCGTATAAATAGTTAATTTATTGAATAGACCTAAAAAATTTTTAATTTATTGGCAAAAAAAAGCAGGAATTCTATTTAGTTTGTAGTTGGGTAAAACACTTTCTTGATAAGATGAAAAAAAAAGTATCTATATTTCTAGTAAAATTAATAAAAAATATCGAACAAAATACAAAGAATCAGTTGATGATAAATAATAAAAAGAATAACTTTTCATTGGAGAAGGTGGCGTGTAGAATGTCCTGCGCGACGGAGTTGAGCGTCATGCCGGGGCGCGCCTTGCGGTCGCCCATGTAGATCTGCACGAGGCGGAACAGGTCCGTGGCCGCCTTCTTGTGCGCCTTGTCCCACTCCGCGCCCACCATGGGCGCGCTGATCGACGACGACGTCCACGACAGCATGTCGCGCACGGACGCCTGCCGGTAAACATCGTCGTCGTATGACACTACAAGAGACGTGCGCTAGTGTCGCAAGAGTGAACTAACGAGAGATCTTACGCACCTTCCTCCTAAAGATGCCTTTATTGAAATTGAGGTTGTCCTTGGCGAATATCTCGATGTCCTGCTCGAGCGGCGGGCGCGGCGCGTGCGAGCGCACCGGGCTGTAGAGCGCGCCGCCCTCCTCCGCGCCGCCCGCCGCACCCCCCGCACTCCCGCCGCCGCCCAGGGACGACGTCTGGAACCGATCCAACATTTGTTTATTGCAATACTCTTTATACAAAACAGGAAAAAAACATCATTAATATAAACGGTAAAACTATGTTCAGAATCGTCGTGCACGCGTTTAAACAGTGTCATTAGTATCGAAATCGCGTCCCGCGAGCTCGACGCCCGTCGAGTGGGCATAACCTTAGTGTACCACATTAATTTAGTATTTATAATCAAATCAAATTATATATTTATAATCAAAGTAACTCACTCTATGAATCCCGGGTGAAGGCTGTCTTTCTCTATCGAAACCCACGAAAGTGTTATAGTAGGAGACTCCGTGGTTCATGTATTCGACGTCCACGGGTCGATGCGCATGCGTGTACGCGTGCGGGAGGTAGACGCCGGAGCCGTCGTCGTCGTCGGGCGTGCGCGCGCCGCCGTCGGAAGACTCGTTGTCGGGTTCGTGGCCCGACAGCGAGCGCTCCGAGCCCGAGCGCGAGTGCGAGCGCGACGAGCCCGACTCGCCGTCCGACCCCGACCCGCCGCCGTAGCGCCCGCGACCTGGGACCGATATAACGCTCGAGCTAAATTACTTATGGACCACGATTTAATCAATTATAAATATAAAAGTAACACCGCTTAATGAGTGAGTATCAGAGTGAGTTATCAGAATGTGTTTAGGTCATCAAACGGGTGTAAAACAATTCACCCTAGGAATACTACCCACACCTAGGGAAATATAGATATTTCTTTTGTTTTATAGGGGATATTCAATCCTGAAATAATAGACGAGACCGGATTTTATCCTCTAATTATCCTCTTTTGATTATGTTTTGCTCTTACATAATAATTGGAGTTATTAATTGTTGCGGACAGCCAGGTATTGTCTATTATCTCAGGATTAAATATCATCCTCAAGAATAAATAGAATACAGGTTTAAAGTAATAAAATCAATGTGACTCACTGGACAACTTAGCCTGCTGTATGATGTAGTCTTGAAGCGGCAGCAAGTGTTGCATGCCTCGCAAGTCCCAGTTACAGTACAGAGGGGAGCTGCCACCTTCATCCTCTTCTTCCTCGCCATCTAGACCACCGTCGTCAAGCTCTACCGGCCTTTTGTGTCCTGTAAATATAATTAAAATAGTTTAATTAACTTTTATTGAAACCTAAATAGTCTTACTACTACTTATTTTATGTGTTTTAACCCTACACCCCATGTTTGCACCCCTCTCAAGTTGCAACAGCTGCAACCTAATTACATGATCAGTTTTTGTGTCACTGTCCATTCCGAGATATCACATCTTCGTTGCATTAGCTGTATCATGTATATGCTGTACACTATAAAACAAAAGGAATGGAAACAATCCTTATAAAAATATGATGTGGATATTTGTTATCAATTTAGTCTTTTAACTTCGTATTGAAATAGTATTTAGACGACTTATTCTAGAAATATAAGTCAACCTTATAGTATACTCACGTCTCGACTTGGTACGATCTCTGGGCGCAGTAGACCTGTCACTCAACCGCTGGTTATGTTTCTGTACATTCGGCTCCGTTAAAGGAGGTTCTAAGTTGACGCACTTAAGTTTGTAATTAACTGTGGAAAACGACAAATAATTAAATAATAACAAGCTCTGTAATTACTATTTTTCCACCTGAAAATAAATCTTATGCATAAACAAAGAACCTAAAATCTGCATTATGATTCACCTTTACACTACTTAAGATTTATAAATATGTTTTACCATTTGCTTTTACCTGAAGACCAATTCTCGTGATAAAAGTTCAGTCTCAATTTAGTTCCGATCAACTCTCGATCTCGCAACTGTCATAAAAGGTATTTCGAGAGTTGACAGAAATATTGACCGAACTTGAGAATTTCCTTTCAGGTGTACCCATATAATATTATGCAAGACATTCGGATAATTCAAGTATCAAATATTTGCTTTTATGGGTTTAATAGGTTAATACCTACCAGCTGCAATGTTATCTTGTTCATTAGCAGAGGATAGCCTCATGAAGTTGTGGTGTGGTTCATGTGTGGCGCGATGCTTGCTGCTACTGCCCGATGACAATGAGGTTTTGCTCGAGGTATACCGTTCTGGTTCTGCTTGTTGACGTCTGCAATATTAATACAAAAATAAAATTTAAAATAGTTTATTTAGTTTAGGATCCTTTATAATGGCAATACACTCATGGCAATTTAGATAAAGCTGCGCTAATTTTAAAGGACCATTAAATACATTTTTGTAGTATTGCTTTCATAGTACAAACTCTGCTCAGTTTGAAACTAGATGGCGTTAGATGTCCGAAAATATTATTATTATACACAAGTATGAGAGTCTAAAAAAATGATGTCTGGTAAACTTGAACTGAGCCAATTGGACTAGTTAGATTCACTCCACGATACATATAAGCGCACATTTGGGAGGGAATTGTGGCTAAGTGGTAACCGTGTAAAGTTAAGCAATCACAGCCTGGTCAGTTTATGGATGGGTGATAAAATTGAGAGCCCTCAGTGCCTTGGAAAGCATGTTAAGCCGTCGTACCGGTTGCCATACACAATTGAACACCTGTGACAATCCGTGACAGTTGGAGCCCTCATAAGTCGCCAACAGTCTTTCTACAGAACTTTGATATCGCCTAGTACTTGGGTTGTGGAGGTCTGATGGATCCACGTAAAACAATGAAGTTCAGCCGTATCGTAGTAGACTTAAAGCCGACCACAATCTAACTTGAAAAAAGGATGGGAGGAAGGAAGCACACATTTAGGATCACTTATCATCACTAAAGGTAATTTCTTTTTTCAGCTTATTACATTATATATCATGAGGCACTAATAGAAATACCAGTGTCCACCGAAAAAAAGAAAAAAATAAAGTTTTTAGTTCGATACCTGGTAAAGTCTCTAGCTGGATGCCAGTTGGCCGTAGCTGCGTTATGACGTAAATCGAGACTCGTCTGCCGAAAAGGTTTGTCCACACTATACACTGCTTGCTTCTCCGGGTACCTGTCCATGCGTTCCAATTCTGCTATTCTATCCTTGTCTAAATGCCTGAAACAATTAGAAAAGGATTTAAGAACACATCATTTATCCCACTAATATTATCAAAGGTGTTTAGATGTTTGTTACTCAATTACGCAAAAAAAAACTGCACAATTTTTATGACAGTTAGCACTGAATTGAATGGGATTATACAAACGAGACATTTTATTCAAGTAAATTTAGACTTCTTCCATTGGGATTCAGAATCCTAAATAAAGTCAACGCAGACCAACCCAGCAGAAGCGGGCTTCCCTATGTCATACATTTCCCAAAAGGCTATGAAAGCAGATGTACCCCAAGGGTAATGTATAATAATTATACATTATAACAAAACTAAATATTTATGCAAATTAAAAAACCAACCTTTTATTTATAACTAAAATAACTTGAAATTTAATTAAATTAAATTGAAATTTCTTACAAAAATAGGGACAGGCATTGTCTGTAAACCAGTAATAAAAATTTCACCAGTCTAAGAAGTTACACAAATTCAAAAGCAAACTTCAGAATTGTAACAACTCAGTGCAAAATAGTTAGAAATGAAGTTCTGGCCAACTATACCACACTGGTGAGACGGGTTATATACCAATCAAGATTACGTTATAATTTTTTGTTGAACGGTCAGAAACTTCTGAAACTTACTTTAACTGAACCACACTGGCCAGACGGGTTGGTATATCAAAATTACGTAATAATTTTTTGTTGAATGGTCAGACACTCCTGAAACTTACTTCAAGTAGAAAACTAACGATAATTCTGACACAAAAGTACAACAAAACGGATCTTACTAAAACCATACTTTTACTCTCATGGATGCGTCTATTACCAATGGCAGAAGCAAACGTAAGAGAAGGATAGCCTAGTTCTGAAGACTAGTTTGGATGTCATTCCGTACTCTTCTATACCAGTCTTCACTCATATACTTTCCAGTACTTCTTTTCATACACAGAACAGAACAGTCAAAGAAACTCCTGCAAAAGGCTTTAAGCACCAATCGACGGCGTCGGTACAACTATAACAAAATATCCTCCCTCACTCAATCTGTTCTTCTCTGAAATGCTCTTCTCCAGGAAATCAGAATGGCACCCAGTCATAATTCGTTCAAGGTGAAAGTATGAGTTCTCCTTACCCAAAATATAGCAGAATCATCACAATTATGATAGTTTATATACTATAGGATATATGTTTATATATTTGTATGTATGTATACTTGTATGTGTATGTTGTTATATTTATATCATTTCACTATTTTTTCATTTCTTGACTTCTCTTTCTGTGCAAGACAGTATTTCTTAATATTTAGTTCTTTTTTGTTCACTTTTCATTCATTTCCACACCACCCTATGGTAGACTGCTAGTGAATGCCTTTATCTTTTAAGCATTAAAGGCATTGCCGCCATTGTGAATTTTGTGCATAAAGTTATTAAATAAATAAAAAAAATAGTTGAAGCAGTATAGTCAAAGAAGCGGAATAACCTGTTTTAGTCACACGGAATAGAGGCAACTGAATGTGTAACCTAATAATTTTCTTTAAACATCACATTTACTACAGACGTGTACAAAAGTAGAACACTGTATTATGATCGATAAATAAAATTATTTAGAACAGAAGTTCTAAATGTCATGTAAACCAGTAAGATTTCGTTTCAATATAGGTGAAAATAATAAAGAAAGTAGGCCAAAGCGATACATTGCGAACAAATAACTCACGGTACGTCTATTAACTTTCAACACAAGATCATTACTTCGAAATAGTTTTCTATTTATTATTAGTAGCGATATTTACATTTGGATTTTAAGTTTCCGCTTTTTCGTAATTAGAGCTAGAGATTTTTTTTGTGAAATAGGCGCAAATTCGCGGAGTGGTCATCTAATGGTAAGCGACTAGCGCCCAATATCTTAAAAACTCATACTCACATCGCTTTTCGTTAGTTGATGTATTGGTTAAGATAACTAACAATCACGTGTAAACTTAAAGTTTTCCGCGTGTCTGCATTACTATCAGAACCAAAATAACCTTAAGGCCAAACCACGACCCAACGACTTACAGTTACCGCTAGTAATAAACCTCACCTGTCAGAGAACCTTTCCCTAGCATGTCTGGACAGCTGATGAGGTCTCTCCAAGCTGTGCATCACTCGAGAACCGCCACCAGCCGCGTCAGTTGCCAACGAGATTGATGATACTAGCGAGGGGCGGGCAGCCGACGTCTGTAGACAATTAAAATTGTTGATTACTGTTTGTTAAATTTGGTTTTAGAACACTTATGTTATATTATTATTAGATGTAATTGTAAGAACAAATTATTTCTGAATTTAAAGAAAAAAATGTAAAATATTATTAAAAAATAAGCATGAAATATACATGACACAATTTTCCATTTCTAAACACCTTTTACTCCGATCCGACATAAATCCCACATATAAAATCACTAATCATGCACGGATCAATCAAAAGCCTCCTTATGAAACCATTGTGTAAATGAGGCGGATGAAGGCTGTTCAATATAAGTGAAAAAGGCAAAAAAGTAGAAGTGTATACAATTTAAAACTGCTTACTAAACTAAACTTATATTATAAAAAACGTTAACTCAAAACTCAACTCAACTCAAAGCAAAACTACATTGATAGCAGCTTACTCATTCAAGAAAGCTATTTTTATGCATGTAACCTCATAAATAACCCATTCAATCATGTGTAAAATGGTGTCAAGTTCACATTGTGAGAATTGGATCTGTTAGTTTTACAATTGGATATTTACATTAATAGATGCTAACATCTAATTGACAGCTATCAGAGGCGCAACGAATGAATCACCCTCGTAGAAATAGGCTCTTATCTGACCTCTGGAGTGTTAGCCACTTTCGATAACATTTCATCTAATTTACTCGACGCCTACTACACACAATTACACATTCCCATAAAAAGTGTAAGAAAAATGGTAGTAAAGTTGTAATTGAGAGGTATTCATAGCACAGATAGCTACGAAAACCACTGAAGATACACTAAACTGTTATCTTCCACTAAAACTTGTACTACAGAATAACACTTTATATATTTTTTGTAAGTTTTAAATTAAATGTATACCTGCAATTTAAAAGATAAAACTTCTTTGGTTGGTTCGTATACACCATACATAATAAATAAGGAAATATATTTTAGTCAAATAAATATTCTACTTTTACACGTTTTTAATAATTATCGATATCAAGATCCAAAACAAGATACAGTATGGCCTGAAACAGAGCCGAAGGCTAGACTACCCAGTTTGATTATGGGGCAAAGGGTAATTATTTATGGTAATAATATATTAATCGAACTTATGGTAAAGATGTGTAAAAAAATTAATCAGCTTTGGGAGTGTAGGCTGTATGTATAATGATGGCATTGAGGGTTCTTGTTACGAAATTAAAATAAAAGTTTTATTTGTGTGTTGATTGACAATGTTTGCCTACCTGCAAGAATTGTGTTGGTTGTGGTTTCTGCAGTGGACTACTCGGGCTTTGAGGTGAAGCTGAATCACAAGATGATCCACCAGCTGATTGCTGTTTTAACTGTAATAAATTTATTTATATGATTTAAAACCAATAATAATAACCTAAAAAATATCACAAATAAAAAGTATTTTATTTGAAAGGAGTGAAGAGTATTCATCATCAGAGGAGATAATGTAGGTACCTACAGCACGAATGTGGATATTCGTGGCTTAGGCACGTATCGCAACTTGTGTGTAAAAACATTTACATAGTACATAGGACTAAGTTCCAATAAAAATATTATTACCTTTCTTCTAGTCAAAGGTGTACTTTCAACAGATTTGAAATACTTTTCGTGCATAGAGTCGTCAGAAGCGTCTTTTCGAGGTGATATGAAGCTGCCACTACGGTTCAGGCCTGTGAAATATCAGTATCTCCTTATTTTGACATTTATCGTTTTATGTAACCAATATCCATAATAGCAGTGACACATTATAAAAAAATAATTGAGTAATGCTGATTTTATATCAGGTTTAAATTTTTATTAATGAATAAATGTTACCTGAGTGTGGGGACCATTTCTCAGTTTCGTGGACAGGCACTGCACTACTTCGTTTTCGTAATTGTGGGGTACATACGGAGGGATTACATACAGCTGCACTAAGTTCCTGCAACCAAATACACATACTATATTCGGTTAATATCATTTATTAATTTCATTGTACATAAAGGATATTTCTCGGATGCCGAGTTTTACATAGAAAAAGAGTTTTTACTCCCCAACATAGAACATAAATGTTTCGTTGGTGTACCTGTTTCCTTCTCTGCTGGGCGCTACTGATGCTGCTATCCGAAGACCGGCCTGAATCTGTGTGCCGGCACAACTGCGTCGATCCATCTTCGCTTAATCTGCCTCGCCTACTTTCACCGCTATTTCTAAGTTAGTAAACAAATTCCATTTTATAAGTTTTTTTCTTAAATAAGAAATAGTATTTCGATTAAACACATATCTCAAGGTCGACTCTAGGTATTTGTTTAGTATTCCTAGTTATACTTATTTAGTAAAGTGTTCACACTTAAGCTATTGTTTAAATATGACATGTCAGGGGATACAAACTGGGGCTGTAACAGCAAATAGCAATGTTCCTTACCTATGATGGTAATGCGATCTTCTAGTTCGCACGGGACTAGTTTGCGTGAGCGTGACAGTTTTTGCGTTGCTTGGCGACACCTTGCTCACGCTCGCGACTGTACTATTGCCGTTACTGCTAACCGGGTCTAATATAGGTACCTGTTATATTTATACACTTATTGTAATACTTAAGATCAGTATAAGCTTCTAAAGTACAAAAAAATGTTTACGAGCAATAGACAGAATATGAACTTTTTTTTTAACTGTGGGGGCCTAAGAAGTTTTATTTGTACTTCTTTATAGTTTTAAAATGTATGTAAACATACACACTACATGCCTTACAGACAAATTTTTCTATGGGTTATGTCTAGTCTTAAATGTACACGTGGCGGCCTACCTAGGAGATCCAGGAACGCATCAGCGGCTTCTGGAGTCCTCCCTGCCGTACCCCATGTGTGAGGCAGATCCCGGGGTGACAATGCTGGCGAGTGGCGAGGGATTTGTCAGGGTCGGTGCGGCCAAATGTCCCCAAGATGTGGCCGCAGCGACTCTTAGGCGGCGACTGGAGAGCTGGCGACGATCCCTCTCTGAGCATAAGGTCCTCGCAGAAAGAGACCGCGGCTACAAATCCCTCGCCACTCTCCACATTGCCGCGATCAATGCTGGCGGTGACAGATTTCGTCCGATCTATCCGACCAAGACTCGACGTTCGGACTCCCACGCAGGGCAGTCCTCCAATGTATACTGGGCGGGTACCGGTCAGACCCGCCATAGTGGCATTGTGCCGTGACCTCCCGTCCAATCGATCCAGATACTCACCGAAGCAACCGTGCCCGGTGAGCATCTGAGTCAATCGGTAGGTGACACCGTCGTTCCTCTCTACCCACGCTACGGCAGAACGGCTCCGACAGCGCGATGGCTAGCACAGCCCTGGATTTCGAGCTGGATGTCGAATGGTGGATATCGCGCCACGACGGTCACCGCCTCAACCGAGATCGTACACTAGCCCCGTACAACCCGTATGGCCATCAACCGCTGCAGGCTTCTGAGTAGAGCCTTGCAGCGGGAGGCAGTCTTAAATTAACCTATTAATAACTCACCTGAGGAGCAGGTTGGTTGATCTGCGTCTGCGTAGATGTTTCTCGTCTTTTCTGAGGGTCTGTATTTTGTTTTAATGTTTGTAACTTTGCTAGCGGTATTATGTCACAATCAGTGGGTCTATGCCAAACAGTAGTCTAAAAAATGAATTATAAATTATGTGAAATTGTAAAATTAGTTCAATCTTTTGTTAAGTAATTAATTATTCTTAATTCAATAATTACCTGTGTACAAGCATTATAATAGTAAAACCTATGTGTGTTGATATCAAAAAGTTCCCACCATTGTGATGAATCTGTGCGCTTAACTTTGACTCCCTATAACAAAAGAAGTTTTTATAAACATTATATACCTACTTAGTGTGGAAGGTGTCAAGGAAGAAAAATATTAGGCCCAATAGAACTTAAAAATAATTAATATGAAATAGAACTATGACACAAGAGACATTTGTATGTATCTATGTAACCCACTATTGTGTCAGTGTTAAAGTACAATTTCTTTAATAGTATTTATGAAACAAATTCCTACTATCCGTGGTAATGTTATAAATGCAAATATGTGTTTCTTTGTTTGTATTTTTACTCATAATAACTGCTCAACTAATCATAAAATATTACATTCACATTTGCAGAAACATAAGTCATAGGATATTTTTATCCCATTAAAAGTACTAAACCTTCTTTCTAAGGAGAGGCCTATGTCCAGCAGGACTAAAAGAGGCTGTTGATAATGATGATGAAAAAGTACTGTTGTTACTGAAATAGTGAATACTACCTAATATTAATATGTACCTATTACCTAAATCATTAGGACATTATACATTTTGCGTAAATGAATAGAAAGGATTATAAGTATATTTTTTAAATGTTATTTGTACTATATTGTGGTGAGAACTAAATAATTATTATTAAAGTTAGGTTTATTTACTATACAAATTAAAATGTATAATTTTAAATCACTATGTTTCATTTGTCAAAAAAGGTCAAAAATTACAATTTTTCTAATCAATTCAAATATTAAAGATATACATTATATTATCACATGAGAAACAGATGTATATAAATTATTACACAATGCTCTATTTTGAATGACTTATAGTGAGTGCTCTTAGTCCATAGTTGAAAGGACCTTTTAAACAGACTGTCTCATGCACAGTTAAGAACACATATAATTACTTCTATTAAAAAGCAATACACACACATAACATTGTACTATTCTATATATTTATAATGCTTGAATATAGAAAAGAGAAGTCAGCGATAGAATATAAGTTAGTGCTGTCTGACTGACGGGAGTTTCAGAATAGTAATATTATAATTATTATACATATTTGTAAAGATGCAGCACAGTTTTGTATGAATAAAATTTATGAAATAATAAGTGCCACATTATTATTAGTCTCAATTTATTAGGAGCATTAAAAAGATCACAGATTTGAATCAGGTATTCAGGCAGAAGTTAACCTTACTTAATATTGTATGCCTAGACTCCAGCTTCTTTAATAGCAGTAATATAGTTATTGGCATTAATTGGTCCGTTCGGTCCTTCGTTCTAAAGAAACCGCAAGCTATATGTTATTACAAATTCAGTTTTATAAGGTGTCAGCCTTTCAATTAATTTATGAAAGAAACCTAACTTAAAGATATACAAATTAACAAATAAACACGTAACATAAAAGAGTATAATGTAGGAAGCGGTCCTGCCGGCATAAGTACGGAAGTATAATATATTGTACAAAGTATACCTCTGGTGGATCCCAAACGCATTCGCCAGTGGTTAGGTTAGCATACATATGCTCCTTTGTCTTCGGCTCGATAATCTCCACCCATTCCACCCTAGAATAAAACATCATCCACGTCCAATTTAACTATCACTATTCTATCACACAACATCAATTCGACTACGAATTCAGGGCGTGACATTAGCGATTTCCGCGTACTTTATTGATTTTGCAACTTTCAACTACGGATATCGGAAGCGAATTGTCAACAATTAAAACAAAACATAACAGTATCAAATTACCTTTCCGAAGACATTTTCAGTAAATAACAATAACTTTTCAAAACTTCACTTACACATTGTAAACTAATATTTGACCCAAAATATAGATGAGAATGGTAGGAAACCATCCATGTTGAATGTTTACTTCATTGATGGGCGCGTTTGTGTTAGAGCCCAAATGTCAGATAGTGCATTCTGTCTTTAAAGATCATAAATTATCTGTTATCACCACAATTAAAATTATTTTTTTATTTTTTAAGTCTGTTACTATATTGAGAATTAATTATTGAAATTTAATTTCACTTCCGAAACGTTGAGAAATTTTGTCTTTTCAAGTCGTCACAAGATCAAAAAATATTTATAAATTGAAGTGAATTAGTGAAATCAAATTTAAAGTCATGTTAAGCGTGTGAAATAATATTCATTGAAGTTATACTCAAGGAAAACCATCAAAGCTAATTCAATGTTATCATGAATTTAATTTCATGATCTGTTGGTATCTGAACTACAGGCAGTTTGTAAGACATCGAACTCATCATCACTTGATTTCACTTTCATAGAACATTCATATTTCTTAAGATTTTCTGTTTCAGTATAAATTTTTTTAGCTCTGTTCTGCTTTGCTGGAGCAATCATAAATTGGGACTAGGGCCAGTGTAATCTGGTATGTAATATTATACTGCACAAAAATGTATCATACATAAGACACGAAAGCTTAATAGTCAGTTTAAAAAAACATATACCCAGCTAAAGTTTTTTTTTAATGTATAATATTGGAATCAGAACGATCTATTGAATGTTTTAGGAAGACAATTTCAATCTCATTGAACTTTCTTTAAAGTTATTTTTTTTAAATAAAACTTCAAATCATTTTGATTTTTTATAAGTTAAAATTGACCTCTATGTGGCCAATAGCCAATTTTCATATTGCGCTTTATATGATGCACATAACATATTGTAGTCATGATTACAGGTAAAGCTTCAATGTTATTTAAAGAGATCTACTAAAACCCTTCCGACGCGACGTTCCTTCTTAAAAATACTTAACTCACAAGAATCACGAGTTCACGACATAAAAATGTCACAAAATTGTATGATTAGACTACGCTTGCACTTGCCAATAATACAAAATAAACAAGTTATTTATTTTTCCTAAATTTTTCCTATTGGCGACTGAAAGAAAACATCTCATGTCATCATTGTCATCAATAAAAAAATTGCAAGTTCTTTCTCTTAATTTTACAGTTTCTTTTGCGTTTGCAGAGCATCTTTTTTACATGAGTGGTAAATATTTATCGTTCTGACATAAAAATACTAGAAATATACATTGATTTGAATACATTTTTAATAAATTTGAATTTAAACTTTATACTTAACTAAATATTGAAATATTATATTTCAGTTAACTTTTCTTTTCACGATTTTATTAAACTCATAGCTATCCGCTAAAACGGCGTTCGGTGTGTAAAAGTATATTGTATTCTGTGGAAGAATCGATTTCATCTCACTCACTCGACAAATTTTAAAGGGGTTTTCCAAATAAATATTAGAGAACTAAATCAGTAAGTAGGTTTATGCTTTTATAAAATATATAATATTCACATTTGCAGTTTTTAATTCCAATGTTGCGGACTCTGACTATTAACCTTTTCAAATGCCGGCCGACTATAATTGCTGATTCATTTATTAGTAAACACATAAGTTCTTCGGCGTCCAGACAGCAGTCTAAAACAGCAAAGCCATCAAAAATAGTTAAGGGTCAGTAACAACGACGATTTTCAATAAAAATATGTATATTAGTCATAGTGTTTGTACTTTCTTACATTAAGCAACAGGTGTGTTTTTAGCTATGGCTGAGGATAAGTCAAATTTTCTGCTTCCAAACAACCAGAAATTTGTAGAACTGGATAGCTCACAGGCATTTAATAAACTAACTAACACAGAAAAACTCTATGCACATTATTTGAGTAAGGTTAGTAAACATATTCTTTTGTAACTTGACTTTATAAAATTATTTTGATATAAATAAAAAAGCCTAGAACAAACATATTGGTTCAATTTGTTTATTCATATTGACAAAAGAAATTGGATATTGTAGCACTGACTGCTGTCAAACCCATTTCCTCTGCCATGTAACCTAACTTTCTAGGTAAACTAGCTAAAGCTCGTATTTCGATGTGATAATTATAGGATATTTAAAAAGCCTGAACATGACAGATAATAGACATATTATTATCAGACATACAGTTCCTCCATAGACTAACAAAGTTTTATAGTATACCAGCCTCCCGTCCCACCTTTGCATGAATAACATGAATGAATGAATTATAATTTATTTATGTTATGTATGTCCATATTTAGAAATGTATAAGTGTGTTTATCAGCAGTCTGGTCACCAAAGCACAGGCTCTGCCTAGTTCGGGATCAGACAGCCGTGTGCGAGATGTGTGAGGCTAAATTATTATTTTACAAAGTGAAACTTCTCTCCCTAGCCTAATCTTAAGACTGCTCGTATTTAGATAGAAAAATGTAAAGACTTTGTTTTAAGCCTTATGTAAACATATGTTAAAAAACAATTTAAACTTACAGATTTGACATTTTACTAAATATATATAACATGTTACTAACAATAGACTTAACATAAAAAATTTCAGTCAGCATGGAATGGTGGGCTTATTGTCCTCTTGCAAACAAGCCCGGAGTCTCCAAAAATCTTCTCATTGCTACACAGAATCTTTGTTGGAGAATCGTTGCAGTCTTTAAGAGAAGCTACTAACAAGCAAGGAGTCAGTAATGATGATTTCCAGGTAAGTGCTGATGTCTCCAAAATATTTTGATTTCTTTAAAACTTAAAAGAAAATGATTTCTTGTTGATTCATCAAGAAATTTTTCTAAAACTTAAGATTAATATGGTAAAGAATCCCATGTAAATTCTTGTTATAATTAATATATTTAAAATAAATTATTAACTAATATTTGTGTAAGTGATTTTAATTTAAAGTACTAAAAATGGCCTTCAAAAATGAAAATTTTGTAATTAGATAGAAATATGTTTATTTGTGTTAAATTTATTTTGTGAATATTTATATATTACATATGCCCACAGTTTTTAAAAATATCATTATATAGGTGTAAAAACAGAAACATTAAACAAAATTACTATAAACGATTTAGCTGTGATTGCATGCCCACATTGAGCAAAGGCTTCTAGTCCACTTGCAAGTTCTTAATAAACTGCTTTTAAAATTGGTTAATCTCTGTACATTGTATATGCATATTCATTCAATGCAGAAATAAATAATGTGGTAGATAGAGACCATCGGAACACATTATTCTTAAGTGGCAATTTCTGGAGGAGGCCTTCAATATTATCCACATGCATTACTATTTATATGAATGTACCCACATGCCAATGGAATAATAAGGGCTTTAATTATAATAATAATAATACTCTACCACATAGAATAGGAAATATAATTTTTTAAATCTTAGAGATTTAAAAAACATGATGCATTCTGTTATAAAATGCAGAAACAAATAGTGTGCTTTACTACCCATGCTACATTCTTTAGCTGCATTTTTGCAGCAAGAAACTAACAAATAACTCGCAGCACTCTTCTCTTTCTTCTCTTCTTCTTTCTTCTGTCTATCTCCTTAGCACCATGTCACATTTTTGATTCAAACACTTAGTTTGGACACGTATATATGTCATACCACATACCCTGTGTGTTCTACCTATATTTAAGTTAATGCATGCTTTACTAAAGTTTAATTATCTACTTATCATTCATTTTATATCTTGCTCAAAAATAGAGACCATTACTTGTATATATTGTTTAGGTAGTTTATATGCATTCAGTGAAGTAATGTAAACCATGTTAACTTACCAAACTTTTTCCCTATTTCGCCCTATTTGCTAACATAGATAATGTCACCACATCCTATGTAGATAAATAATAGGGAATATGCACGTGACACCGAAATGGACAAAATATTTTTATTTGTAATTTTTGTTGCTAAAAAAAGATACCCATACAATTATTTTTGAAATTTATTATAATTTAATAGTGAAATTTAATCATCAAAAATTGGCTTTTTTAAGATTCCCTCGCAAATTTCTAAAACGCAACGCTATTGGTTGAATAAAACGTGACGTCAACCTACACTGTCAAAAGTGTCAACAAGTTGTGTGTATTTGTAATATTTGGTTTCTGGTGATTATTTGTTTCATTTTAAGTTAATAACTAATACGTTTTCAGTGTTAAATTATTAAATTCCCGTGTAGAAAGACTCAACACAATGACTGAATATTTAAAATTGCACTTTGTCAAGTGCAGTTTTGATATTATTTGGGCACAAAGGAACGGCACAATATTTATAATAAGTTTTTATTGGCTTTTCCATGGTAATAAGTTAATTTTTATCACTCACTTTTTTAACTTTCACAAACTTTGTGAACTTCACTCCGTTGTTGACATCGAATTCGTCTGAAAGTGGAATCTGACGTCACAAAAAAAGCGCGCCAAAATGGACGTGTTCAAATTGCCCCAAAATGATAGTGATTTTAATTAATTTTTTTTTTGCTTAACGGTTTATATTTCGGATGTGTTATATTTATTTTTGGTAATGTAATAACTAGTAGAATCGTTAAAAAAAATAAAAAAAATACATGCATATTCCCTATTTTTACTATTTAGTGGTTGACAAAAAATCATATAACTTTGTTTTAGGCATTTCTGGTTTATGCCGGTGGCGTTTTCGCTAACAGCGGTAATTATAAAGGATTTGGCGATACAAAGTTTATCCCAAACCTTGACATGCAGACCTTCGAGCTTATTGTTAAAGCATCCAAAGCTTTCGAAAATGATACTCAACACATGATGAAACTTTGGCAACAGATTCAACACTCTATATATAGTATTGCACCAAGGCTCACCAGTCTTGGGCTGGCTGATAAGGTTTGTAAACAAGTTAACAACTGTTTGTTCTTTCTTAGTGATAAGTATAGTAGGTATATAAACTAATGAAAAATATAAGAATTATGAAATATTGCAAGGAAAATCAACACATTCATTTCTAAGAAGCAAAGTATGATTTAAAAATAATGTTTTTAGAAGAGCTTTTGCCTACAGCTAAACTCTTGTTAATGTCCGAGTATTTAGATTTTTTAAATTCATTCTGATATCCCTGAGGTATCAGACAGTAGTTCTAGATTAATACTCAATTTCATTGCAGTGTTACAAGAAATAATACATACCAAAAAAAAAAACTGTTTTTACTATAAAATATATGAGGTCCCTACTAATTAATAATAATATTCTAATAAGATTTTTTAGAGAGAAACTGGCTCATTTTATTACATTCTTACATTCAGTAGTATATGTTCAGCAGTGCTATTCTCTAAGGAAACAGCGACGATGTGACAGCGTTGTAGCGTCGAATTTCAAACGAACTTAGTTTGGAGTTCGACACTGATGCAGCGCTTTACGCAACGCTGTTTCCTTAGAGAATAGCGCTGCTGATTAATACATATGTTTATGTGATATAAATTACTCAGGGTGTTACAACATATTTCTCAAGTAACTGCACCGAGGAAGACTCAAACTTAGTCAATGACTGGATGAAAACGAAGCGTATTGAGGCGTACATTTGTCGCACGTTTAAAACAACAAGCGATGATGGCTGTAAGTATATTATAGTTTTATATAGGTATATGCCATAATATATGCATAAAAATTTAAAAAAGACCCCTAATAAATTTAGGATGATTTTTTAAAATATTTTCATGTTTTTTTAGGATATATATGTGTATGTGAATATATGTATGTGAAACATCATTTTTATTTAGTTTAGACCTTTTAAGAATTTTGTTGGTGGTGTGGAAAACCCGCATTCTTGTCCTTCACCATAGTGGGAGAGGAAGAGATCTCTCAGACCCTAACTGATAAGAAACTATGACTGATCCTAAGGCCGAAGATCAACTGATCTCTGGCCTCAGGAGTCAGTACCTTCCGATGCTCGACGCGTCTGCTTCCGGCAGAGGGAGTTATACTCCACCTTTGAGGACACCACTTCCTAACAGAAGAGAACGACACAGAGAATCCACAGAACCAATTGCCCGGGCGAGTTCACGGCGATAGCCACCTTATAAGAATCACTTGTAACAATTTTGGACTTTAGGTTTACGTAAGACAGCCAATGGAAACATTATTAGGCTTAGATTCTCAAAAGGATTCGGAAAAAATTGCATGTGTAGATAATTGTCATGAGATGGTTATCAGAGGCTACCATTTTGAACCAAAATGTTTTATCCTGTTCTATACTAATTACCTAGGTATTAAATATAACTTGGAGATAACTTAGGACTGAAAAGTACCTATGAACCAAGGCAAACCTGGACTGACTCGCCTATATCATTTTGCCAAGGCCTGATTTTTTTTACTTTAAAAACATTAACACATAAAAGTAGGCAAGACTCTTTTTGGCAATGCTTATTTTTTCACCAATGACCTTCTCAAAACAAATGAAGATTTTGGTATTTTTTCCTCTGTGACAAAAAATAAAAAAAAAAGTATATTATAACTCAGAAGTTATGTTGGATTATGAATGTAAAGGAAACAAATATACAGGATTAATTAAGATTTATGTGACAACATATTCACACACCTAGACAGTCACGAACAAGAGAGAATACAAGAATTTAGGCAGTACTTTCCAACTTTTCTAAAAAATACCCAAACGTTTACTAACGACTGGACATTTTGACATTTTCTTTTTATTTATCTTTAGTGCCCCTGTACACTATCCATTTGGCTAGTGTGGAGTCGTCAGCGAAACCACCTCTTACTATGGACGTGGAAAAATACAAGGGCGCATATTTCCAAGTCACTCGCGGGGACTACTCCCCACTTCTGAATCGCGTCAACGAAAACTTAACCAAGGCAATGGACTACGCCGCGAATGACAACGAGAAGAATATGCTTCTGCATTATATCAATAGTTTTAAAGAGGGAGATCTCGGTGAGCATAAACAAGGAAGCCGGTTCTGGATTAAGGACAAGGGACCTATAATTGAAACGTAAGTCTTTAGATAGATTCATATATGTCTGTACTAGAAGCTCTCATAGCCAGTAGGGTTCCTATCCCTTTCAACATCAATGCTCTATTATAAAAGTTAAGTTACAAAGTCACAAGTATATCTTTCAAGGTGTGGAGTTTTTCGTTCCATCCTCTTTAGTTCCCATTGGTGGCTTATCCAAACCATGTTTGGATCGATCCTACATTACCGCGGCACCGCGCCTAGAGCAGGAATGTTACTAATCATAGACAAATGCAGTGACGGTAGGTGAAGTAAAGACCAGCACATCTTAAGTCCGAGCACATTAGCCGAATTAGTAAGATACTGGTAAGTCTTCCTTCCCGAACTCGTGCATTTAAGTCTCTTGTCAAGGCTGTCCAGGGGAATTTCTATAGACCATTCCAACCTGGTGTATTGGTGTTCGTTGAAATTATATTTGTCCTTTCGTTTCGATACCACAATTAGAAGTTGAAATTAACTTGCAAAATTTGTTTACACAGTTTGATGCCAAAAAGAGTTTGATAAAAAAAGCAAATCAATAAAAGCATTTTAGATCTATAGCTAGGACATGGATTAAATATATGTCAAAGCTAATATTATTTTTACAGATATCAAGGCTTTATTGAAACGTATCGCGATCCGAGCGGGCAACGTGGTGAATTTGAAGGTTTCGTCGCCATGGTGAATAAAGAAATGTCCAAGAAATTCGGCTCATTAGTCGATGGAGCGGAACGATTCATTAAGATGTTGCCCTGGGGGAGTGATCTCGAGAAGGACACCTTCTTGAGACCCGACTTTACTAGCTTGGATGTGCTGACATTCTCTGGCAGCGGCATCCCAGCTGGAATTAACATTCCTAACTGTAAGCGCAAGTTTTTACTGAAAAGTATTATTACGCTCGTGGATATATTGAGTTTGAGTCATCTTGAAGTTCTACCAGTGTCTAAATTAAAAACAACCAAATTTTTACAGTAAAGATATATTTTTTTAATAATTTAATCATAAATAACTAGCTGCACGCTGCCACGCTTCATTGTAGCACAATGTCGTTGCATTAATTAGAAAAGAGGAACAAAACTGACTCGAAAAATAAATAAAAACAATCTTTGTTTGTTTACCATCTTAAAATTTGAGCTCAATCAGTGCAGTACTTTTTGAGTTGTTGAAGAGTACACAAACCAACTTAACATTTATAAATAAATATAGATAGTTCTCGGTAGAAATGGGACAAAATCACAGTGACCTGTGATTTATCATTCGATTTTTGCGTACGTAGGTTAGAGTTGCTAGGTAGCTAGGTTAGACGCTATTTAACAGTAAATCTAGTATTTTATTTAATTATTTTGTATTGAATGGTAGCTATATATAATAAAAAATTACTAGATTTACTGTTTAAATAGGCAAAAGAGGGTCACTATGCATTGTCTGAAAACAGCTTATTGGCATCAACGCGTGAGTAAGTAGTAACCTACGTACGAAAAAATCGAATGAAAACTCACCGGTCCTTCACAGTTCACTGTGATTTTATCCCAAGCCTAGTTTTCGGTCTGTTTGTATATTGTGTATGTTCATTTTATAATTTTAGGTTTTATACAACAAAGAATTGTTAGATTATATTGAGTTGATATATAAATGTGAAGTAGAAGACTAGATTCCTAAATAAATATGTAAGCTGCATGTGTTTTTCAGACGACGAAATTCGTCAAAACGAAGGCTTCAAGAACGTGTCCTTAGGGAATGTGATCCCGGCCGCGTACAAAGAGTCTGTCATTCCATTTTTATCGGATGCTGATAAGCAACTTTTGGAGAAGTACAGGGTGGCTGCTTTTGAAGTAAGACATTTGCAAATTACTATTTCAACTTTCATATTAGAAGTTCCTTTGAAAAAAAAGGCCACACTTTCGATCATGTCTACCATATATTTTATGTGATACATACAAAGAGCTCATCTGGCGCAAAAATTGATTGTATACACAGTTAAGCTAGCAGACGTCTGCGATAGGTATGTGACCTTTAAACGGGAATTAAAAATGCGAAAATTACATATTCGAGAAGCCCCAACAGTAAACTTGATAAATGTACCATTCTTATAACATCTTAAATGTTTTAAAGTGTAATAATGTCACTACAACAAAAGATAATTTGTAAAGTTGCTGTTTTTTTGCGCGTTTAACATAACGCATATAATACGCTTCGTTGTGATCAGTAATAAACTTGAGGTCAACCAGAACCTCATTGAAATTGGATTAAACGATCATAACACTGTTTTTTATAACTTAACTTTTCAAATCATCAAAAAAAAAATCATACAAAAAAAATTTTTTTTTGTATGATCTGCAAATATTTGCTTCGGAGTTTGGGTGTTTTCTATTTATGTATTTACAAAAAAAGTATATAAGTATTCTATCAGTCAATCTAGCTTTCATAGTACAAGTTCTGCTTAGTTTGAAACAAGATGGCTTTGTGTATGTATCAATCCAAGATTGATTGCTGAGATTAGCTTTCAACATGTGTATATAATAACAAAGTTTTATGTGTTCAGCTTTTAGCTAAAATATCTGTAGTTACAATTAATAACAATTTTATACACTGGAAAAGAATGCCCACTGTTGTTTGACATGACAGGTGACAAATTATTGATATTACTACATATACGAATATCACAATTTTTCTTGCTATGAGATTCTGGTACACCTGTACTTTAAAGTTTTAATCAAGTCTTTCAATCTAATCAAGTTTTAATTTAATTAGTTACTTAAGTAACATATTAAATTGATGCACTTAAAATAATAGTTTTTAGGTGCCACTATGTTATATTTGATCAAATATAACAAATCAAATCATCTAAGGGACATAGGTGAGAAAAGTTCAGAGGCCCTAGTGCAAGTTTACTCGATCATCTCGGTGACCAGGTTGAGTTGATGTGACATAACCTTACACTAGGCCCTAAGTTCAATAAATGCTAACATCAATTGAAAATGCTTATGTTCGTACGATTAGTAATCACACAATATAAGCTATTCTAAAAAACCTTAAGTAGAACTGAATATCTTAACTATCTTAGATTCGTCCATTAATTATGTGAGGGGTTTTCGGCAATTTTCTGAATGGTGAGATGTCGTGAGATTTGATTCAACCCATCCCCCAATCTCACGTGAGATTTCTAAAAATGTGTTTTTAGTGTAAAGGCGTGGGGGTGGCGCGTAAACAACCGACGGGCTACTGTGCAACTTCGCGGCACTCGCAATACCATGATAAATATTATTGTATAAGACTTGGCCATACTTCCGTGGAGGAACATGTTTTACTTAATTTAACCCAGTCTTCTCGCAATTTTACTCTGTTAATCTTAAAGTGGTCTTAAGATCCCATTAATAATTTAATATATACGTATTATGCGTACATCATAACTTAACAAAAATTAATGTTTCTTTCCGTCTGTTCAAAATAGGTACAAGTGGGTTTGCATGAGCTGCTGGGCCATGGCAGTGGGAAACTTTTAATGGAAAATGCCGATGGTACATTTAATTTCAATAAAGATGCTGTGAAGAATCCTCTTACTGGTAAGATTTAACATTCACATATTGCAAGCAAGCATGTATTTGTACTTTGCTATTTGCGAAACTACAAAATTCATGTTGGTTTCAGGTTTCTTTTGTTCATTATTCTATTTAGTAAAAAGTTTGAACAATTCAATTACAGTATACTGTTTCTCCTAACCCCAGTCCTCATAAACAAAAAGAAATGGTTTTAATAATTAGATATATATTGTAGGTAAGGAGATTGAGTCATGGTATACCGCAGGTGAAACCTATGACAGCAAGTTTACGACGCTCGGATCTGCTTTTGAAGAGTGCCGTGCAGAAGCTGTTGGTCTATATCTGTCTTTAGTGCCGGAAATATTGAAGTGAGTACACAATAAAGTAACAGAACTCATAAGCCATGACCAGCTGTACTGTATGTAGTAACTAACGTGAGGAAATAAATCATACCTTATTTAATAAAAAAATTAAAGGAATCTCCCGGCTACATTTTTAGTTTCTACTCGTTACTTTTAAATTATGGAAAGCATTATCCTTCATATATAGTAACGTCGTATGAACTTAATACATGAACCTATAATGTAGGATCTTCGGGTACGAGGGACAGGAGGCGGAAGACGTGACGTACGTGAACTGGCTCAGTTTGCTGTGGAATGGGGCCGCAAAAGCCACAGAGATGTACCAACCTTCCACAAAGACCTGGCTGCAGGTAAATAGTGAATACTAATTTACTTTACGATATCTTACTTACTTTCATAAGTGACTTTACTGCAGGCAAAACGTTCGTGTATTGTAAACGACCGCTGCTGACTAGTGATGACATGAAATAAAACAATTCGTTATGTGTTAATTTTTAATGATAATAAACTTGAAGTTGTTCGAGTTCACCGGGATTCGTAAAACATAATAATTGTATATAAATAAATAAAAAAACAAATAATTTATAAAACATAATCCGATATTATTGAGGTGATACAATAACTATTCTTTTTTTTCACTGTATCTTTGTTTCACTTCATCTGCTATCTTTAAAGCATCTTCTCGAAAAGCTTATTTATAAACGGTCATGGTCGTAATCTTATAAATGAAGAATAATTGATGCCGATAAATGCATAAGTTTTGTGTAAGAACTTCATACACGGGTGTTTATAAAAAAAAACAGTGCTTAAAAACATACGGATATTTTTTCCAATCCACAAATGCAGCAACGAACACCGACATGTTTGTGGCAAAATTCAAATCCTGATGAATATATACTATCGTGTTTTTTTTTGCATAATTTATAAAAATACATGCAAAATTAATTTAGTATAATTGAAATACACTATAGTTCCTATTGATAATTTTGTAGGCGCATGCTCGTGCCCGTTTCGTGCTCATGCGACTGTTGGAGTTAGAAGGGGACGGCATGCTCACGGTCACGGAGTCCGAGCCTGGCAAGAACTTACTACTCACACTCCAGAAGGATAAACTAGCCACGCAGGGGAAAAAAATCATAGGTGTGTTTCGCAAACTTGTGTATTACTTATTGAGTAACTCATTGGTCCAATTCAGGTGGAGGATATCTACACAGAATTCTCAGTTCTTTGAGGCTTTATTTAATGTTAAGTCAGTATTTGTTTTGTGTTTAATGTTCCTACCATTTAAAAAGTTCTTTTGTAGCCTCTAAATACTTAAACAGGCATACACCGTCCGCTGCCTTTGAGGCGGTCACCTTGACCTATGCGCAGTTGTTGAAACGGTCATCGCTAGAGAAAACGAAGAAAATTATATGTATTTTATATTTTAAAAAAACTAGATATATATAAAACCTAAACTACATTCGCACGCGTTATCCTTAAAGTTAAAGGTTAAACAGTGTTTATTTTCGAACCAGCTAAATGAGATTTGTCATTGTAACTTCAGAACACAGATTTACGACAACTAAGAAATCAAAAAGCTTTTTATTGCGTCCGAGATATTCTGCACGTAGTAAAAGGTATGCTGTATAAAAGTCAATTCATTTATTTCCATACAACATAGCTTTTTTTCCAAACGTCACTAGAGAGACTGTATAGAGTAATGTGACCAAAGAGTACTATTATTCTCGTTAATACTTCGTCTGACCTAAATACTGACCAGTATTAGGAGGGAGACGTTGAAACCGTTAAACTGTTTTTATTGTTCTTTGCACTCTCAAAATAGAGTAGACAAAGGTTCGGAATAAACAATTCAGTGTGGCGGAACGGGTATCATGTCCGTGCAACAGAAACGGAGCATTCTCCAATCAGGCGAGGTGATCATGAATGACGGACCGAGGCCCAACTGTTGATGTTGGGAAGTTTTATATACAGGCTAATCGTCGTGAGATCTTTTCATATCGCGATACAGGATTAGACTTTACTCCGTAGTTCGGTGTTTCTTCGTTAGATGGCACTGAAGTATGTTTTTGTTTCACTGAAATCCTGCATTATCCCTTTGGTCATATTTGTTACTTCTACACCTCACCTTTCAGTTTCCGCCCTCTACCCCTAATTAAAATAATAAGGCTACAATAATATCGATATTTAAAGGCGAGTTCCTAGTGAAGCTGCAAACAATAAAGGCGACGGGCGACTTCGCGGCCGGCGAGCAGCTGTTTACCAAGTACAGCCAGCTCGACGAGCCTTGGGGGCGCTGGCGCAACATCGTCATGATGCACAAGCAGCCGCGCAACATCTTCGTTCAGCCAAACACCGTTCTCGCGAAAGGTGATTATTTTTTCTATTTATTTAAAAAGGACCAAATCCCCTTATTGTGGGTGATTATCGATGCCTCTCTTCACTAACCACATAACCATTATTATTATTATTAACTATGTATTCACAATTTCTTGATTGTTATTTATTTTTATGTCAAGTAATATTTACGCTGTATATAATATATAATATTTGGCGCTGGCGGTGTTGGCGTAAAGTTGAATTTGTAGAAACTCCTGTTACTGTTCCTGAAAGTTCCTATAAAAGGAGCATAATAATGCTCCTTTTACAGGAACTTTAAGATTAATACTTTTTAAATCTTTTAAAACTAAAAGTTTTAAATTTTAATTCTAGGTGACGAAATAGAGCTGAAGCGTTATCCGGCAAGCGCGGAGGGCATGGTCAGATCCTGGGTGGAACGCTTTCCTAACACTGACGTGGATGACATCCTGGAACAACTTGCGGAGCGAGATAGCCAGTACTTTACAGAGCTAAAGCCGATTACTGCCGCCGCGTAGTCCTGAAGTTGGAGAAAAAAAAAAGTACTGCAAATGTAATGTGACAAAAAACTATTACACTGTACTAAATGTATTTCTATAATACTTTTTGTATTGGAAATAACAAAATATAAAAAAAAAACATTTTTGTTTTATACACTTTAAATAAGTTTAACTTTACGATCAATCCTAATTTCCTGTTGCTTCCCTTCGGTACAAATATTAATTTTTGGTCATTTAGGTATTTTATTGTATTACACAAGTAGGTATTTCAAGTTTGAACTGTATCCGTTGTCATTTTTATGAAAAAAAGCACAGTTTTCGGTGTACAGATTACGTACCTATTCGACTTTTTAGTTTAGGTCAGTTCATAATCCCTGAATCCAGGTTTGATTCATCGTCTCTAGCATGTGATAGATATGTCGTAACAACAAGGAGTCGAAAGCAGTTTACCAGCAGTGGTAACCTGTTTGAAAATTATATATTAACTACTAGCTGACCCGGCAAACGTTGTTTTGCCATATACAATATTATTTCTGGGAAATATTGAAAAAAAAATAGGGGTTTGTCGGTCCAGCCGTTTCGGAGGAGTATGTTAACTAACATTGTGACACGAGAATTTTATACATAAGATTGTAGTCCTAAATAGGATTAATGTATTTTAGATTTGTCAAAGGCCATACATGTTAATGTACAATTTAAGCATTGCGTGACATGTTGGAGAGATTATAACAAGGCTTCCGACTCTGTGGCGGATAAGAGAGAATACCACGCGTTTTCATATATATATGGTAAAAATATTTGCCTACTGCCTTTTTAATACGGAGTTTCGTCTCGGTATTTTGAGAAATGCGTATAAAGCGTGCAACAATTATAGCAAACACAACAAAACAGATAAAAAACAAAAAACAAATAATGGCCTATAGCCATAACTCCTTATGCAATCCATAATCAAGTGCTCCTCCGGTACTTGGATGATCACCAGCTACTCAATGACAATATGGTTTTCGCCGGGGTCGTTCACTTTGTAATCTTCTCGCTAACACACCGGTAGGCACAGGCGATTGAGACCAAAGGAGAGGCTTGTGCGGTTAGTTTGGACATAGCGGAGGCCTTCGATCGGGTCGGGCATAAGGCGCTTCTCTCGAAGCTCCCTTCCTTTGGGCTTCCCGAGAAATTGTGTAATTGGGTCGCCAGCTTCCTTGCGGACAGAAGCATTAAGGTCGTCGACGGTGCATGCTCCGACCTTAAATTCTGGTGTCCCACAAGGCTGTGTGATATCACCCACACTGTTTCTTCTGCATATCAATGATATGTTGCACGGGAGATGCTCTTTACACCGGCCGCCCCAATATTTCTCGAGAAAACGTTATCGAGAGTCGAAACAAACTTGTGTCTGAAATTGAAACTTCTTAACGGAGGTTTCAGATTGAGACCGACTAAATCTAGTCCAGTTCAACCCAAAAACGACAGGTCTGTGCGTGCACCGCAAAGAAGATACAATTTGTCATATCACCTCGGTTTGAGAGCTCCTCCCGAACTGCCTCAGCCAGCATCGGAATCCTAGGCATTGACATATCGAGCGAAGTCTAGTTTTAGGGTCACTTAGAGGATAAGGTCAAATTGGCCTCGAAGAAGTGTGCTGAACAGACTGAGGCAGTATTTCACTCCGGCCCACCGCCTTCAGCTCTATAAGGCGCAAATCCGGCGGCATATGGAATACTGTTCTCATCTCTATGCAGGAGCACCTCAGTACCAGCTTCTCCCTCTGGACCGTCGATAGCCCAAATATCTCCGATCGGCTCGATCCCCTGGCGTTACGCCATCGTTTCATACAGCAAAATTTTCATCCTCATCACTTGGATAGTGAGAAAAGAGCGTAATCTTTCTTAAAAGGTTGGCTACGCGTTTGTGACTCCTGAGTTGCAGACGTTCATGGGCGGCGATGGTCACTTTCCATTAGGTCCGGACCGGTCTACTCGTCTGCCCCCTCCAACAGTTTTTTTGTTGAGTTTGGTGCAGAGTTATATGGCTCGTGCGCCTTTCGTGGTAGTTGATGTTATGTTTACAATGAAACGACCGAGTGCGTGACAACCACTGGTTTATTATATAGGAACTTATACCTACCCTCCCAACAATATTATATTACAACATCTTACCCATAAAATAAACAAGGTTAACTAATTAAACTTTTTTAGACATGACATGCAAGTTTGATAACGGTTTTGGTTATACAAACAGTTATTCAGAAGAAATTTATATATTGTAACATAAAACAGACAAAGACATATATTTTAGCTTAAATGAATTTGTTAGCAATGCGTTGCCGAGCAACCTCTTTAGCTTTGCGAGCTGGTGGTGCAGGATTCATAGAAGTTTCAAAAGGACCTTCTTCAGATTGTGATTCACCTCCATTATCTTTTAAATCAGCATCCTCACACGCATCACTGAATTGGTCACGATCACGTCCTTCATTACAATTATCCTGATAAACATTTTCATCAGGTTCATATTTGATTAGGTGGCCCCAATCTTGTTTTGCATAATAGGTATATGAACGAGGAGTGTTCGCATGGCCTGAGTTTCGGAGGCGACGTTTGCGTGTGCCAGACGTCGCCTAAATAGAGAATGTACCCGAATCCGAGGGGTCCGGATGTCTTAATAACAGCAGTTCCCGGATCCCAATTACAGGCGCAGAGTGGCACACCGTGTGGTTTTAGTCGGTCCGATTCCGACACCACCTCGCCGAAAACCCCGGTGGGGTGACAGCTCGAGGGGGAGCCTTTTTTTTACGTGTGGAAACACACGTAAAAAAGGCCACCTGAGTTTATATGATTTAAAAGTGCGCTTAACTCTAAATCATGTTTGGTTTCCTTTTTTACTAAAGTTAATTTATTATTTGACATAGACACATTATTGACCACCATTTGTACCTGATAAAGGACATTTGTGCTCACTTCTTCACCGTGGAGATGGCTCAGTGGCGTACGGCTTAACATGTCTGGTATTTTTAAGTACTTGTCTGGAACATAATTCACTACTAAGTCATAGCCTTGTAATTCTCAACATCATGCGCTGTAACCGTGGTGGAACGGACACGAGTGGTTTTTAAAATATGCTCTCTAAAGACTTATGGTCAGAATCTACGACACCCCGTTGGCCGTATATATATTGATTAGCTGACCCTGCAAACGTTGTTTTGCTATTTACATTATTTCAAAAATATTATTTTTTGAATTTCTTAAAATGCGTTCTTAGCTGACCTCTACTCGGTGAAAAGAATATTCCTACCAAATTTCAAGTCATTAGCTCTAATGGTTAAAGAGATATCGTGATGAGTGACTATATACGTGGAAATCTCTTCAATTTATATATAAATATAGATAAAATCGTTCACACCCTAACTTATGCTATATTTATGCTAAATAATGGTAAACCGCCGTCACCATGTTATGTTTACAATGAACCGACCAAGTGCGGGACAACCATTGGTTTATTGTATAGGAACTTATACCTACCCTTACAACAATATTATATTACAAAAGTTGATGGTGTTACTTTATATTCTCGTATGGACGTACATATATTTACCTCTAAGTCCTCTAAACCCTCTGTGGCACATGCATAATTGAAATTAGGCCGTGTGTTAATGAAATATTTATGAAATGTACAATACGTAGAAAATAAAACAAAGTTAATTTAACTATATAATTTATTCACATTCAATACAAAACGCGTGTGAGAGCAATTTTAATATTAATCATAACAATCACAGTTGTCATCTCCGTAACTATGACTAACAGGAGAAATATTAAAAATCACCGCACACAAATAAATAATTTTCAATTCTAATAAAAATTAAATAGACTTGAAATGACAAAGATGAACGTATTACTGCACGATGAACAAATTATTGCGTTTAACACCGGTACAAATAATCTAGCAGCTCTCTGTCATGTTTCGCGAAGTTAGCACTTACAATATTGCTCAGAGCCGATTAAGTAAAACAAACATTAGCAACTTTGATATTAAACTGAAAATTCTATTGCCTAAAAATACACGTTTTGTGTGATACTATTAACACATCATCTCTATAAATAGTTATCCCTAATGAAATCATCTAAGCACCATTCTATTCGATTACTGTTACATCGTGACTTAGCATTCAATACTCTAATGATTATTATAAATATTTAAACTTAAGTTGACTTAGGGTCACATAAAAAAGTAAATTGATATTAACATAGAAAAATTATAGTTAATAATGTTGAGTAAAACTTATTTTGTGCAAACACACACTAAACAATGTGTCCTTCTATATCTTTGCATAAAATGGACTATATCAAATCCAGTCACTTATGTTTTATAAAGGCACATAAGAATCAATTTACAATAAACACTTAACAAAAAGTTCACTCATTGCAAAATATATTATTATATTTCAATAGTCAATCGCATATTTCATATATATATTAATAAAATCTTATCAGCAGTCAAGCTGTATAAAATATGATTGGTCACCGTTCTTCAGGAAAAGTCAACAAAGGCTATAAAATCAATTTCATTGTTATAATTTAATGAATCTGAGTCACACTACTTACTTACTATTAGTAAATAATTGTCAAGATTAAAATACCTAATATAGCCCTATTTTTGCATATCAAGTGTGATTTGGTTCTCAGTGAGATTCATTGCAATATGCTCTATCTAAATTTGCCACTAAAGACAGTCTTCGATTTCTGTCCGTTATGAGATTCATTTCATCGTGATACCTAGAGAAACTCGTGAGTATAAACTATGTTTGGCAAGAGTATCGATACAGCGTCAATCAAGTCAACACAAATTTGTGAATAAACTTACATGACTTTGTAACTTTGTAAATAAAGTAAAACAAAGAAAGCATCAAGGTCCGTCGAATACAATACGTACTTTCCTTTCAAAGTTAATAGACAAAAAATGCTTGTATAAATCACAAAATCAAAAGATAGACTACGCAATCAATAATTCCTCTCAGTCAACTTTCTCAAAGCATTCTGCACCGTCGCCTTCGCCTTTAGACGAGATATTGGATCTGAAACATTAGAGGTATGTGATTTGAAAATCGTGGTTAAATTGTGTCTTAGCTCTGTATTATTCTGTGATGTGTCTAACATGATATATAAATATTCTATCAACTCCATAGCTGCATGAATTCGCACGTTAACATGATTTCGGTAGCTATTGTGAATTTGTTTTTTGGGTGCTCAGTGGGCAATATTGTACTCATTAAATGTGCTTACTAGATCTACTATCTACAGTTCGAGACATTCTACTATTTTACATATTTCACATAACTTTTTATTTATGTATAGGATATAAAACTTTTTAAAGCATTAGTGCTATAAATTTTTATTTCAAAGCGTGAAGCGTGCACAGAATAAAATATTATCTTTCACTTTGGGAAAGTTATTATCAATTATTGACGTGACATGTAATTACAAATGTATACACACCTTGGCAGTGGTTCCTTTTCAGAATCGGGTTTCCTGGTTACGCTGATCGATATCTTTCTTTGCTTTATTTTATCCAAAATATTTTCGGGACTCGGTTCTTTTTCACTCTCTTTCAAAATTATTGCAGAATTACGGGTTGTTCTTTTCGGCCTGTACGTAGCATAGTTACCAGGAGAATACATTGATAAAGTTCTATTATATTTGTGCGAGTCTCTTAAATTTCCTACACTATTGTTTTCTTCTGTTATATCAGAGTTTTCTAGAAGAGACTTAGTTCTTGCATATCTGCTGGTACCGTACGTGGGCTGTTCATATTCTAAGTAACTCCGACTTCCCGGATATTTCCTAAAGTCGTTGCGATCTAGAGATCTATAAGTATCAATTTTATCATTAAGTCCATAATTTTCAAATCTTAAATTACTTCTAGTATTAACAGGCAGATCGGCCAAAAGAGATCTATAGCGTTCCGTGGAAGGCGAGAGGTCAGACGATACGGAGAGCCCCGGTGACATCGGCGATAAGTCATACGTCAGAGGTGACGTAGGTGACATGTCGTACTTACTATCAGTAGGTTGAGAGTGTATCCGAGCGACTGGGTCGTACTCGGCCGCTCCTGGGCCGACCAGACTACTTTTTCGTCGTTGTTTCTTTTCGTTGAACCTGGAATAAAAACTCTTCCTTCGTATTCTGTCGACGACGTCTTCTTTTTCAGGCGTTGTAGGATCATGAGTACGCAGAGGTGCAGATGTGCCTTCAGAGGGGTACATGGGATTTTTATCTGCAAGCTTAGCGTCAGCACTGAGACCACACTTTAATTCAGAGTTTGATATTGTTGACCTACTTCTTGATCGACTTCGACTTTGTGATTCCGCGTTATCGATATTGCTGCTACTTTCTAAAATTACGGTATTTTTTTCAGGAATATTTATCTTTTCAGTCTCACTGTCGACGGAGGAAATATCCATAATTTGAGGTTCTATCACAGGATTAGTAGGAACTATTTTTTTTACTCTTGGCAATCTAGAGAAATCTAATTTCAAACTGTTTTTTATGTTTTTGGATTCGTTTTCCTTCTTAGAAACAGACTGCTCATCATTATCTACTGTCAATGTTGCAATACTATCACTAGAAGTTCTACCATACTTATTTTTACGACCAATTCCATTTAAAAGTAATGATGTGGGTCTGCGGGGTTTATCTTTATCAAGATTGTCAACAACAGCTTCCGTAGTTGAATCGATTTTAGGATTCGTGTTATTATGATCTTCAATACTTTCGCTCATTGATTTTTCGATTATTTGTTTTGTTTTTTCTTTTGGTTCAAATTTCTTAAAAAGACCTAATACTTTTGAAACAGTTGTTTTGCTTTGTTGTGCAGTTTGATTTTCTAAAGCGGCGACATCCGTTAATGTAACAGCTCTTTTTATGAGGTTCGACTCTGTTGTAGGCTCTACGTTTACTGGAACAGATTGTTCTCGTTGCATTCTACTTAATTTAATATTTTTTTTCGTGGCGGTTGTTGCACTGTTTTCTGGAGAACTGGATTTAGTAGAAGCAAATTTTTCTAGTTTCTGTCCTATGGATTGCAACATTGATTTCTTTTTTGTTACGGTCGTTGACTTGCCGCCATCTTCATCGCAAACTTTTTCTTTTCCTTTTTTGCTTACTTTTTTCTTCTCTGTTGTATTCTTAGTGTCACTAGTGTCTACTAAATCCGTTTTAGACTTCGATGAAACTTTTCGGATAATCTTTTTCTTTACAGTTCCTTTCTTTTCACTCAGGTCACTTTCACCAATTTTAGAGTTCTCGTCATCTTTTTTCATTGGTTGAATTAAAGTTTTATTTTTTGCCTCTCCGTTAGATAATCCTTTTAGAGATTCATCATGCGGGTCGCCATTTGGTATGGCCGAGCTCTTATCTGTTTTAACTTTAGTCATTTCGGACATATCACTTTCTTTGTTTTTTACTATTTGATATTTTTTTAGTAAAAGGCTGTTTTCACTACTTTTGCTATCCAATTCTGATTTCAAATCATTACTGTGTTCTAATATATTACTATTGAGTGGCTGAGATGTGGATGTCGCATCAACCTTTGTTTTTTTAGGTAAGGTAATACTAAAACTTACTTCTATGTCATTATTAATTTCGGGATTATCAATTTTGTCTTCAGGTGACAAACTTTTAGGATCCTCTTTTTTTATAGTACGACTGATATAAACTTTTTCTGGTGATGGGCTGCTGGCCGGGTAACTTTTAGGCCTTAAAAGTTTTGATTCTTTTGGCAGTGACCTGTCCTTGTTCTCTAATTCTACGCCTAATGAAGTTTCAGGTAGCACACTTTCGCTCGGCTCATCTATGGAATCTAAGGTTTTGACCGGATAGCTCCTCGGTCGGATCAGTCTGGACTCTTTAGGGGTGGAAGTCTCTTCAGAACTAGATTTTTGTCTAGTGTTTTCTATATTGGCGTAACGTTTCGGGGCTAACGTCGATAGCGCCGTATCCACAGTGGTTTCCTTAATGTTGTCAAGTATCGGGAAAAATGGTGTATTGGACCTACTGCGGTCTTTAGCTGCGAGGAGAGTAATAGGGGATAGAGATTTTTTGGGAATAGCGTTATCGTCCCTGTACGCGGTTGGAGCCTCCACGGCCTCCGGAGGGTTTCGTGCGCCTGCCTCTTGCCGATTTTTCTTCTCTCGGATTTCGCGTAATATTTTCTGAGTTTCCATTTCCCTTTCTTTTCTGTGTCTCTCGTAGAGGTTTTCATCGGGCGGCGAATCGAAAAAGTCGGAGCGCAGAAATCGTGAGATGCGGCGACGGGGCAATTCTGTGGCCGTGGAAGGGGCCGCACGAGGAGAGGGCCGTCTCAGAGGTGACGCACAGCTAGGCTCAGAGGTAGCGCTGGCCGCGTCTGACCCGCAAGACTCGTCCAGCGAGAGCGCGCGCTCCGGCGTCAAGTACTTGCTGAGCAGCGGTCGTTCGGCAGCGCGTCCCGTCGAGAGCGACGCGCTCTCCGCGTCCAGGGAGAGAGTCCCCTCCCGGGTTTCGGAGCGATTTCGCAGACGCGGTAGGGTGGAGTAGTGAGGTGTTGCGACGTCTGCGACATCCGGTGATATGGCAGGTGACGGAGGAGCGGTTGCCGCAGGCGGCTGTGCATCGGTTTTGTCGGCGGGCTGGTCGGCGGACAGCGAGCGCGCGGCGCGCGGCGGCTGCGGCGCGGGCGCGTGCAGCGACAGCGTGCGGCGCAGCGAGCGCGCGGCGGCGGGCGGCAGGTGCGCCAGGAGCTGGCGCTGCAGGCGTCGCGACAGCGCCGGCGTCAACCCCGACAGCGCTCGCATCTCCCGCTCCGAGAACTCTATCGCGCTAAGGTCTAGATCCGACAGGTCCAGTCCGCTCTCCTTCGATTCCGAGCTTTGTTGCCGGTGTCTGTTACCGGACTTCTTACTACTACCTGAAATTTAATCGAAAAACACACGTTTCGATCATGCAGAACGCTCGCTGGAATGAATTATGTACAGTGCCGATATTTGGATTTTCATTTTGTGTCTCGCTCGCGCGTTTAGATAGATGGAATATTACGAGTCGAGCTTCTGATGATTGATCTTAAGATTTTATAAAAATGAGCTCTGGCGAGCCCGTCGTGAGTTCACGAAAGATGCAAACATTGATGCGTTGGTTAAAAGTTAATGCGTATCTACAAGAACTAAATACGAAATAATCGAATTAGACCAAACGTTAGGCTTTAGATATGCGTAAACAAATCACAAAAAGAATGCATTAAAATGTTGCTTTTTGAAGGATAGTAACTGTTCAATGCGTACTAAAATGATGGCTTTAGCGATATATTTGACACAGTAAGAGGCATCTCTATCTGGAAACAGCCGCGGCGCACGGTGCGGAACACAAAAACACATAATGATCAAATAAATATAGTTTAGTACCTATTCTTGTGTGGCGTTTGTGGCGGATTTGTGGTTGGCGCTGGTGCCGCTGTGAAGTGAAGATTTGGTCGGAGCATGCAGTGTAACGCGCAACCCAACTGCAACCACACCAACACAAGCTCACTACTGCTTCATGGTGCCGAGCCTCACCCTCCCACCTCAGCCCTCTACCCTCTAGCGCTAACGTCGGTACCTCCGCTAGTCGGTGGCTGCAGATAAGTTGTGGCGCCACAGCTCCACGTGTGGTAGCGTATGACTCGTGACATGATTACTATTGTACACACTCACATTCGGTAGATCTGACATACGTGTCATCGACGCGATCGCATACATCGAGTGCTACCACATCTACTATCTACACATATACTGTATGCCATGACTCACTTTCCAAACAAATTAACCATCAGTCTGTAATTATTGTACTGGTTTAAGTTTAATTTTACATTCAAAATTATGTATAAATAAAAAGTTACGCTACTTTATGTACATAAAATAGTACTGTAATGCCACAGGAGATGCGACATGAACAATGTCTTCTCTGTTCGATTCATGCGATACTACTATAATAAATAAATGAATTTATAATATTCTAGAGCAACGCAACATTTTCCTGCTAGTGTTAGCGGGTAGGAGAAAGTCAACACCTGCACAAAGAATGCAATTTGAATACAATATACACTACAATGCAAAAAAAATATGTTAAAATTTATTAATAAAAACAATGTTAATGTACTATAAGAAACACACGATATATAATAGACTATATTTTCGCTTCGCAGCTTTCGATAGTCTATTATACATGACACTGATGTAAGATGAAAACAATATCAACGGTGGAAAACGTCGCTAATATTGATAGCAATGGTTACAAAATCTTATTCGCGACGTATTTTCTGGCCATTTCATGGGATGGTTCTAGAGTTAATTTATTTGTTTTAGTGGAAGCTTGCGTTCTGGTGAGAATAGCCCGTGCGAGCCTAACTACTCGCGAGTTGCAGTGCGACGGTGACGCGACGCTCCTATTTTAACTTTAAAAAGCTTTGCTAGCTACTTATTTATAATAATAAACATCGAATATGTAAAAGAATGTACATAAGAAATTGCACATGGAGCTATACACTTCTAATTTTCTTTTTTCTGTAACAGTAACTTTAAATCCCTCTGTTTATTTATATATACACGTAAAACGGTCATTAAATTAGCTTGTTTTCCTTAAAGGCTTATCAAAATCGAAACGCACTTATAAATAAAAAAAAAATGAAAGATAGCTTAAGCGAAATTAAAGTTTGTACAAGGCACAGATCACTCCGGTCCGTTATTTATATGGATTGATCGCTTGAAAGACGTGGTTGACTTTTTTATCGTATAATATATACTTTTAGAACGGTTCATTAACATTGTATATTATCTTGCCAAAAGTTTTCTTATTAAATTATATTTAGTGTAAATTTATTTATTTCAAAATCGAAAAATAGTGTACTTAGTAATTATATAAAAAAATATCAGTCAATGGTAGATAGAATCTTTAGAGGATATTAGCAACATGTAAAATTAGTCTACTAGACACGAAATACTAAGCCTTTACGCTGTTCGGACTGAGTAATTTTTGTTCATCTGGGATAAAATGTTTAGTGACTGGCTTTAGCTTTTATTATCATGATAGTATCTCTCGCATGTATGACGCTTATTTTATAAAAATATATTTAATGGTTAAACGAGTATAGTGAATAAATTGCTATAAAATATAAAACCGAAAAATTGCTATAGCTTTTTTACACAACATTTTAACAGCTCAATAACACCATCATGTAGGTACGATGAAGTAGATGAGTGTAGGTGTGTGCATGCCTCAGGCGGCTAGGTGAAGTGCGTGTACAATATTGGCAACGTTTTCCCTCGTGGCGGGTGCAAGCGGGTGCAAAGCGCGGACTCACCTCGCGGCATGTGCTGTCGGGACTTGAACATCGAGTCGATGTCGGCGTGCAGGTCGCGGGAGCCCCAACCTTCGCGTCTGTAGTGCAAACAAACTAAATTAGAAGTGCTCCTCTTAGTTGATTAACGGGTATCAACTATGGGGCTACTACTGAACAGCTATCTCTTAAACATGTTCATAGGTTATTTTGCATAAATATGTATCAAAAATGTAGATCATAAGCATGTACTCTCACAATACTAGAAATTACTCTACCTATAAAAGTTAATTTTAGGATAGCAACAAATATTAATTATTATTAAATTGTACCTGTATTAGAGTTATTTAATACACAAATAAACTATAAGTATCTTATTCATACAGATATAAAATTAAATACAAAAGTGGGAACTTAGGTATTTTTAAGTTGAATAAATTCTCAATTAACCACAAATTGAACCCACACTTATCTTAATATACACATTTACAAAAGTACGACAGTAATGTTCGTTGGTAGTTGGTTCTTGTGTACGGTTAAAGTGCTTGCCAACAAGGCTAGGGAACTGACGAGAATATGCTCCGCCTCACCTCCTTTTCACTTAAATAACGCCTCTCAAATAAAATTTAAAGTTTTATGTAATAAAATTACACTGGAAATGTCTAAGAGGAAATACAACTATCTTAATTAATTTATAACAGTTGTGCTTTAAAAATGTGCCAAAATCTACACAAACTTTCTAATAAACTTACGTTTCTGATACACTTCGTTTACTTTCCACATACCTATGAGTGCTGCATGTAATAGTAAGTGAAATATAAAATAAGGAAAATTAAAGACTAGTATTTAGCGAGAAAGCCTACAAAAGGTGCACCCTGAGTGACGCGAGAGGCTTAGTGATGTTTATTTTAAGGATACATTGCTAATATTGGCTAATGTCCTGCCGTGGACATATTGGCATGATATTCTAGTCTTACTCGACTCCGAATTGCTTATAGTATTAAAGGAAATGCTAGCAGGACATTTAAAAATAAAAAACGTAAAAGCCCTACATATGGCCAATATCGTATATCAGTTTATGACCGTTTTCTAAACGGGTAAACTAAATAGTGGGTGCTTTTTGGATTACCTACTTAGAACATATGAGTGGCATAACTGTTTTTTTTTATATATCAGAGATCAATATAAATTACAAAATCAAAGTTGTACACATCTCATGTAAACCAGGACAGTGACAGTAAGCTGTTTTTGTTGTTTAAGGGCCATCTCAACACGGGAGTTATTCTTGAAGACTTTAATTACAAAGACTTGTTAGTGATATAGTACTATGTAGTAGTATTAATGAATGAGTGCTACTGTGTGCGTGTGAATGTGATAAGTAGGTAAACATGGAATACTCACAATAGATTTCGCCTTGGTAAGTGAGGGCTGCATGCATAAAATTAACATTAGTTGGAGGGTCACAATAAAATTATAAAATGTTTACGTTTAAAGGAGGGCAGTGTTAAATACAACATTTTTTCAATGAAAAACTTAATTCTTTCTAATTTTGATTTTCAAATATTAAAAATATATTAGCGGCACATAGTATTATTTATGGTAATGTATGATTTTTGGATGTTTCATTTACAAAAGATAAATGCAAGTAAAAGTTAGGATTAACAAACTAATGAATCTAATGCATTGCCTAGTGCTATTGGGGATTTGAAAGCTACATTAATCAAAAATATATTCTCCTAAAATTGATGTATCGAGTTGGTTTAAGCCAGATGTTTGATGACATGTTCTAAAGTACCTGTTAAAGAATGGCGACTGCAGATTGTTGAACAGTGAGTGTTGTCCGAAGCCAGGGCCTTCCTCACCGTTGAGACGCTGAGTCAGTGCGCGCACCTGCACGTTTATTCATTAAATAGTTACTATTTTACAAAACAACACAATTATAGAAATGGGTCACCCAGTAAATAGGTTTCTATGATTTTTGGTTTAAACATTACATACGCACCCTGTGTAATAACGTAGAGAACAAATTCTCCGCAGTGAGCAGGTGGAAACCTTCGTCCTCCTCGTCGTCCTCTCCGGAGCTGACGGACTCGGCCCGCGCCGCTCGGCTGGGCCGCAGGCGGTGCATGTGGGCGTCCTCCTCCTCCTCGGACTCTCCGCCGCTCACTAAGCTACTGCATAAATACGTTTAGTTAGTACGGTAGGTGAGCGGTGAGCGGTGAGCGGTGAGGCGGTGAGGCTCAAGGGTGCAGTCGTACCCCATGCGGCGGGGCCTGGCGGCGCGGTGGCGGGGGGCGGGCGGGTGGTCGGGCTCGAGCGAGCGCTGGCGCGGCGTGACGTAGCCCTTGCCCTCGACGGCGATGGGAATGATGAACTCGCGCGCAGACTTCTTGATGGGCTCGCCCGGGCTGCTGCACGCCTCCGACGCGCCCGACTCCGCGGACGTCATGCGTCTGCGAACCGACCCTCAACGTTACACTACTGAAGGCGATAATTACATGCTAGATAATTATATTATAATTAATTTATCTTTTTTTTTTTAAAAAAAAGACAACGTCGCATTAGGAATAAATCCTGTATCGCGGGGGAGTTTACAAACATACATGAAACGGACACAAAGAACACCCAGACTCAGAACAACAATTTGTGGATCACACAAAGTGTCGTCCCATGTGGGGTTTGAACCCACAACACTCGGCGTAGTAGGAAGCGGCGTGGCGACCGCTTAAACCACTACGCCATCCGTGCAGTCAATTAACAGACAATCAATTAACAGCCTGTAAGATATGTTTCAAGCGAAACTGTGGTAAATTTTCCTAAAAATTGAACAGCAAATGTATGTGAGCTATTTTGATTTTGTGAGAAGCACCTGAAACTTATCGGTCTCTATTTGCATAATGCTTAGACGCCTAAATAGATGAAAATTGGTCCACCTCTGCCAGAAATTACCCGCAAACTAGATACGTAAAAGAAGACTAGATACGTAAGAATTGTAAAAAATATTTATTGGTATTATTATATTGTCTATAAAGGTAAAAAACTCTTGGATATTAGTTTCGGGCCGTATCAACAATCTCTAACTAACGACAAAGTGTTATTAATAATAAAAACTGCATTTAATAGAACAAAGTTCAATGTGATAGTTATAATTATTATTTTTATATTTTAATTGCTTATGCCCGCGGCTGCGCTGTGTAGCCCGCCCGTATTATAGCAGCAAAAAGTATCTCATGTCCTTTCTCAAGAGTAAAAACCTTTCACTGTCAAGTTTGCCAAATTTCATTAAAATCGATTCAGCGGTTTAGACGTGACAGCGTAACAGACAGACAAAGTTACTTTCGTATTTATAATATTAGTAGGAATTAATGACGAAATTAATTCAAGCTTAATTGCTTTACTCTTTTCGTCTAGCTATACTTAATATAAGTCTTGTTAAAATTATGTTAATTTAGTAATATACGAGGGACGGCTGATAAGACCGCGGCCTAAGGTACTTAATGAAACAAAATATGCGGTTTCCATTTTTTTATTTTTAATATAATCTCCTTCAAGTTAAATGCATTTCTCACATCTCGCATACCACGCCTTTAACCCATCCAAAAAATATTCTGTATCTTTCTCTTCAGAATGACTATCAACCGCAGCTTTCATTTCGTTATCATCTGCAAATCTCTGACCCCGTAAGTCCCTTTTCAAATTGGAAAACAGGAAAAAATCGCTAGGTGCTAGGTCTGGGCTATATGAAGGGTGGTAAATCTCTGAGAACCCCATGTCTTACAGGGCTTGCCTCGCAACATGTGCGGTGTGACGGGCGCGTTGTTCGCGCGTCGGTTTCCCACGTCGTTTCTATATAATATTGGACATTCATCGTAGTTCCCCTGGGTAGGTAGGCGATAAGTAAAATTGCCTCGCTATCCCACAACCATTAGCATGGACGCAGACTTTTCTACCTTGAATTTCTTTTCCTTCTGGTTCTCCTTTTTTATCCATTGCATGGACTCTCGTTTGGCCTCCGGATTATATTAGCGAATCCAAGTTTCATCTACGGTGACAAATGTCTTCCTTATTATCGCCGACTAGCTCCAAAAAATATTTGCTACTTGCTCGACTAGCAAGTAGCAAATATACGTTGCTCGTGGAGCGGTGTGAGCATTTTCGGTACCCAGCGCGCGCTAATTTTTCTCATATTCAAATATTCTTGTAAAATTACTCCAACTCGTTCTTTGCTAATCAGCAATTCTTCAGAAATCTGCAACAATTTAATTTTTCGTCGGCCAGAACGATTTTTTCGACTTTTTCAGCTCTCTCGTCCTTGTTGAAATAGGCGGGCCCATTTTTTTACCTTGTATATTGAAGGCGCAGAATCCTCAAGAACCGATGACATCTCTTGAAAAATGACTTTCGATGTATTTCTCTTCTTAACGAGGAATTTACGCGGCGCGGTGTTCAAAATTCCTATATATATAGTAACACTACTAAGTCTCTCCACTAGTGACATGAGTAACAAGCTAATTACTCATCGTTAAGTACATTAGGCCGCGAACTTTTCAGCCGCCCCTCGTAACTAAACTTGTCTCTTGGACAACCATATTTTGAAACTATCGATTTTACGTACATATTAGTTTGTGTTACCTGACAGGGGTAGTAGATACTCTGGGCGCAGGCTTCGGCGGCGGTTGCTGAGGCAAGGGCGGTGGTGGTGATGTGGGTGACTCGTCCGCTACGTGAATGGGGATAATCCGTTCCACAGATACGCCTCTGTAAAATGATATATCTGTTATTCATCATCAGCCTATCGCAGTGAACTGCTAGACATAGGCCTCTCAAATTGCACGTCACTTAGATCGATTTTGGGCTTCTTGCATCCTTATTATGAGTTATTAATACCTACAATATTTTTACATATTACATAATTTAAGATAGTTATAGTAATGATAGTAAAAAAAAAATACTATTGGTTACGAAAATTAAAGTAGTTTCTTTGGTGAAAACATATTTTATTAAATTGTATATTGTCCATTCTAGTCCAATACCTTTTCTTTATTTCTGGTATAAGCAGGATTTCACACTCCTAATACTTTTGTTATGTTCTGGCAAAATCTAATCTAAGTGAGTTTTGACCTCCTTATTTAAATTTAAGGTTTTTAAAAATAGGAACTAGAGAATATGTTGGGTATAGCAGTATCCCATTCAAGGTGTAAATGCTTTTGGAAACTTAAATTGTATGAGATCTCAAAATATCTTGGTGTAACTATACTTTTTCTATTAATTATTTCTTTTCTGTTAAAACGAATAGTTCAATTCGCCCTGCTGATGACAAAATCTGTCCTGATGATAAAATCCGACTAAAGATACAGCATCACTCTTTTTGATGAATACTTCGAAATGCTGAGCTGGTTCCCGTCCTTTACTCCGCGTATTGCGTTTGGCATTATCATATTTGAGAAGCAATCACAGCGCGACGTCACTTTGTTCCGTTAGAGCATGAGGAATATGGAGCATTAAGGTTAAACTTAGGCCACCTAAATGGTCATAAATACATGAATCCGTAAATTTAACCTCTATTTAAATCTTTGAAGTCGTATTAGCCGGTTTACATGAATTAATACGTAATGAAAACGCTGTAAAAAGTACTGATGTTACCTGTTGCGATGGTCTTCGACGCGGTGTTGTGCCTCCGTGCGGAACACGCGCGGCAGCGAGCCGGCAGACGGCGTGCCCGGCGGAGACGACAGTGACGTCACGCCCGCCGACGACGACCGACTGTACGGCATTGGGGGCTTGCCTGTTCATATACAAGTTTGGTTATGCTACTTAGGTTAGGTATTTATTTAACAGTATAGGCTCATGTAAAGATAATACTCTATATTACAGACCAGACCCACTTTCGAGCACAGATAAATTCGTACAACATGATTGTTTTTTATTTCTTAAATTAATCATTTACATCTTTATAACATAGAAAAAATATAATAATAATCAGGGGCGTGCGCTCCTTGTAGGCAGAAATGCAGTGCTTTACTTGCTATTCACAGACATTTTAATAAAACGTTGGTACGTTTTAGATGACTTTAATTAATAGTAAATAAATGAAAAAACAAAATATAATAACTTAAAAACGCGTACTATTTACAAATAGCATAGCACCACACAAACATTGTTTGCCAGGTGTTTACCGAAAAGCAAGCGCAAAGCAACTCATGCCGTCGCCTCGCGCAGGACATTTGTTCGCATGTGTGTAGTAATTTTGGTGTCCGTGCACAGTTCGCATACGCACACACCCATTTATTTTATATGCCCGACTACAGCCGCAGGATGGCCTTCGGATGTCGGCTCCCGCGCTAATCGTTGTCGTCAGTATTCGGGTATAATCGGCAGTGTTCGTTGCCTATAAATCCACCCAATTACAATAGTCAGAAATATAATGAATCATGTATGCGGATTATGAATTTTGAATATGGTAAGGTTTTATTTGTTTAATTAGCAGATATGTTTCTTGTTCGCGTTGGCCATATTGATTTTTTCATGTGATAAGCATTGTTTACTATTTTCTTTCCGCCAGTATAATTATAGTTTTATTTGAAAGTGTGTACATTTAACAGTTTATTACTGATTCCGTTGATTTTTTTAAAATGTTATTTGATTGTAAGGTATGTGTGGAAAATTTGTGTATAATTTAAATTAAAAATAACAAGTTCTCACAATTGTCATTCAGTGAAAAGATTAAAATTGTGTCTAAAGGTCTGTAACTATCACTCACTTGAATAAGATATTTGAGGTGGCCGAAATCTTGCGTTTATTTACATTGGGATATAGTAATCTCAAGTAACCTTAACCTTGAATATGTGAATATCAGAAACTTGAAGATGACCAGGTGAGTAGTTATAATATTTTAGCTTATTATTTTACTTATTAGAATTTCCTCCGCCGCGATCTATCGCAGTTTTGTCAGTGTTCCCGTTGAAGATGTACATGAATAGTAGTACATCTAAGACTTGTTCTGTTGGCATGGTTTCCGACTTAGAGATCCATCGCGTGGCTGTGGCTAAGCTAAAAATCTATAAAAGAAAAAGTTTTTGTGACCGACTACTCTGCCGCATACCTAGTGTCATAATCCTGTGCACGCCGCTGATAATAATAATAATTTTATTTTCAGACATATACAGTCCATAGGTTGTTTAGTAATGGGTTAGAAACAGAAAGTACTTAACGTCTATATTAGTATTGTTTGTAACGACACTTAATAGTAGAAAGGCATTCAACTATGCTTTCCTATTGCTATTGCCACCCAGTGCCTTTGTATAGGACAGTCTGGCCTACTATAGTTAAACCGCCGTAAGCTTGGCCCTCCTGATGGTTTGCGGGACGGCGGGCGGGCTTTAGCTCTCTCAGTCCACCTATCGAAGGACTGAGCAGCACCATGTCGTCCGCGTAACTTAAATTATTGACACATGTGCCGTCTATATGACAGCCTACATGTGTGCTGCTCAGTCGCTCGATAAGCTGGTTCATATATAAATTAAACAATAGAGGTGAGCTTAACCCCCCCTGCCTCACACCACACTCCATTCTGTACTCATCCGAGAGAGTACCGACCCATCTCACCCGGTTTGTCTGGTGAGCATACCAGTATTTAAGCGCTGTGTACTCCGTCGGAACACTCGTGTCTCCCAACTTGTCCAATAGTACATCATAGGCAACAAGATCGAAAGCTTTTGACAAGTCGAGAAAACACCCGTAGACCGGCGTCCTCCGCGAGGTAGAGTACTTGACTGTGTGTTTTAGGCTAAGTATGGCACTCTCCGTGGACAGGCCGCCCCTGAACCCGAACTGGGCATCGTGTACTTCAACGTGATCTGAAAGGCAGCCGTTCAACACACCGTCAAGCACCTTAGCCGTGGTGGTGGCGAACGAGGTGGGTCGATAGTTATTTACATCGGACGTGTCACACGTTTTGTTTTTAACAATTAATAAATTTCTTGAAAGTAGTCTAATGATTTTTCAAAGTGAAATTTAAAACAGTGAATAAATTTGAGCCGTTCAAACGCCACCATTTAGACCGCGTTTTTGGTGACGTCATTGGTTGTGTCCCGTGTTTGTTTACTATAGCGTTTCAGTTACTACATACTTATTTTCAGTTTTAATTGCTTTACAAATAATGGAAGAAGTTATAACCTTTCTTACAAGTATTGTACGGTACCGAAGTGCAAAAACACTATTATTAGTGCACCCGATAAAGTGCTCTTTCTTATTCCACGCGATGCGATAGCATTTATGAATAAAAATCTATGTTATTGACTAAAATATACCATGTAACATAATAATAACCTTGCAGCTTTCACTTCTTTGATCTCTGCACTCGTAAAATCGAGATTTGGTGCAAAATATGCTGACCTCATAAATGCCATCTATTTTCGGTAGATTATCCGTTTGTGCTTTGACAAAACCAGTTTCTGTCATCGTCATAGATTGACAACAAATATATATTCACAAGTAATCACAGAGGGTTACAGTTTTAAACAATTTTTCTTACAAACACTATTAACAGTATGAATATCGACGCCGACAAACCTAATGACGTGACGTGCCCATTGACGTCAACATTTCGTTTCGACCAACGGTGACTCTTTTGGTAAGTTTGAATTGCCTTCCCTTATTTTTCACTTTCTATATAATATTTTCTAGGTTTAAATAATAACTAAATAAAAAAATACCTTCTAAGTATAATATAAAGGCAATAAAGAATCTAGAAAAAAAAAATTGAGACAAATTTAAATTTTATGCATATTCCCCATTGTTAGTCTTATCGCACGAGTCAACCTCCTACATGCAACCATGGGATAGAGAGAATACCTAATAAAGGGATGGGGTCCTGGTGCATGAAGATTAGATACAAGTATTAGGTAACAACTTGAGATTTATTCGATAGTCAGAATTATACAGTTGGTACTCGTCAGATCTTAATAGGCGGCATAATCAAGATAGGAGAAGAGAAAGGACTAGCGCTATTTTATTAGCAACAGTTTAAAAATGTTATAACTTGCGGCAAGGAGCTATAGCTCAAGCAACCATTTTAATACTAGTCCCCTACAGCTGAGTACCCAAGGAAGAACATTATTTATTATGTATACATGTTTGGATGTATGAAAGAAATCCACTGATCCACAAAGATAAAATAAATTCATACCTTAAATTAATTTTCATATAACCTTTTCACATACAGTATATTAACACTTAAAAATATATACTCCCTACCAAAACTGGTATACTCACGAACCAATCTCAAGAAATACTGTGTCTCTAACGTTATACTAACTATTGAAAGTACATATTGATTACTAAATTTAGAATTACAAACCGCACACTACTAAAATGATTCAGTGTTTAAATTAAATAAATATTGATACAAATGGGCACACAATTCATGCAAAACAATGTGTATTCACCTCTATGTGTCAAAAACAATGACGTCACGCTCTTGATTTACATAAATCAAATTAACTGTAGCACGAGTAGACAGGTTGTAAAAAATTTGATTCTTCCTACCATGATGCAAGACCTTAAATGCAAAACCTAAAATTTATGTTATTTTATCTTTGCTGGTCTTAACTTTATGACGTATTTATAACTTCGCCGTATTTATAATAAATTTTGCACCTTTAAAATTTTAAACAAAAATAGAAAGACAAAAGTACAGTGTTACACCAAAAGTTAGAGTGTTTACCTGTACGTATAGCAGACGAGATGATATCCCTTGCAGCTCGCCGTCGACTCTCCTCGCCAGCCACTTTTTCCTCGACAAGTTTCGCCATAGAATTCTGTAGACTCCTACAAATTGCCGTACAAATTAGTCATGTTAAAATAAATACTTGGCATCCACATCCATATTCATTAATCAGAGTCTACTAAATGTATTCGTCATCGTCACGCGTGGGTAACACGCTTCCTAATGTAATGTATGGTATATTGTTTGAGTTGAATAGTCAAAGTACTCAAAGAGACTTGGCTGCACATTAGAACAGAGAGTGGCTCACCTCCTGGCGTCCTGCAGGAGTACGGAGGGATCGACGGCGGTGGATCCGTGCGAGGGCTCGCTCTCGGTCTTCTTTACGCCGCCGCGAATGCTCTGCTCCGGTTCAGTGGGGGGCTGCTACATTTCAATATAATTTTTGTAATTTGAAATAGACATTGCCAGGATTTAACTAGGCGCTTGTACTTTATGGACTTCAAACACTTGCTGCACTCAGAGACATTAGATAAACTAAACAAGTTTTTGAATGGGGCAAAAAAGTATACAGGGTCACTGGGTAAGTCGACCTGGGCCTCAATTCTGCTATTCTATGTTTACGACAAGCCAGTGTCATACCACTGACACGCTATTGAGATGCCATCGAGTGGCCATTGGCATCGGTATAAATATCGGTAGTTAAAAATATATTACGTTTTTTGATGAAATGTTTTTTTTTTTATTATAATAAATTATTAAAAGAAATAAATAAATAAAAAAAAATATTTAAAAAATAAAATTATAAAAAAAGTAATCAATAAATTATTTAAAAAAAATATAAATAATTTCCTTATTATTTGAAAATATATTACGTTTTTTGATGAAATGATTTATTTTTATTTATTTATTTCTTTTAATAATTTATTTTAATAAAAATAAAAATAAAACATTTCATCAAAAAACGTAATATATTTTTAACTACCGATATTTATACCGATGCCAATGGCCACTCGATGGCATCTCAATAGCGTGTCAGTGGTATGACACTGGCTTGGCGTAATAGCAGAATTGAGGCCCTGGATACTTTAAGAGGTTGTAGTTGCCATCATTTCTGATAGATTTCACTATAAAATACCATATGAAAACCCTAACAATTTTTAAAATATTCGACTTTAAAGATTTTTTATAAAAATTGCCGAAATTTTGAATGATACATTTTTTTTTAGAACTTATCCTTTTTTATGCTTTTTTGTACAGTTTTTGTGTAGTTGATCAATTGCTTTAATAAAATTGAAGTTAACGAACTAGGCCGAAGTAGATGGTTAAAAATAGAAAAAAGTCACATCTCAAAATCGTCGTAATAAATCAGGATATCAGCATATTCTTCGTTCTTATAGGTCGTCATCTTCAAGAGTATCAGAAGCACAAATCAAAGTTCACTTAACAATAGTTAGTCACGAATAGGAAACGAAACCGTCTAAAAATACAAGCCAAGTTTTCAACTAGGTACTACCTGGTTTTACGTTAATTCTTAACACTCCCTTCATCTAAGTTTTTTTCTATGTATTCTAATACTATTATACCTTGTTAGATAGCTGAGAACACGTACATGTTTTTTAACGTTTGTTTGTTAATCGGCTATTTAACTGGCATAGTGTTTTTAAGAAAAAAAAAATACAGTCGAATTGATAAGCTCCTCCTTTTTTTGAAGTCGGTTAAAAAAGAAAAAATATTTTTTTACAAATTTATTTAGGCCCAGTTTAAGTTAACTACAATATTGTAGTAATTGAAATTATAAAACAATTTATCAACTACACAAACAGAAAAAAACATAAAATAAAAGATATAAGTTGTAAAAAAATTGTATGAGGCAAAATTTTGGCAAGATCTTAAAAGTCTTAAAGGTTTGGGATAATATATGGTATTTCATAGTGAAATCTATCAGAAATAATGGCAACTACAACCCTTTAAAGTATCTAGGTTGACTTACCCAGTAACCCTGTATATATTTTTTCTCTTTACTTATTGCTCATTACAGGGCATTAAGTTTGTTTCTTAACAAAAAATGTAGGAAGATGTAACTGAATCAATTACTTTATCGTATGTTCCATTACCTGTGAAGGCTCAATGCCAATCTGTTGTAATCTGACAGTGCCATTATCAGGTGCCTTGAGAGGTAATTCCCGGTCTTCACTTTGTGCTTTGGGTTTGGCGATCTTTGATACGACTGTAAATGAAACATCTTTATAAGCTTGCATTATTGTTAAGGATTTTATTGTCAATATCTCCATGCCTTTGTACTGTAAATAAATTAATCAGATATTTAAATCGAAATGCTGTTCCATGATTAGGAAGCAAAACATGGTTTGCGAGCAGTCATACATGAAACATATGTATTTATGTATATATTATTTTTACCTGGTTTAGAAACGTTGCGCTTTATTTCAGGGGTAGACGTCAGTGATGCTCTTCTCTCAAATTGGTCTTTAAAGTTACCCACATTGCCTCCTAGGGACATATAAAGAATTACATTACTTGCTGATATTTATGTATATTTAAACGTTTATATTGTTTCAAACTAAATTAACAAAAATAAATTAACCACTCACAATACGAAATATAAAACTTTTAGTACACATAATATTTATCTGCTGACTGCTGATACTTTGTACCTTTAAATTGTAATAAAAATATCAGAGATATACGTTTTATATGCACCATTCTGTTGGTAGCCCACACTATATTAAATCAACACAAGTTAAATGAAAGTTTACAACATAATTACCTGGAATAGACAATTTCTTAGGTTTGGGAGCAGGTGCCTGGTTGGCAGGAGCCGCGGCGGCTTGTGCCACGGACAGTGACGTCAGCTTATCTGCTACGGATGAAACTGCGTTTGTTTTTGCTTCTTCTTGCGCCTACGCAAGTTAATTTTGTTTTAGATATCTTAAACATAGAGCAACGTAACTTTCTTTATAAATAATATTTATTACAACATAAAGACTGTGATGTACCTTTTAACGAATCTGTAAACAGCATATTCTGCACTTTATTTCTAGATGATTTGCAAAATATGAAAAAAAATATTCAGTGGTTTAGAAACAGGACATTTTTTTTTGTTTTCGTAATTTGCAACATCATGTGTAAATGCAGTCATAAGATATCAGGCCTCAGGCGGCGATCAGCTGTAGGGTAAAAGCCGGATAGTTGCCTCAGACGGATAGTTGCCCCGGTTATGAATACACTATGATAGGAGTATTAGTTATGTTAGCGCTTTACTACAATAAGAAGTGACCCCCCACAGGCCTCAGTGCCATGTAAGCAATCGGAGTAGGCGAACGTGTTTTGTCCGTGTGAGCAAAAATCTTCCGCTGTAAAACGCTGACGGGCGTTGATCTTATTTTGGTAAGTAATTTTAGTTGAATATTTTTATTATTGATCGTGCTTTCAGACAACTTTTTGTTTCTTTGTATACATTAGAGTCTAAATTATAATGTTTATTATGTTTTATTATTCAATAGTTTTTTTTTTATTTTTTAAATAAAAAGGGCAAGTATCCGCATCAAAAAGGATAGTCGCCCTACTTACTTTTGCGGATAGTTGCCCCTAGAGTGACTGTAAATTCTTCATCGAGCAAGCACAGTTTTTTTTCTTTTGTTGTTTTTTCCAATTTACTGTGACTTATAACTTGTTTTAAACAAAATAAATAGTTAACTGTTTTATATATTTATTTTGGGAAAGCAAAATGCCTCGCAAGTACAAGTGAAAACCAGCCGTGGGGCCACGCCACATCAGCTGGACAGAAGATAGCTTAGCACTTGTAATACCACTTAGCATGACTAAAAGAGCTAAACAATCGGCAGAAATTTTAAACTCTGACGATAAAATAGTCCAGAAGAAGGATAAAGCCGAAAAAATAAAAAATAAACAAATAAAATTATCACAGAGAAAAAGAAAAACGTTAGACAGTAAAAAACAAACTAGCTGGTAACAAGAAAAGCATTGAGAAAAAAAAAGGAAAACCGCAAAAAAATAAAAACACCAAAAAATATGTTGATAAGACTAGCAGTGAAACTGAATCTGATAACGCAGAGCTTATGAAACATAAGAAGGGAAAAGATTTAAGGAAGAGAAGATTAATAATAACCTTAAGTTTGAATAATACTTTTATATTTTAAAGCATTAAAACTGAAGAATATTTAATAATGTTAATTAATATTTTAATGTGTACTTAATAAAAGATCTCATTAAATTATGAAGACTGATAAATAAATGATAAAGATTAATTAAATTGATATAAATTTATTTTTATCCCAAAAAAACATATATCGAGGTGACTCTTCTCGCACGAGGCAAGTATCCCTCGAAGGATTTTCCACGCTGGGCTACTATCCGCCACAGTAGGCAACTATCCGTTTTTTCAGCGGCCAAATAAAACAGGATTTAAATAAAACCAATGTTATTTATGTTAACAAAAATAGGCTATAATAGAAGATAAAAGACCTAAGTTATGAAATACATATCGTATAATTTTCAGCAAGTAAATATTTAAAAAATATAAAGCTTTTTTGAAAAGTGGGGCAAGCCGGATGGCTTTTACCCTATACGCGGCGCGGTAATCACACGTTGCCGCTGTTACTACACTCTAATCGAACGAAATTTGTTTATTATTGCGTCATCAGGATGAAGGACACGCGTTTTTAATAAGTTCATCCAGTAAGTCCAGTCAGTCGGCCCTTGGCCATCGGCGAGTGTTATGCTGTTCTGTGTCGTTGCCGATGCGCTCATGAAAAATTAGCGTAATAACAATATTGTTGTTGTTCGTGAGATATTTGTTTAGAAGAGTTTTGTTGTGTTAATAATTGTTTAGTCTTATTGCTTTCGTCATAATACACGGCAATGGTGTGAACAATTAATGTTATGGTGTGCGCAAGACACACCTTTGTGTTGTAACGAGTCCCGCTAATTTTATTTTGAAAAGTGTCAATATTTGCTTCTGTGTGTAGTGTAGTATGAAACTGAGTGAATTATCAGTCTTTTTTTATTTTATTGGGTTATCGGTATCAACATCCATAATGCCGTGAGTGACCTTCACAGCCGCGGGATATCCTGACATGATGTTAATTTACGGGGAACTCTATCAAAACGCATCTTTAGCTTTACGGACAAACCGCGGTATGGAATCAATCGTGTATGTCCTACGGACTGTCGAATTTTTGTAAGGACGGTACAAAGATTACGCACCACGCACGCATCGATTTAAACCAATTGCAATACATAATATTAAAATAATGTTAAGCCGGTCTTAGTGGTCCTTCCAAGTGAATTAGGCGACTGAAAACAATGTGGACAACATTAACAATGTTTTCAGTCGCCAGTCAGTTGAAATGACCAATTTTTTATATTTTAATATTAATCTTTCTGTTTGTATATATTTTAGAATTTTATGAATACTCCCATAACAAAATACACCATACCAATCATAAGAATACTAACACATTTTAAATTTGGTAAATAATTCACGTTTTTACTACCGAACGCACAACATGGCGTCTACATTACACGTGAGAATTTAAAATGGATAATTGTTTTTCTTTTACTTTTTGTTTGTAATTGTTGTTTTTGTAATTTTGTTGGGCTGTTTACGTTTGCTATGACCAATTAAATATTAAAAGGGAATAACTTTGTTATAACGTATGTTACATAACAAATAATAAACTTACTTTTGGTTCTTCAGATTTGTCCACAAGCGGTTTCTCTTCCAGTACCTTAGTCGGAGACGCCTTCTTTTTAACAGCGACGCGCGGTTTGGATGGTTTCTCGATAACTTCTTCTTTGGGTGGGGCTACTGGCTCCTTCACAATTTCCTTTGTCAAATCTTTTGTAAGTTCGACAGGGGCCGGTTGGATGGTAATAGTGGCTGACGACTTAAGCATTGGTTGTGTTGTCTGAAAGTATATTAATTATGAGCAGTTTCGTAGGGTAGATTACTAGGTTTAAAATAAATTGTTTCGCCTAAATCATTAAATGTAACATCTTAAAGTACAGCTTGAATTGTCTTCTATTACCAATTTAATTTTCTTATATCTTCAATTAACATTAGAAATAAAAGATTTGAAATAGCTCGGTGTGACGTCATGCTACAGTATTTTATAGACAAACTAGCTGATCCGGAAAACGTTGTTTTGCCATATACATTATTTCTAGGAAATATTGAAAAAAAAATTAGGGGTTACCCTTGTCATTTAGGGGTATGAAAAATAGATGTTGGCCGATTCTCAGACCTACCCGATGTGCACACCAAAATTTAATAAAAATCGGTCCAGCCGTTTCGGAGGAATATGGTAACTAACATTGTGACACGAGAATTTTGAGGTTTAATAAAACGATACTGATATGACTTGATAGTCATCTACCCCTTTAAAGATCAGTTGGCACGCCATTGTCGTTTAATTTTAATGTCGTTCAGGTGTGTGTATCACCTCAATTATAAAACTTATTTGATGTACATAATATGTTTTTATCTGAATAGTTTTAGTACCGTTTCCGGTGTCAGCGGAGGTTCTTCGGCGGGTGGTTCTGGTGCATTCTCTTCAGGTAACGCTGGAGTTTGGCCAGCAATGCTGGCACAACTGTGAAAAAATGTTTAAAAATAAGCGCCCATAGGAAGCGGACTAAAGAATTCTCCTGGTGATAGGAGCAAGTACCTTTTTGTGTAATCTATATACATGATTTATCCCAATGCAAAATCTGCAGATTTCTTCAGAAGAAGTCTTCGAAATTTATTTACTGAGCAAAGTTAAGTCTAGTTAAATTATTGAAATAAAAAAGTACTTAAACCTTAAAATTGAAAGCCAATGGAATTAAATGGCAATGAAAAAATAGTGCCTTGGTCCTAGTTTATAATTTGTACAAATAGCTCAACCTTTGAAAAGACAGAATATCATTATCACCTGGCGACTCTTTCCTTCTTCCGCTGCATGCCGCTAGGCGACATGGCAATCTCGAGCTTGCGCTTGTTGTCACTGGCCGACACTATCGTGCGCGTTGGAGATGGCTTTATGGCATCCTCACCGCCCTCTGTTCAGTGAAACGATATTTTCATTCACTCATTATTTAAATTTTAAAATATTTGTTAATATCTTGTTTACAATTTCCGGTTAGGTATAGCATGTCACTGGAAATTGAGCTGGGAACTGGAGCTAAGTGTGAGTGTCGTCATGCTGAGACGATGATAATATATGGTTTTATTAAAAAATACATACTATTTAGTAATTTGGTAGAAACGTACAACGTATATTGCCCGTAACCGTTAAAGAAATAAAAATTAGAGTGTAATTTTAAATTAAAAGAATTTGAAGTCGATCGAAATTACAGCCTGTTTGGTTAATTACCTTTTTATGGCGGTGGTTATGTCGGACTCGAACCGACCGAAAACCGCACGCCGTCTAGGGTACCAGTTCCCGGGGAACCAGGTGTACCTTAGGAAGGAAATTCGTGATACCCCGACGTACCTCGGGCCATCTACAGCGTGTAAATGGCCTCACCTACCACCCCCAGGCCTGCGCTTATGGAGTCGTCTGCGGTACCTGGCCCGTTGCCGGGCCTGGTGCACCGGGAGAGTTCTAAACCTCTCCCGATCCCGCTCCGTCGTCTCCTTTGCAAGCATAACTTGTTCGCAGAAGGAGACGGCGGAGTTCCACGAACTCTCGCTCAGTACCATGGCGGCAATCATGTTACCGAGCGAGAGAATTTCGACGAGGTAACGTCTTTGTTCTACCCACGATTCCATCAGCGTGTGGAGCGCCGTCTCCACGATCCGGCCAGCGCAGTGGTTGCACTCAGGCGTTGGCTTCTTGTGGATCACCTGCGTCAACCGGTATGAGAAGATGCCTCTCGAGCCACTCCTCGTCTTACCGCCGCGATAACGGCGGGCGCAGCGCTCGGTTGCCATAGTCGTTCCTTCCACTCCTCCAAGAGGACCTGGCGAAATTGGGATTTCTGATCCTCGATTTCTCGGGACTCAAGACACCGACCCAACTCCCACGCCTCCTTGCGCCACTGATACAACACTTTGCGCTGGAGTTGCATCAGGGCCATCTTTTCGCCCCGGGAAACCGCTTCCTCCGCCAGAGTCCTCACGCGCATGATCGCATCCCCCGGAAATCCCAGGTGGAGCGCCCCTGACGGTAAGCGTACTGGTTGTCTGCCAGCTCCGGCCCCACTATGACGTGATGTTTGACGAGGTGTCTCGCAATCACTCTCGAAGTGTTTGCACACCTCGTCAAGCAACGAGTCCGCCGGGCGCCCCTCCTCCTTTCGGATGAGGAACAGTTCCCGTCTTCTACAATTTCAGAAACTGGCCCCGCTCGAGGCATGCGCTGAAGAACCCTCTCAGTCGGGGCTCGAGAGCTACGTCATCTAAGGCCAGGACCGACGCGCGGCCTGGAATGCCATCAGGTCTTGGGGCAGTGTTTTAGGCCTTAAGCCGTAGCACCGCCACCCTTAGTTCTGCCCAAGTGAAATCAGACACGTCGTCGTCATCCACGTTAAGCACCTCGAGAGCCGGAGGCGGAGCCATCTGGATGTGGCTGGTGGTGAGGTGTGTTCCATCACTTGCAATGGGAACAGGGACCTGACAACCCTTTCAAGCAGTTCTGACTGAACACACCGGGTCAGCGGCGGGGCCCATGGGCACCCCTAACCATACGGTAGGATCGTCCCCACGGATCCCGCTCCAGTGTCTCCAGCAACTCGCGGCGGACCTCACTCTTGGCTACCCTGTCTCCTTATCTTTGGTTAATTACCTAAAAAAATTAATATTCATCAAATTTTGTATAAATTGGTGTGGTAGTCATTTCTTTTTTTAAGTTTTTATGTTAGTACCAAATTGTTATTTATTTTGATAACAGTTTACGTCGAACGGTATGGATTTATTAGTTAGATAATATTATACGATAAAATTATCTATGATCTCGATCGTTTCAGTAGTCTTTCTTTTGACATAAAACTGGTTAGCTAGGCATATATATTGCTTTACAAAAATAGTAGCTTTTGGCCGCGGCTCCGCCCGCGTGTATGTCGGTTATCGCGGTAAAAAGTAAGTCTATATCCTTCCTAAAGAATAAAACTATCTTTGAAGATAGTATGTCAAGTTACATCTAAATCGATCCATCGATTTAACCGTGAAGATGTAACAGGCCGACAGACACACTTTCGAATTTATAATATTAGTATGGATTAGTAATGATCTCTTCTATAAACTACTGATACATTAATCAGAAGCTCACCGGCCACAAGCTCTAATATTCTCTTCTCAGCAGAAGTACTTGGTTCAATGGCCATCGACGCGGAGCTCGTAAGGTCCGTGCCACTTTCTTCGGGTCCCAGTTCATTCTAAAGAAAAAGAAACAATTAACATTTTATTTTTTAGACATCTGTTACTAATAGGCTTGATAAGTTGATGTAGGAATATATATATACAAAGGCATACCTCGTTGGGAACCATAACGGAGTTGGAGTTAGAGGGCGCTGCGGGCGCGAGCGACAGCAGCAGGTCGAGCCGCACCGGCGTCTGCGCCGCCAGCGCCTCCGCCTCCTCCAGGCACGAAGTCTCCCACCCCGTGTTCACCCACCTGACACAACCGGACGCTGTTATTCGTTCTAATTGTGGAATTTATGTCCCACAGATCAAGGGTAATAAAATAAACATGGATCATATAACGATTGTAAAGACTCCGTTCGTTATCATCTAAATTCTGTAAGCTTTATTCCAACAAGCAGAGAACAACAGGCATAAACAACGGACCAGAATGAGATTGTTTTTTTTTTTATTAATTAAATTTAAAAATGAAAGCCCTTCAAAAGAAAAAATATTCTATTCTTTTATATAAATAAATCATGAGTATCATTAAGGCGAATGTGCATTTCCATAATATCTTATTATGAGCATGTTATTATATTACACACAGAAGAGAAATCACCGCACTAAATTAATAGCTTAGATAATAATCTTTACTCACGGATGATCGCAGATGTAAGCAATGTCTGCACGCTTAAGTGGATCCACTGTGAGCATGTCACGTATAAGGGGGGACGCACCTGCAATTAATAAATTGCATGTTACATATGCTGTTGTAGTGATTTAAACTTTACCTTATCACGTTTGTTGTATCTGGCTAACATTCTTACATGTCAAGCAAAACATAATACTAAATAATAATCATAATCTGTTAAATATAGAGGGAACTGACTTAGTCAGTACACTTGATTTGATGACAAACAAACTACAATTAAAATGAAGAAGTATGTATAATATAATTATTATAACTGTTATGGAGTGTGCAAAAATTAACAATGGACACTAATTAAATAAATAAAATTTATTTGTCATTGGCGTGTTTGTTATTATGGTATAAAAATGCGAAACGTACCCAGCTAACTTTAATTGAGAACTTTATAATAGATATGCAAAATTTGATGTTTATCAATAAAGGTTAACTACACTTACTCGATGGGTTCCTAGGTTCGTAGTAATCACCGTTACTAATCTGTCGGACTAGACGCTTGAAGTTGGAGCCGTCAAATGGCATGGCCCCGTAGACTAGAGTATATAACAGCACACCAAGTGACCAGCAATCAACCTAGAAATAAATGGACATCAGCGAATGCCAGCTGCTTGATAGTAGAACATTGAGCGATACGATTTAATAAAGTTTTGTAATCTTCTCTGAAGCCGAGACTAATCCAAGTTTCTCATTTTTTAAACCTTTCGAAATATATTTACTTTAACAGCTGGGCCAATTGCCTCTCTGAATCTGTGGATTACTCCCGCTTAACTATGCCTGTACTCAGACTGATGATAAAAAAATCTACATTATATATTATGCTGTGCTGAGGCTGAGGTCTCGGGTTCGATTAGCGAGTCGGACCGAATGTTTGTATGATTTGCAAATATATATTTTGAGTTTGAAACTTGATGGCGTTGAGTCAGATGTTCGAAATATTATTATTATCTATATCAATAAAAGAAGAAACTGTCAGACTGATTCACTGACTGATCGATCAACGCACAGCTGAAACCGCTTTTGCACAAATGTTTCAGTCCTAAGGGTGCAAAATGGGAGTTGGAAATTTAAATAAATTTCGTTATCTTTGGTAGTAGCGTTTTCAAACTCACAGTAAATACTCTTTATTAAAAGTAATAAAAACGTTTAGCGTAACGAAAGTATATATGGGGAACTATTTTTTCTTAACTTGGCGATTCCAAACTTTCAGTATTATATTCTCTGTCAATAAGAATAATAATTAGACACCAATTTTTTTGAGTTTTTAAAACGTAAGAATGTTTGTTACTCGATCACGCCGAAACGGCTTTCTGCATCTGGACGAGATTTGGTATAGATAGATTATAGTCTAGAATAGCATAGAGGCTACTATTTATCCCAACCAAATTTATTGTCAAAATTGACATTTACGCGAGCGAAGCCGTGGGAAAAAGCTAGTATTATATATACCATTGGCCTCCAAACACCGAACAAATGATCGTGCTCATAACTATTATTTCTCCGGGGCATGAATCGAATCCGCGCCCACTGTCTCAGCAGTGAGGATCACTATCAATTAAAGCAACAGGACAGGCAGACAAAACTACACCCCACGATGTGGTCGCCCTTTATACAATAGGCGGCCTAATCTGCAAGGATAAGAAGGCTTGCATTTCTACGTTACGTCCGTGGCCTGAGAAATAAGAATCTGGGTCCCAAACAGGGAGTAAATTTTCGCCTGCCATAAAGTGTGCGTAAAGCGTGTCCGTTTAAATTAGACCTGTTCTAACGTGTTTTCATATAAAAAATCAATTTCAATCGACCACAAGGTCAGCAAAAAGAATCTTTGAGACGTTATATCGCTTTTTATTATCATAAGTCAGCTAAAGTCTTGAAGATGCTAATTTCTGAAACAGATTTTTTTAAATTGTATTTGTAGAACACAATTAAGATAACACAGACTTTATACAACAAATTCCGTTCTGCCGTATGCAACGTTCTTCACGAGTAAGCACACGATTATGTCTTAAATATGTAGTATATATGTATGTACATACATTAATTACAATCCATATTATTTAATACCATATTATACGTTTATATTATATTTTTGTGGTTTTTTAAATATAATGATGTTCAAATATTTACTTTTTATGAATAAATTTCAGTAAAGGAGTTGAGTTAGTAATCATTAAATATATGTACTATTCATTTTAAATAGTTTTAACAAGTGGTTTCTGAAAGATGTTCACTTTACAATAAGTGGTGGACTATCTCCTTTTTTCAGATAATAAGGAAGCACTTCTGACTAAATCTGGTGCTTCAAGTCTTACCCAGGGTTGTGTTTTGTTATCGACACAAGTATAAAAAAGAGTTGAAAATATACACATGAGGAGCACGGTGGTTACTTACAATTTAAATAAAATTTATATGCACTTCCTATATGGCCAGACTGGCACATATGGAACGAAGCATCGTGCTCGGATCATCGCTGGCTCAAATTTAACCTTGAAATGAATCTTAAACTACCCGATCCCCGAGAGAATCCCCGCATGATGGACCGGAAACGGTATGAGCATTTTACCGCGGAGAAACTGCGGAGCATAGACTCAACATATGGTCCGGGGACTGTTAAGGACATCGACAGTCATGTTGTCAACCTTACACAGACACTGCACGATTGCTTTGAACAAACATGCCCACTTTCTACACCCAGAACTGGACCACAGAACAAACACCAATGGTGGGGTCCGGAACATGAAAGACTACATCGTAAAGTGTCATGGAATCAACACCATGTCTAGATGATCATGTTAACAAACAAACGCAGTCTAGAAAATCTCAGACTTCCCAAGCTATTTGGAACGCAACTTGCTCTTACCAAAGAGGTCAAATACCTAGGAGGAATACTGGACAGTAAACTCCTGTGGAATAAGCACCTCGATGAAAAACTGAACAAAGCCTGCATTACCTTCTGTCAATGCAAACGGCTTCTCAGCAAAAGCTGGGGAGTATCACCAAAGATTACTCTATGACTCTACAGAACAGTCATAAGACCAATAATCACTTACGCTGCTGTTGTCTGGTAGCAGAGAACAGAGTTAAGGACCGTCATAAGCAAATTGCAGCAATTCCAGCGACTCCTATGCTCTGCGGTCACTGGCTGTATGCGCATAACGCCAACTGCCGCACTGGAGGTAGCTCTGGGTCTGCATCCACTGGATTTATTCATAGAGCAGGAGGCCGCCATGGCGATCATTAGACTTAGACACCTGGGCCTATGGCATAAAAGTGAAGGATCGCACTCCAAATTATGGGATCAATTGGAGGAAGACGAACCACTAATAGCAGTCCCATCCGATAGAATCCCAAAACACCACATCTTCACAAAAAGATACCATATCCAGATACAAGAAAATGACCGAGATCAATCCGGCATTAACGAAGTCCGAATTTACGGACGTAAGTTTTCTCGCAAGACCTAAATATGAACATATCACTAACGTTAGGCCAACACAGTTCCATATTCCAATGCGAATGTGTGGCAATAACTTACGCCGCCACAACGGCCATGTCAAGGGGTATCAAGGACTATAACATCCGAATACTATCCGACAGCATGGCCGTCTTAAAGGCACTAGAGGGCAACACAATGACCTCTTCTATTGTCTTCGAATGCCATTAAGCATTGGAGCAGCTTGCCACATTAAATGTGGTACTCCTCCAATGGATTAAAGGGTACAGTAACTCACACGGGAACGATGCCGCAGATGAGTTGGCAAGGAGGCGCTCGGCAAGCCCAGCTACCGGCCCAACCATACTCCTGCCAATACCGTTTAACCAAATACGATTCTGGGCCAGGCAACGGACTCGAGAAGCACATAGTCGGCGGTGGAAAAACTCACCCGGCTACAGACATTCCAAACTGGTGCTGACTGAAGCCACACCACGACTCATCTGCAGATCAGATCTGCAGATTGGAAATCCGAATAGTTGTCGGCACTATAACAGGACACCTAGCCCTGAACCGACAACTATTCATCATCAATGCGGCGGACAGCCCTCTGTGCAGGGGATGTCTGGAAGCAGAAGAAACGTAATCCTGGAATGCGAGGGAGTGGCCACACAACGGGCAAGTATCATTCCCGATACAAAATCGCTCCTAGAAGCCTGTGAACGCGCCAGAACGTTTCTGCGCTTCTGGAAGGAGTTTGGTTGGCTCACCTAGCTAACCAGTCCTCGACGTATAAAGGACCACTCTTGAGTATAAATACGGAAACCGAAGCCCACAACCAATACCAATACCAAAAATGGCAAGACTGGCAAGGCTTTTAATAACCAACGTCTAGACCAAAAAATTGCATCACTCAAATTGTGATACGAGTGATTCACCAAAGAAAGCAATTAGAAGACCTTTAAAATATACAGACTTTTTATTGCAGCTGTTTTTTCTATGATACAAACTCAAATCAGAACATTTAAACTGTTCACGGAAAATTTTATAAATCAACCAAAACATTTAGGAGAATAGCGAGCTAAAGATATTATATAAACATATTATCATTTATATAGGGATTTATAATATTGTTTACATTACATATTTACCTCGGGACCAATGTAAGGTGTTCCTTTGACGATTTCTGGAGAGGCGTACAGTGGGGACCCACAAAATGTGGACAGGAGAGATGTCTCCTTGAAGACATTTGATAGACCGAAGTCAGCAATCTGTAAATAAAATAAAATCATTCAGTCTAAGGCTTTGTGCATACTAGTTGTTACAGTTTTTTTGAGTCTAGAGAAAAGTGTAATGAGTTGTAATGAGGTTATCTGAAGACGATTCCGATGAGAAACCTAATATACTAGTATTTAATTTTTCTTATTTTATGTTTTAATGTTGTAGAATGCCACATTATAAGTAACATCACATTCGTACTTATTCTTTATGGATAAATCTTCGAAAGTTGATAAATAAAAAATCCGGACAAGTGCGAGTCGGACTCGCCCACCGAGGGTTCCGTACAAATTTGTAGGTACTTATTATAAATAGTTAAAGAGTCGAGTCTCCCTGTTTTTTCGAGCTTTTCGCAAAATTCATTTATCAAAACCTATAATTACTTAAATTGTGTTTAATAAGTGAAATTATTCCTCGATGACTGATTACATACTTTAAATAAAGACTATTTTTTATGATTAAATTACAAATGTATAGTTTACAGATTTTTTCTTGTACTTGCAGTATAAGACGATGGTACTTGCCAAATTTCATAGTTCTAGGTTAACGGGAAGTACCCTATGGATTTTGATTGCTTTGAAAGTGTCGAAATATGAGTTTTAGCGGCATAAACGGTTGTATCTTTTTTTTACGTTAACTTAGAAGTTTGAGTTTTTAAATTTTAAGGGACTACAGACCTGAGTATATGGTTTTAATTTCGACTCGATACCTCCACGCGTTCCCGAGATAAAGGGTCTTGACAGACATAGACACAGAGAGACAGATAGACAGACAGACAGACAGACAGACAGACAGACAGACGGACGGACGGACGGACAACAAAGTGATCCTATAAGGGTTCAGTTTTTTCCTTTTGAGGTACGGAACCCTAAAAATAGACATTTATTATGAAAACAAGTTACTCACCTTAGCACTGCCAGTATCATCCAATAGAACATTTTCCAATTTTAAATCTCTATGGCAGATTTTGTGTATATGGCAATAATACACAGCAGTTGCGATTTGTCGAAATAACCTGAAACAAACAGTGCACTAAGTGACGTCATAATAATTATTTTGTGACATTCTAAATCGCCACTGGGCCACACATTTTTATTATACATTAAATGAAAACTGACCTTTTTGCTTCGTCTTCTTGTAATACTTTTTTTTGACTTAGATAATCATATAATTCTCCACCGGAGCAATACTCCATTACCAGTATCATTTTTTCACTGTTTTCAAAAACTGAAAGGAAAAAGTATTGGTACATAATACAAACAATGTCCATCTGAATCCTGCTTTTTTATTGTTGACCTCTGGTCAAGAATCAAACTCCTGTCAAGAAAATCACGCTACATGTGAAACGTGCTCTGTGTTATTTCCACGTGGAGCACAGTCTGGGCAGTCTTGGTTATAATCGATTGACAATAATATGAGGATATAGGCTATAGGAAATTATTTGGCACCGATCGAGCAGTTTATATTCATCTAGTTGACGTTGTATACAAATTAAAGTGGCATGTGGCAGTAAATGTAATTGAGTACCGAACATCAAATATTGTCTTAGATCCTTACTTCAAAATGTTTTAAATAATTATTAAGATGACCTAGATTAAGGTTTCATTGTATAAAACCTATTAGAAAAGCGGTCATCTAAAGCCGTCATCATATTCTCTAAGAGGGTATTTATTTCAATAGTGTATTGATATGTAGCACTAGTTCAATAGCCCTATTAATATGTAGCCCTTTTTCACAATCTAAAAATTTGAGTCATCAGTTAGTACAAAATTATTTAAACCTTATAATATTTTGACTTTTTAAAACCTTATTGCATATTTTGACTTTTGAAAAAAAAAATACACACAAATATAACTTGTTTTTTAAAGAGGGTCTATAAAGTTTATGTTTTAACTTAAGGCTCAGTATGGTCAGTGGTATGGTGTATATACGATATCAGTGGTGATAGGTCAGTCATGTCATATTGTCTTAACACTCAAGGTTCACTTATATTAGGAGCAGAGTTTGGCACTGGGGAAGTTCCAAGTATGGTGAGATAATAATATTATTATCTCACCATTCTCTAATGATTTATGTATGTCCTCAATATGCGGCTCAAGAGCTATAAATACTGTAGAAGTGATTCAGAATGCGTTACCTTCATAAATATGTACAATGTTTGGATGACGGACTGAGGACATAATCTGAACCTCGCGCCGAATGCGTATGAGATCAGCTTCCGATTCAATCTTGCATTTCTTAATGGTCTTAATAGCCACCTCTTGTCCGGTCTTCTTGTTGATGCCTAGCTGCACCTTACCATACGTTCCTTGACCTAATTTTCTCACGATATCGAATCTGTAATTTATAAGTAAATTTTATATTAAAAAGCTATATAAAGATTAGATTATGGATAGCATGACATTCGAAAGCGATTAGTATAAACGATATCACGTGCCAAAGGTTCAATCCCCTGTACGGAATTTGGACGTTTGGGTATAAACTGTCTCGAATCTGGGCAAATAAATGGGTATATACATCGTATCAAAAAGTATTTACATCGTCTCAATGTTTTGCATACGTCAAACGGTTGGTAGGATAGCTTTGGTACGAGTGTTTAACAATCATATTTCAACTAATAGAACAGAAAAAATCTAATATTAAATTAGTTATTGGTTGTGTTATGAATGCTAAATAAACTTTAAAAAATACTTTTTTTTACTACAGCTACAGTTTTTTTTAAGATAAACATTGGTTTCTTTTTGCAGCTTTACGGCACTAGAATATAATATCTTGAGGTAGAAAACAGCATAATCAATCAACGTTGGTTTCCTAACGTTATTGAGGGCAATCGGCGCACGCGAGTTACCTAATTGTAATTATTTATATGCATATGCGCAAGATAATCCGTAATAAGTCAAGCTTACATTAAACACAAAACGAGCTGATTCTTCATAACATGCCATTATCATCGTCATCACCAGCCTTTAATAGTCTACTGCTGGACATAATCATAGGAGGAGAGGTCCTTAGAAAGGAGGTTTTGGCCTACTATGCCACGTTGGCCAGACGGATTGGTATAGAGATTGTTTCAAGTTTTTCTTCTCTTTGCAGTGCAGTTGTCCTGCGCTGTTTGTTCCCTAAGTCGGCTCTTACGGGATGAATAGGGGTGGCGACACTCCGTATTCTTAATCCGTCACCACATAGAAGTCACCGTCAGCAGTGTAAAGAACAAAAAAAGAAGTATATTTACCGTTAAGTACGTTACTTAGTGCAATCTGTGTAAATTGAAAATATAATTATCGCCTTGAATTACCGTTTACAGCGTTGACGCTTGATCCTTATCCGAAAAAAAAAAAAGGAACAAACGTATAATAATTGTCACATTTAAAACAGTTCATACAGCATAAATGAAAATGATTAGCAGCGAGGTTTTAAACGATAAAGCAAAGCGATGCGTCACGCGTTAGCACATTCACGGTTTTATAAATACAATTATTTCGTTTACGTCCGAAGCGATAGCGCTTTGAGTGTATGTGTAAGTTACAAGATTTAAAGGTTTTAACGAGGGTTACAGTTACTCAGCAACGTAAATTTTGCTCCTTAATTTTTTCTGAAATTTTGATCAAACGGTTTAGAAAAACCATTCGATCGATCGATCTGTTGATTTGTAGGATTGCTTGGGTACATTGGGGTATAAAAATTCGTATAAACATTAGACAACTCATCAACATTCGCAAAGATGTTGACGAATTTTCGGTACAAGGAAAAAAAGTCTTTTTTTTTTCACTTTTTTTCAGTCAAAATTGAGGATTTTTTTTTTCAAAATGGCCATAAGCCAACCTTGTAGTAAATTTATTGCAGATTTTGAAACTACCCTTCAATTTTTTGCTAGATGATTGGTTGTTGAAATATTGATGGCTAAAGCCAAAAGGATCCTTTAGCATTTAAAGTCGGATATCACCGGAACAAATCTATGTAGAGAAAAAAAAAGGAAAAGGAAGCTAAAATTAACAGGCTATCAAGTCTATATCATAATTTTATTGTGAAAAAAATCCAAGGCCGTGGACTCAAAAAAAAAACCTTAAAAAATTCTCAATTTTTTTTCGCGCAATGCCTCTCATTTAATCGATAAACTGTCGCCCCTAAACATTTTTGGCCAAGAGATCTGAAAACTAGGATTATTGAGCTTCAAGATGCTTTTCTTACAAGCTTCATACGACCATTTTCCATAGAAATATAGGCACAATTTTTTTATGCTCCCTTAATTTTTTGCAGAAGTGTTAAATTATTGATTTTAGTCACAGCGATTTCACATGTGATTGTGATTCCGATAAATGGCATTAAAATCAGTCAAAATTGTTTTTATCAAAGATTACGACCTTTTTTCTATTTTCAAGAGTTGTCAAAAAACCTTTGCTTTTTAGGGTTCCGTACCTCAAAAGGTAAAAAAGGAACCCTTATAAGATCACTTTCTTGTCCGCCTGTTTCAGCTTCAGTTGCCACTTTTTTTTTATTCCTTATATTCCACTACAGGATTTTCAAATACGTAAATAATGCTTTTATTGATGCACCACAAACTACATTCTTTATTGATTCAGTACTTACATTTATAAAACTTTAGGTGATTACCATATTACGACACTTTATTGGATAGTATTGCCACTACTTGAAACAAATGGCTGTAAAATGGTAACACTAAACTGATAAAGGAAATTAAAATTATCAAATAAGCTTATAATATATTTTTTTCTTTGCCTGGGGTTTTAATGACTTAGACGATAGTTTCAAAAAACTTAGATATTAACTAGCATTAGTTGTCTATGAATGACATTTAAAGACGCTCGAATTACGCTCAACAATGAATTCGCCATTGTTCTTTGCGTGTAAGACGGCATTTATTCAGAAGGACTGCTTTCTGAGTGACCCAGAGGGTGGATTTCGGCACTTCCAATGCATTGAGGCTATCTAGAAGAGTCTTCGGGGCTACACCAGTTGAATAGGTTTGTTTTTTATTTTTATTTTAGACAACTCCCGCACTAGGAATAAATCCTGTGTCGCGGGGGACTTTACAAACATACATGACACGGATGATAACGGACTCAAAGAATACCCAGACTCAGATCAACAATTTGTGGATCACACAAAGTGATGTCCCATGTGGGGATCGAACCCACAACACTTTAGCCAGTAGGAAGCGGCGAGGTGACCGCTTAAACCACTACGCCATCCGTGCAGTCAGATTTGGAATCTATCTACCTGTCAATGCCTTTTTTTTTTTATCGTATAGGTTGTCACGGGCAAACGGCTCGCTTGATAGTAAGTGACTACTCAAACTCAAAAGTCACAATTTTACTTATAACTACCAACAACAGCACTTGCACAGTTTAACTAAAATAAAGTAGGCAAGTAACTAAGGCCGATAGCCGCTATTTATTTAAATTATTTTACAGCTTTACTCTGTACTTGTACTATTGTTATTCAGTTCAAGAAACTACCAAGAAAGACGTTTTATGGGAATTAACCAATGAACTGAATCCGTGTGAGCTGCACTTCTCGACTGGAGACATTATACTTAAGTACCTACTTCTGTAAGGATAAGAGATCGACAACGCGCTACGAACATCTGCGATGTAGAAAAATCATTCTAGGATAACAGTAATCTTGATGCTTAGTTACCATCTTTAATCTAAGTAACGTAAAAAGTAATGACTACGCAAGTACTTAATATAATTTTACTATTTTATGATTCTATAAGAATCACAAGATGTACAAAAAGTAACATAGACTTTTCAAAGGTCATAAACAGCTAACCAAAAATATTATAATAGTTTTATACGATAATACTCAATTAGAAACTGATATGATGTAATATGCAACCTTTACACCCACGTACATCCGATACTTAAATGTGTAGGTGAGCTGACACCCTAAACTCGGTGATTGGTTGTGACTCTATATCCGGTATCTCAACAACGTTCCATGTTCAATGCGGTCCGTTACTAAAATAATACAGTACAAGCATGCGTTGATGTAATAGTAGGGGAGCCCATGATGCTAAATGTGGATTTACTAGAGCGTCAAGGGGACCTATTGCATTGTTTGATAATGTAACCACTTTCAGCTGTTGGAAAAGCTTCTACAGGTTTTCAAAAATTTAAGGAAGTCATCGAAAAAAAATTATTCGGGCGCATCAGATATTTTAAAGATATGTTATTTGGACGCCAAAAATGCTCTTATTGAAAGGTCTGACGATTTTAAAGTGACACAAGGTCGTAGCCGAGTTATCGAAAATGCAAACTGTAAATTCGAAAAATCGCAATTTCGAAATACCCGAGCGTGTTAGATTTTATACAGATGGATCATCTTGAATTTTCTCTCATACTAGCCAAAAATCTGACGATAATTTTGTAGTGTAAGAATGCTTGACTAGAGGTTACTAACGAATGAAACACGCGCAAGTAGGAAAAGAAACCCCGGTGTGATATCCAGTAATATTTTATTCACTAAAGAATATCTAGCTATCACAGTCAGTATACACTTGTTATCGTGAGTCCCACAAAGTGGAAGCAATAAACAAGCAACCTATGGCTATAAATTAGTCCCAATAAACGCCCTTCGCAGTAGAAGCATAATTCGGAAGCTGATTACCTATCACCAGATGCCTTATAAAAGTATATATATATAGTTAGCTTTTAAACAGTCATTTACCTGCAGAGACTCTTAACACCGCGATGCAGAATTGATCTGTACAATGTTATCTGTCGGTGCCGATGACAACTATGTATTTACATTTTGTTGGTTTTTATGACATATTTAGGTTTGTCGTGTTACAGTAGGGTATTTTAAATCTAACGTTTAGAAATACTTTGGTTTTTGATTTTTTATAAAATGAGACTAAAAAGGCACAAAAAATTATGTTGACATTTAAAGGAGATTTCTTTCATTGTTTTCTTCAAAACAAAGAAAATGTCAAGGTCATAGGTTAATTTTTGGAACTTTGTGCCCCTTCTACTGCTTTATGCCACGCTCCAAACGTCTGTTTTTTTTAAATACACACTAATGTGTATGTAGTTGACTCAACTTACCTTAATCTTACACGCTCGAGTATTGCTGGCCATCGTATTTTTTTAAGTATTCTGATGGGCTGCCCTAGACGCTCCCCATTATGTGTAGGGCTGATGTATGGTGGAGGTACTCAACTGGGTGTAAGGTATTCCTCCTATCTTAATCTGACATGCTCGAGTAAATCGCGAAATCCCTTCTAGGGCTCTCCTACTATAAGGAAGGCGTATGAATTTTACGTTCATAGTTTCTATAAACAAGGTTTTGAGACATGTTACACCATGGTTATCAGAGTTTTGCTAAGACAGCATATTTATTATGACCTTGCAAGTTTAGCATACAAATTGGTTCATTTATTTTTTTAAAATTTACAAAAGTGTATAATATATTCTTTATTTAACATTGATGATGGAGCTGCAAAACATTGGGGGTTTTTATGAACTGAACTTGAGCATAATCTATGCCAATTTGTCAAGGTTTTAGTACTAGTACGAATTATTCAACAAAAACTCGTTACGTTTATACTAGCCTAGGTTTAATGACATTTTAATGTGGTTAATTTTTTTTTTTTTTATGACAAAACTTTTGCTTACATTCACATTTATATTTTTGACCTGGAATGGAAATAAATACAAATAAATGTGTGTAATGCTTACCGTTGTTTGAGTCGAAGCCGGTGGTCATGCATGCGCACGTCACCAGTGTTCTCAATACCGTCCATGATGTTGGCGGTGCGCTTGCTGTCGCCCACAACCATTGTGACTGCAACAAACAATACAGATAAATAACAACTGGTGCGGTTATTGAAAATTATCATATTATAAATCCTCTGATTTAAATTACGATCGAGTAGAGAGATCCATCTGTTAGAGAGTAGGACAGGGATATAAGTTTTAACCTTTTATGTAGTATTCTATAAAAAAATATAAGTATTACTATAGTATAATAAAGTATAATAAGTAAGTACAGAACCATTTGATTACAAATGGTTCTGTACTAGTTCGTTATATTTATGAGAATAAAGTTTCTTAATACCTCTTACCGATAATGAATTACCTCGATTTATCATTAGATCATTATCAGATCCTGACCAAATTACAATGTGACCAATTATAAGTATTTAGATCAAAAAAGATTGAAGAAGGTTAAAACCTACCTATAGTAAGAGTTTATGCAAAAGTACATAATACATCTGTAGGTAACGACAGTAATCAATCAGTAGTAACTACAGTTTATTTGCTGCTTTATGCCTCAAAAAAACAGTTTTTTTTTTAAAACTAATGAGTCTTTAGTACTATCTGACTAACCGCGGCTTTTTTTAAAGTCTGGGAAACCACCTCACGGTCATAAGGAATTCGGCAGAAAATTGTAGCGGATTTGCACAAACAAATTAGCCGCCATTTGGCAACTCGTCTGCTATAGTGTACATACATGTCACCTTTTATCTGCACGCTTGTTTATAAGCTGGCATAGAGTAATTTTGCTGTCAGCAAGGACTTAGTAATTTATCTGAAATAATAAGCCGATAAAGCAAAAATGGTAAGCCCGCTTACCAAGCACGAACATTGTTACCTACATACGAGTATATGATATGCGCCACGTCATTAGGCACTTGTGAACTTAACGCACGTACTAGTTACCTTTCAACTTTCTAGAGTGAATATGAAAGTTTTATTGGTACGATACTTTCGATATTAAATTTAATTGATTATTGCTCAGTTAAACAGAATCATAGTTATCCCATCTGCGGGCAAAATCAATGTATCTTTGATATAAAAGAGCTTAATTTGTGTGGTACTATTGATTTAAAAATAAAATGTGGTACAAGAGTTTTAAGTCATAGTTCACATATTTATTTTAATAAAGAGCCAATAAGATTATTTATTTTAAGACAAATGAGTAAGCGAACCCATCATTTACTAAAAACATTGGATTGTACGAAAAGCATCTCGTATACAAAGTAGGCAGAACTGCAACATCGAAGTATTAAGATTAATTTTAGTATTACAATTAGTCTTTATTGTTAGTTTCAATTAAATTTTATATATTATAATAATAAGCCCTAAGGCCACATACAACATAAGTTTGTTGTGATCATAAAAAAGTCGTGACACGTACTTTATTAACCATGCCAGTGACTCGAATCTCACAATCATATTACGAGGAAATGCCTCCCCAGTTGTTTCTTGGAACGATTCGTTTAAGCATGAAACTGATGTGTATTTACAAATAAGGAATAATTTATATTTTACGAAACGCTTCGTTTAAATTAGCTATTTTAATATGGATAAATTTTGCCTAAACCGTGATTGGATTGTGATATTTTTTTAACAAAAAAAAAAGTATATTATTTAAAATTGTTTCGCTAATTGGTTCGATTTGGGGTCCTAGAGCCTAGACGACACACACGTTGTAAATAAAGTAAAATGATAGCTTTTCTAACCAGAAAAGCTACTATTTAAGCCAATTAGTAACAACTGATGGGCTTATAAGAGAGATCAGCAATTCTAGTAATCAACGAGTCTGATCTAATAATAGACTGTCAAAGTTGTGCAAGACAATACTTATTCGATTTCCTTTGGTATGATTACGTACTGGGTTCAAACTAGAGGACGTTGTACTGATTAAATTTCGCGTAGGTCGATAAGCGTTCCAATAGTTTTCTTTCAACACAGCTCAGAACAGATACACGTTGATGAAGTTTATATTCAATAAACTGGTTTAATCTATATGCCATTTTTTGTGTATTATTTATTATGAAAAACTTTTATATTGCACTTTTGTGCAAATCCATTTTATTGGATGGAGCAACTCCAATAGTCTGCAGGGGTATTCTCTAAGGAAACGCCTTGCGTACAGCGCTGCCACAGCGTCGGATTTTTAACTAGTAGTTTGAAATTTGACGCTATGAGACGGGGTGGGGCGGGGTGACGGCCCGGACGGGTTTCCACACGTAAAAAAATAAAAATAAGGGGGCAACACCGGGTAGCAGTGAGAGGGTACAGTTTCAGCAGGGGATTGGAATAAGTTGTAATCCCAAGATTCCTATTAAACTAAATTGAAACGTGAACAAAACTAAATTTTGTATGTTGTGCCTGACATGCGAATATGAAAAATGAATATGTTAAAGCGATTTTCATAGCATTTTGTTTATTGTCTCGCAGGTTCCGTGAGGAGAGTTACAGGTATGGAGAAAACTTATTCTGCAGATCCGTAATAAAATTAAAACAAGGATAGGCAGAGATAATGACGATTAAGAGTAGTATAAAAAATGTCATTTATAGCCCTGGATTAAAATTAACCGAGTGGGATTGCTGTTTACTCATTATACTGACTAAGATAGATACATAAGTTAGGACGTCATATAGATTGTTTTATTTTCCATTGTAAAAATAGACCTAGTAAAAACATCTTGCAATAATAAATCTGTGCGTTCTAAATATATATATTATATGGCTTATAGGGAGAAAATGTAGTCTTAAATCATGTTTGAAAATAAGGAATAAAAAAAGAAACGCAAAAATTTGAGCCTGAAACCACAATTCATTCTTTGAATTGTGATAATGTCACTTAGGACAGGTTTATGCAATATGATGAACTTTACAACTAAACTATTATCTACTACAATATGCACTCACCCGGAATCGTAGGTAGTAACAGCTGATTCCTCATCGCTAGACCAACTAATTGATCGCAAAGCGATAGGATTTCATCTAGTTTTCGGCATAGAAATATAAGATATTGTCCTAACACTGTCATTGCAGTGATTGTATCTTATATCTGTATTAAATTTAAGGCAACTTTACTTTTACTTTCTGTGCTATATTAAACTATACCAAACCAAATCAACACAGAATATAAAGTTACTAGATATATTGCACAAAAGGTGTTTAAGAATCCTATTAGAACCATACTCGAAAAGAGAAGATGGGATACTGTGTAAATTATGTGATATTGTCAGGCCTAATTGCAAACGCAAGAATGAAAAGAATATTGTGAATTGAAATAGGTAAATTGAATAGAACAAGTCTTATAAACAAATATTTATAAATTGCTACGCGAGAATATTTCAACTATTTTCTTAACAATACCAGTTGAATTTATTTTTACCAAGACTGCGTTTTATTAAAATGCAGTTTTACTAATATATCCACGGTCTCAGCTTTCTCACTTTTTTTTACACGTTCGTTGTGGTTTCACTTGGGCCACCTTCGAAGGACGTCCGATCACTTATTTCAAACATTTTATGACCAAACTTGTCATAAAAAATTAGTACTCATTCTTTGGATAGAAAAACAAATGAAGAACTCTTTCATTATTTATTTAGAAAAATCCAGATGGGAAAACGTCTATTACTCCAGTCGACCCTGGGCCATATGTCGCGAAGCATGGCTCTGCTACGGTAAATGTAATTTATTAACTGTATCTACTTCACCTATTACGTCTTTCGATTTGACACTTATAATTTAAGTGTTACTATTATATATATTACTATTGCTTTCATTAGTAAATATATGTTTTGTTTTGGCTAAAATGTATCTAAATGATGGCTTTCATTAGTATGGCACTCAGTTGTTACCGTACTGTACGCAATAACACTAACAAATTGCAGTTGAAAGAACAATAAACCTAATATTTCGTGGATGAGTGTGGATAGGTCCAATTCAATTTCCGGACCATTTGATTATTTTTTGTCGCCCCTTCAGACTACAGTTCTACAATTTAATCTTAGAACTCTTTAAATTTCAGCTTAGACCATCACCTCGCCATAGTCATAGAATAGTGTCGGATCTGACATTTATTGAACTTTATAGGGCAGCCATTGCAAAAAAATATGTTAGTTTTTTTGACATAACTTTTTTTAATTCTAAATCTATAATTATGAAAATTGGCATAAGTTTAAAATAGGGTTTGTTTTTTAAATTGCAATAAAAATAACATTTCTGTAGCCAATCCTTTCCACCCCTGCAGATGGGAAATAATTCGTTGGCCTATGATGCCAAAGAGAAAGCTGATCTCCTAGGCAAACTCCTTGCATCCAACTCGACTTTAGATGACGGGGAAAACGTACCGCCGACCATACCGCGTTGCCAGAGCTATATGCCAGATATCCGGTTCACACAAAAATCAGGGCATAAAGCACTGTTTTCTCTTGACATTCATAAGTCGGTTGGGCCCGATGGAATCTCTCTTATCGTGTTAAAGACGTGTGCTCCAGAGTTGGTTTTAACTGGTTTTAACGCGTCTTTTTCGTCTCTCCTACTTCCAAGGTGTCGTCCCGAACTCCTAGAAGGTAGCGTTTGTGCACCCGATCCCTAAAAGAGGTGACCGGTCTGGCATAAGGTGCTTCTCTCGAAGCTCCCTTCCTTATGGCTTCCCGAGAAATTGTGTAACTGCGTCTAAGGCGCAAGTCCGGCCGCATATGGAATACTGTTCTCATCTCTATGCAGGGGCACCTCAGTACCAGCTTCTCCCTCTGGACCGCATCCAACGATGAGCGACTCGAATCGTCGATAGCCCAAACATCTCCGATCGGCTCGATCCCTTGGCCTTGGCGTTAGAGATGTGGCTTCACTGTGCGTTCTCTACCGCATATATCCTGGAGAGTGCTTCGAGGAATTGTTCGGACTAATACCAGTTGCAAATTTCCGCCATCGTTCCACATGGCAAAATTTTCATCGTCATCACCTGGATAGTTGGCGCTCTACTACTGTGCGCTTTTCGAGACAATTTTTGGCCCACACAACCAATCTGTGG